TTTTGTGCATGTATTTTTAAAAATTATGTTTCGAAATCTATATTTTTGACAGGTGTCCTTGTGTTTTTGTTAGGCTTGGCCCATCTTTTCCTCAAGTAAACACTAGACACCAGGTTTCCTTTGGATAACTGTGGGTTCAGAGGTCATTTATAAATAACGTCATGTTTGTTTGACGTAATTATCTTCCCATCTCCATACTGCCACACCACAAAAAAGCCGGAGATGTTCTACATTGGGCAACATGTTTTTCCTCTTTTAAAAACATTTTGGCTGAGCAAAGTGCTGACCACACTATCCCTGCTATGAGGTCACAGAAACAGGTGAACTCCACTTTACCTGCCCTGTGTCTCACAAACCTCATATGAAAAACAGAGGAATAAATGATTCAAGCTACTGTTAAAATAATACATTGGAACCATTCGCATGCATTTTGATTTCCCATTTGCCACTTTCCTTTTGGGAAAACTACAACTAAATAAAGTAACAGGACTACATTGTTCTGTCCACTTGACACTTACCATGTGGGAAAACTACAACCAAATAAAGTAACAGGACTACATTGTTCTGTCCACTTGACACTTACCATGTGGGAAAACTACAACTAAATAAAGTAACAGGACTACATTGTTCTGTCCACTTGACACTTACCATGTGAGAAAACTACAACCAAATAAAGTAACAGGACTACATTGTTCTGTCCACTTGACACTTACCATGTGAGAAAACTACAACCAAATAAAGTAACAGGACTACATTGTTCTGTCCTCCTGCCACTTGACACCATATGAGAAAACTACAACTAAATAAAGTAACAGGACTACATTGTTCTGTCCACTTGACACTTACCATGTGAGAAAACTACAACCAAATAAAGTAACAGGACTACATTGTTCTGTCCTCCTGCCACTTGACACCATATGAGAAAACTACAACCAAATAAAGTAACAGGACTACATTGTTCTGTCCACTTGACACTTACCATGTGAGAAAACTACAACTAAATAAAGTAACAGGACTACATTGTTCTGTCCACTTGACACTTACCATGTGAGAAAACTACAACCAAATAAAGTAACAGGACTACATTGTTCTGTCCTCCTGCCACTTGACACCATATGAGAAAACTACAACCAAATAAAGTAACAGGACTACATTGTTCTGTCCACTTGACACTTACCATGTGAGAAAACTACAACCAAATAAAGTAACAGGACTACATTGTTCTGTCCACTTGACACTTACCATGTGAGAAAACTACAACCAAATAAAGTAACAGGACTACATTGTTCTGTCCTCCTGCCACTTGACACCATATGAGAAAACTACAACCAAATAAAGTAACAGGACTACATTGTTCTGTCCTCCTGCCACTTGACTCCATATGAGAAAACTACTGCACTGCCCCAGGGTAGCCAACACTCAGACGTCTGACTCACAAAATATTTCCTAATATTTTACATACTCTCATTACAAATTTTGAGTCCACTCTTAACTATCAATTAAAATTACATAAAGTATTATTGTTTAATTCAATTGTATCCTAATTTAACCTGTTCCTTTGCTAAGGAACAAAAATATTTATGAAATGTTTAAGGCCCGAAATAGTAAAGTAAACAAATATTTATATGAAGTATTTAAGGCCTGAAATAGTTTAGTAAACAAAACCTCTATTATTTATTGTGTTTTTGTTCTAGTTTTTGTTTTTAACTATTTAAAATTAATTTGACCTACTTTTCTCCAACTTGCTACCTTAGTTTTTTATTCTAGTTTATATGTGGAAAATATCATTTTATTCTAGTTTATATGTGGAAAATATCATTTTATTCTAGTTTATATGTGGGAAATATCATTTTATTCTAGTTTATATGTGGAAAATATCATTTTATTCTAGTTTATATGTGGAAAATATCATTTTATTCTAGTTTATATGTGGAAAATATCATTTTATTCTAGTTTATATGTGGAATATATCGTTTTATTCTAGTTTATATGTGGAAAATATCATTTTATTCTTGAATCTGTCAAGCATATTCTATTGAAAATTAATAATGGTGGTGAAACTGAATAAAATTAACAGACATCATTACAGCTATTGCCATCATAACATCTTTGATATATATTAAGTCTTGTCAATGGGCAAGTGTAGCCTATTTCCTTGGCAACCATGTCATTAAAATTAAAGTATTTGTTCTTAAGTTATATGATTAAAAGTGTTTTTTACATATGAATATATCATTCATTTAAATTTAATTCTTCAAATAAATTTGTGTGTAACATATTTTGAAAAAAGAAAATTTATCTACATAAATATATATAAGTAAGTTCCAAACAAAATAAATATGCAAAATAGCTGAGTTTCAGAAGTCTATAGATAGATTATCCCCCTTTTCCTCCACAGGTTCTAATATTTATAGGTGAAACTGCCCTGTGTTTAAATTGGGCTGTCACTGCTGATATCTTGTTGGTAAGTTTTTCAAAAAACATTTTGTCAGATATCTTGTTGGTAAGTTTTGTCAGATATCTTGTTGGTAAGTTTTGTCAGATATCTTGTTGGTAAGTTTTTAAAAAAAAACATTTTGTCAGATATATTGTTGGTAAGTTTTGTCAGATATCTTGTTGGTAAGTTTTGTCAGATATCTTGTTGGTAAGTTTTTAAAAAAAAACATTTTGTCAGATATATTGTTGGTAAGTTTTGTCAGATATCTTGTTGGTAAGTTTTGTCAGATATCTTGTTGGTAAGTTTTTAAAAAAAAACATTTTGTCAGATATCTTGTTGGTAAGTTTTGTCAGATATCTTGTTGGTAAGTTTTTAAAAAAAAACATTTTGTCAGATATCTTGTTGGTAAGTTTTGTCAGATATCTTGTTGGTAAGTTTAAAAAAAAAATTTTGTCAGATATCTTGTTGGTAAGTTTTTAAAAAAAAACATTTTGTCAGATATCTTGTTGGTAAGTTTTGTCAGATATCTTGTTGGTAAGTTTTAAAAAAAAAACATTTTGTCAGATATCTTGTTGGTAAGTTTTGTCAGATATCTTGTTGGTAAGTTTAAAAAAAAAAAATTTTGTCAGATATCTTGTTGGTAAGTTTTTAAAAAAAAACATTTTGTCAGATATCTTGTTGGTAAGTTTTGTCAGATATCTTGTTGGTAAGTTTTGTCAGATATCTTGTTGGTAAGTTTTAAAAAAAAAACCTTTTTGTCAGATATCTTGTTGGTAAGTTTTGTCAGATATCTTGTTGGTAAGTTTTGTCCGATATCTTGTTGGTAAGTTTTTAAAAAAAAACATTTTGTCAGATACTTGTTGGTAAGTTTAAAAAAAAACCTTTTGTCAGATATCTTGTTGGTAAGTTTTAAAAAAACATTTTGTCAGATATCTTGTTGGTAAGTTTTGTCAGATATCTTGTTGGTAAGTTTTGTCAGATATATTGTTGGTAAGTTTTGTCAGATATCTTGTTGGTAAGTTTTAAAAAAAAAAATTTTGTCAGATATATTGTTGGTAAGTTTTGTCAGATATCTTGTTGGTAAGTTTTAAAAAAAAACATTTTGTCAGATATCTTGTTGGTAAGTTTTGTCAGATATCTTGTTGGTAAGTTTTAAAAAAACATTTTGTCAGATATCTTGTTGGTAAGTTTTGTCAGATATCTTGTTGGTAAGTTTTGTCAGATATCTTGTTGGTAAGTTTTGTCAGATATCTTGTTGGTAAGTTTTGTCAGATATCTTGTTGGTAAGTTTTGTCCGATATCTTGTTGGTAAGTTTTTAAAAAAAAACATTTTGTCAGATACTTGTTGGTAAGTTTAAAAAAAAACCTTTTGTCAGATATCTTGTTGGTAAGTTTTAAAAAAACATTTTGTCAGATATCTTGTTGGTAAGTTTTGTCAGATATCTTGTTGGTAAGTTTTGTCAGATATATTGTTGGTAAGTTTTGTCAGATATCTTGTTGGTAAGTTTTAAAAAAAAAAATTTTGTCAGATATATTGTTGGTAAGTTTTGTCAGATATCTTGTTGGTAAGTTTTAAAAAAAAACATTTTGTCAGATATCTTGTTGGTAAGTTTTGTCAGATATCTTGTTGGTAAGTTTTAAAAAAACATTTTGTCAGATATCTTGTTGGTAAGTTTTGTCAGATATCTTGTTGGTAAGTTTTGTCAGATATCTTGTTGGTAAGTTTTGTCAGATATCTTGTTGGTAAGTTTTTAAAAAAAAACATTTTGTCAGATATATTGTTGGTAAGTTTTGTCAGATATCTTGTTGGTAAGTTTTAAAAATAAAACATTTTGTCAGATATATTGTTGGTAAGTTTTGTCAGATATCTTGTTGGTAAGTTAAAAAAAATAATTTTGTCAGATATATTGTTGGTAAGTTTTGTCAGATATCTTGTTGGTAAGTTTTAAAAAAAAACATTTTGTCAGATATCTTGTTGGTAAGTTTTGTCAGATATCTTGTTGGTAAGTTTTGTCAGATATCTTGTTGGTAAGTTTTGTCAGATATCTTGTTGGTAAGTTTTGTCACATATCTTGTTGGTAAGTTTTGTCCGATATCTTGTTGGTAAGTTTTAAAAAAAACATTTTGTCAGATATCTTGTTGGTAAGTTTTGTCAGATATCTTGTTGGTAAGTTTTGTCAGATATCTTGTTGGTAAGTTTTAAAAAAACATTTTGTCAGATATCTTGTTGGTAAGTTTTGTCAGATATCTTGTTGGTAAGTTTTGTCAGATATATTGTTGGTAAGTTTTGTCAGATATCTTGTTGGTAAGTTAAAAAAAATAATTTTGTCAGATATATTGTTGGTAAGTTTTGTCAGATATCTTGTTGGTAAGTTTTAAAAAAAAACATTTTGTCAGATATCTTGTTGGTAAGTTTTGTCAGATATCTTGTTGGTAAGTTTTGTCAGATATCTTGTTGGTAAGTTTTGTCAGATATCTTGTTGGTAAGTTTTGTCACATATCTTGTTGGTAAGTTTTGTCCGATATCTTGTTGGTAAGTTTTAAAAAAAACATTTTGTCAGATATCTTGTTGGTAAGTTTTGTCAGATATCTTGTTGGTAAGTTTTGTCAGATATCTTGTTGGTAAGTTTTAAAAAAACATTTTGTCAGATATCTTGTTGGTAAGTTTTGTCAGATATCTTGTTGGTAAGTTTTGTCAGATATATTGTTGGTAAGTTTTGTCAGATATCTTGTTGGTAAGTTTTAAAAAAAAAAATTTTGTCAGATATATTGTTGGTAAGTTTTGTCAGATATCTTGTTGGTAAGTTTTAAAAAAAAACATTTTGTCAGATATCTTGTTGGTAAGTTTTGTCAGATATCTTGTTGGTAAGTTTTAAAAAAACATTTTGTCAGATATCTTGTTGGTAAGTTTTGTCAGATATCTTGTTGGTAAGTTTTGTCAGATATCTTGTTGGTAAGTTTTGTCAGATATCTTGTTGGTAAGTTTTTAAAAAAAAACATTTTGTCAGATATATTGTTGGTAAGTTTTGTCAGATATCTTGTTGGTAAGTTTTAAAAAAAAAACATTTTGTCAGATATATTGTTGGTAAGTTTTGTCAGATATCTTGTTGGTAAGTTAAAAAAAATAATTTTGTCAGATATATTGTTGGTAAGTTTTGTCAGATATCTTGTTGGTAAGTTTTAAAAAAAAACATTTTGTCAGATATCTTGTTGGTAAGTTTTGTCAGATATCTTGTTGGTAAGTTTTGTCAGATATCTTGTTGGTAAGTTTTGTCAGATATCTTGTTGGTAAGTTTTGTCAGATATCTTGTTGGTAAGTTTTGTCAGATATCTTGTTGGTAAGTTTTAAAAAAAAACATTTTGTCAGATATCTTGTTGGTAAGTTTTAAAAAAAAACATTTTGTCAGATATCTTGTTGGTAAGTTTTGTCAGATATCTTGTTGGTAAGTTTTTAAAAAACACTTTTTGTCAGATATATTGATGGTTAGTTTAAAAAAACTGTTTTTTTGTGTTTTTTAAAATGTTGAATAAAAAAATAGGGCATATGTTTCTTGACTCCCCAGTATGTTGTCATACCAACACGTCGTTCACTGGCAGAGTCAGGGCAGATCCTTATGTCCCATGCTTTTGGTGATGCCATCAGTCCTTATGTCATTGGCCAGGTAAGCTTGGTGCCAGATTTCTGATGTCATCAGTCCTGATGTCATTGGCCAGGTAAGCTTGGTGCCAGATTTCTGATGTCATCAGTCCTGATGTCATTGGCCAGGTAAGCTTGGTGCCAGATTTCTGATGTCATCAGTCCTGATGTCATTTAAGTCATGGATCATAATATAAATTCAGTGTTTTGTAGTCATTTACTAAGGTTGCGAGACCTGTAGATGTTGGATGTTGTAACCTCAGTGTGGATGTTGGATGTTGTAACCTCAGTGTGGATGTTGGATGTTGTAACCTCAGTGTGGATGTTGTAACCTCAGTGTGGATGTTGGATGTTGTAACCTCAGTGTGGATGTTGTAACCTCAGTGTGGATGTTGGATGTTGTAACCTCAGTGTGGATGTTGTAGCCTCAGTGTGGATGTTGTAACCTCAGTGTGGATGTTGTAACCTCAGTGTGGATGTTGTAACCTCAGTGTGGATGTTGTAACCTCAGTGTGGATGTTGGATGTTGTAACCTCAGTGTGGATGTTGTAACCTCAGTGTGGATGTTGTAACCTCAGTGTGGATGTTGTAACCTCAGTGTGGATGTTGTAACCTCAGTGTGGATGTTGTAACCTCAGTGTGGATGTTGTAACCTCAGTGTGGATGTTGTAACCTCAGTGTGGATGTTGTAACCTCAGTGTGGATGTTGTAACCTCAGTGTGGATGTTGTAACCTCAGTGTGGATGTTGTAACCTCAGTGTGGATGTTGTATGTTGTAACCTCAGTGTGGATGTTGTAACCTCAGTGTGGATGTTGTAACCTCAGTGTGGATGTTGTATGTTGTAACCTCAGTGTGGATGTTGGATGTTGTAAGCTCAGTGTGGATGTTGGATGTTGTAACCTCAGTGTGGATGTTGGATGTTGTAAGCTCAGTGTGGATGTTGGATGTTGTAGCCTCAGTGTGGATGTTGGATGTTGTAACCTCAGTGTGGATGTTGGATGTTGTAACCTCAGTGTGGATGTTGTAACCTCAGTGTGGATGTTGGATGTTGTAACCTCAGTGTGGATGTTGTAACCTCAGTGTGGATGTTGTAACCTCAGTGTGGATGGTGGATGTTGTAGCCTCAGTGTGGATGTTGTAACCTCAGTGTGGATGTTGTAACCTCAGTGTGGATGTTGTAACCTCAGTGTGGATGTTGTATGTTGTAACCTCAGTGTGGATGTTGTATGTTGTAACCTCAGTGTGGATGTTGTAACCTCAGTGTGGATGTTGTAACCTCAGTGTGGATGTTGTAACCTCAGTGTGGATGTTGTAACCTCAGTGTGGATGTTGAGTTTTTGTTGCCAGATCACAGATGTGCTGGCCAGTGGCTACAGAGATCCTGCCCTTCCCTCAGCGCAGTTTACATCCATGCAGAATGCGCTGTACCTGACCACTTTCATTAGTGTACTAGGTGGAGCCTTCTATCTAGCCACTGCACTCTTCATAGAGAGAGATAAGAAATCTGCTGAAAAAGATACACATGGTAAAACACATTTTGTTTCCTATCCACCCTGCTCACAGCCACCCTATGCTATGTTACAACTCTAAACATCTGGCCTTAACTGTTATAACGCTGGACTTTTTTTTTTATCTAACTAAAGGTCTGAAAACATTTTCATTAAAAAGCTGGGCATAATTTAGCTGTTGATCTTGTTTCAAAATGCAGAGCTAGTCAATGTTTTTTTGTTCTTTACGCTACCTGTTGATGTTTTGTACCAAGTTACCTGTTGATGTTTTGTACCATGTTACCTGTTGATGTTTTGTACCAAGTTACCTGTTGATGTTTTGTATCAAATTACCTGTTGTTTTGTACCAAGTTACCTGTTGATGTTTTGTATCAAGTTACCTGTTGATGTTTTGTATCAAGTTACCTGTTGATGTTTTGTACCAAGTTACCTGTTGATGTTTTGTATCAAATTACCTGTTGTTTTGTACCAAGTTACCTGTTGATGTTTTGTACCAAGTTACCTGTTGTTTTGTACCAAATTACCTGTTGATGTTTGTACCAAGTTACCTGTTGATGTTTTGTATCAAGTTACCTGTTGAAGTTTGTACCAAGTTACCTGTTGATGTTTTCTACCAAGTTACCTGTTGATGTTTTCTACCAAGTTACCTGTTGATGTTTTGTATCAAATTACCTGTTGTTTTGTACCAAGTTACCTGTTGATGTTTTGTACCAAGTTACCTGTTGATGTTTGTACCAAGTTACCTGTGTATGTTTTGTATCAAGTTACCTGTTGATGTTTGTATTAAGTTACCTGTTGATGTTTGTATTAAGTTACCTGTTGATGTTTGTATTAAGTTACCTGTTGATGTTTGTATTAAGTTACCTGTTGATGTTTGTATTAAGTTACCTGTTGATGTTTGTATCAAGTTACCTGTTGATGTTTTGTATCAAGTTAATGGTTGTTTTGTATCATGTTACCTGTTGTTTTTGTTTCATGTTACCTGTTGGTGCTTTCTATCATGTTATCTGTTGATGTTTTGTATCATGTTACCTTTTGATGGTAATTAGGTTTGGGTTGTTGTTCACCTCACAGTTGTATGGTGTATAGACACAGGTAGTGGGGTTTGACCCATTTGTTTGAATCAGACGGGAACATTTTTTCTTCTTGTTCCATCTCTGCTAGTATCTATCCATGAGTAGATATTATTAAATTGCCTGTTGATGTCATGTAATAAATCAGCAGTCCTAAGATTTAGTAACAGATGTTGAGAGTTTACAAAAAGAAATGAATGGGCACTTATCCTGCTTGTTGCAATATTTTTACCTTTGCTCCTCCCTCCCCTCCCCCTCCCCCTGCATTCAACCCTATCTCTCCAGGACATTCTCTAAGTGACAGCCAAGATGACCTAATAGCTGCTGGCAACTTTGATGCAGATGAAGACAACCTAATTGAGCCGTACCTCAAAACTTGATGTGTCAGCCGTACCTCAAAACTTGATGTGTCAGCCGTACCTCAAAACTTGATGTGTCAGCCGTACCTCAAAACTTGATGTGTCAGCCGTACCTCAAAACTTGATGTGTCAGCCGTACCTCAAAACTTGATGTGTCAGCCGTACCTCAAAACTTGATGTGTCAGCCGTACCTCAAAACTTGATGTGTCAGCCGTACCTCAAAACTTGATGTGTCAGCCATACCTCAAAACTTGATGTGTCAGCCGTACCTCAAAACTTGATGTGTCAGCCGTACCTGAAAACTTGATGTGTCAGAAGGCTTTCTACAAGAATTTTTTTTTCCCATCATGACGAGTTTATTGAATCTCTTGATAAACTTCATCAAACATACTCAAAACATTCATGTGATACATTTGTTGAAGATTTTACCCTTTTCAATGTATTTTTATGAATAAAATCTTGTAAAGTTTTAAAATTCTAAAATAATTGTGTCTGTTCTAAATATTTGTTAATAATAGCTTCCATCAGCAGACAATGTGTTTTGCTGGCCTGGTATATTGCTTGCACTGACCATTGTAATGAAAACAGTGTTAAATTTATTTTGTAGCTGTGTGATTAAATTATTTAATCACTGTTGTGTAATTGAATTATTTAGTGACTGTTGTGTAATTGAATTATTTAGTGACTGTTGTGTAATTGAATTATTTAGTCAGTGCTGTGTAATTGAATTATTTAGTCACTGTTGTGTAATTAAATTATTTAGTCAGTGCTGTGTAATTGAATTATTTAGTCACTGTTGTGTAATTGAATTATTTAGTCAGTGCTGTGTAATTGAATTATTTAGTCAGTGCTGTGTAATTGAATTATTTAGTCATTGCTGTGTAATTGAATTATTTAGTCACTGTTGTGTAATTGAATTATTTAGTCACTGTTGTGTAATTGAATTATTTAGTCACTGTTGTGTAATTGAATTATTTAGTCACTGTTGTGTAATTGAATTATTTAGTCACTGTTGTGTAATTGAATTATTTAGTCACTGTTGTTTAATTGAATTATTTAGTCACTGTTGTGTAATTGAATTATTTAGTCAGTGCTGTGTAATTCAATTATTTAGTCATGGTTGTGTAATGAATTATCCTATCAAGTTGACATTTCACAGATTTAGACCGGGCTCCACTAGTAAGTTTTTTCTTTGTTTCTGGTGCATCGACTAACATGTGTCCCCTCCATAGCACACCAGCACATGTCACCTCCATAACAGACCAGCACATGTGTCACCTCCATAACAGACCAGCACATGTGTCACCTCCATAAAAGACCAGCACATGTGCTCAGCTATGAAGTGGGTTTTTGTGTGGAACTGAGTAATGCTAGAGTGGGTTTTTGTGTGGAACTGAGTAATGCTAGAGTGGGTTTTTGTGTAGAACTGAGTAATGCTAGAGTGGGTTTTTGTGTGGAACTGAGTAATGCTAGAGTGGGTTTTTGTGTGGAACTGAGTATTGCTAGAGTGGGTTTTTGTGTGGAACTGAGTAATGCTAGAGTGGGTTTTTGTGTAGAACTGAGTAATGCTAGAGTGGGTTTTTGTGTGGAACTGAGTATTGCTAGAGTGGGTTTTTGTGTGGAACTGAGTAATGCTAGAGTGGGTTTTTGTGTGGAACTGAGTAATGCTAGAGTGGGTTTTTGTGTGGAACTGAGTAATGCTAGAGTGGGTTTTTGTGTGGAACTGAGTAATGCTAGAGTGGGTTTTTGTGTGGAACTGAGTAATGCTAGAGTGGGTTTTTGTGTGGAACTGAGTAGTGCTAGAGTGGGTTTTTGTGTGGAACTGAGTAATGCTAGAGTGGGTTTTTGTGTGGAACTGAGTTATGCTAGAGTGGGTTTTTGTGTGGAACTGAGTTATGCTAGAGTGGGTTTTTGTGTGGAACTGAGTAATGCTAGAGTGGGTTTTTGTGTGGAACTGAGTAATGCTAGAGTGGGTTTTTGTGTGGAACTGAGTAATGCTAGAGTGGGTTTTTGTGTGGAACTGAGTAATGCTAGAGTGGGTTTTTGTGTGGAACTGAGTTATGCTAGAGTGGGTTTTTGTGTGGAACTGAGTAATGCTAGAGTGGGTTTTTGTGTGGAACTGAGTAATGCTAGAGTGGGTTTTTGTGTGGAACTGAGTAATGCTAGAGTGGGTTTGTGTGTGGAACTGAGTAATGCTAGAGTGGGTTTTTGTGTGGAACTGAGTAATGCTAGAGTGGGTTTTTGTGTGGAACTGAGTAATGCTAGAGTGGGTTTTTGTGTGGAACTGAGTAATGCTAGAGTGGGTTTTTGTGTGGAACTGAGTAATGCTAGAGTGGGTTTTTGTGTGGAACTGAGTTATGCTAGAGTGGGTTTTTGTGTGGAACTGAGTAATGCTAGAGTGGGTTTTTGTGTGGAACTGAGTAATGCTAGAGTGGGTTTTTGTGTGGAACTGAGTAATGCTAGAGTGGGTTTGTGTGTGGAACTGAGTAATGCTAGAGTGGGTTTTTGTGTGGAACTGAGTAATGCTAGAGTGGGTTTTTGTGTGGAACTGAGTAATGCTAGAGTGGGTTTTTGTGTGGAACTGAGTATTGCTAGAGTGGGTTTTTGTGTGGAACTGAGTAATGCTAGAGTGGGTTTTTGTGTGGAACTGAGTAATGCTAGAGTGGGTTTTTGTGTGGAACTGAGTAATGCTAGAGTGGGTTTTTGTGTGGAACTGAGTTATGCTAGAGTGGGTTTTTGTGTGGAACTGAGTAATGCTAGAGTGGGTTTTTGTGTGGAACTGAGTAATGCTAGAGTGGGTTTTTGTGTGGAACTGAGTAATGCTAGAGTGGGTTTTTGTGTTTGTTTATAGTGCCTGGGTTATCAATATTATTTTTTTTATTTTTGTCATATTTAAATGAGGGTTATGGCTTTGGTTAAGGCTAGTCTTAGAAAAGAATGACTTTTATCAGAGCAAATATTAAGAATTTAAATTGAATGAATGAAATAAAGCATCTTTTCTTCTATACACATTATGTAAGCGTTTTTTTTTTTAATTTACGATCTATGAAATAAACAACTTGTGTTTTTTTTTTTTTCATTTTAACCTTAAGCCTGTTAGAGGAAATAAGCGTGTTGCTTCTTTTGTTAAATATTGACTTCCATTGTGTTGCTAATTTGATGCTAATTAGGGGATAGTTCATTTCTGCTTGCTTTTAACCCCATGATGTGCAACATACTTTAATGTTTATATTTTGCCCATATATATATATATACATATATATATATATATATATATATATATATATATATATATATATATATATATATACATATATATATACATATATATATACATATACATATATATATACATATATATATACATATACATATATATATATATATATATATATATATATATATATATATATATACATAAATACAACACACATATATACACATACATAATTAGTTTCTGCATTGTTTAAAAAAAGCTAGTTATAAATGGGCCTTATATTATAAATGCAGTTTGATATGGAGGATGACGTTTTGTTTGTATTTTATTAACAGCATTAGGCTGCATTTGTTTAAACCAGAAACTAATTTCTGTTATTTGGCCAATTTCTTATTTATTTTTTAAAAGTTTTCTTCTAAACTTGATTGCGGTTGGTTTGTCACGTGTTAAGATAGTACAGTTGTGTTATCCTTGTGTCACGTGGTCCAACTTGTGTGACGTCATGTGGTCTGCTCTATTCATCAGGTAACACAGCAGGACTGAAGAAGGAACAGGAGGTTGGCGCGAAGGTCGGGGTGGACAATGCAGGGGCAGACTTGCCTGAGAAAACTAAACTTTAAACTTTGATTGGATTGAAAGATTGTCTCGTTACACTTGCATTGTTTTGTGTGTGTTATTTTAAAAGCGTTTTTAAAAATGTAAAAAAAAGCAACTATTTAAAGCAGTTATCTATTTTAAGACCTCTTTTCTATCCCGTTTCATTGTCTTTCGTTTCTTTCTGCTTTTTACAGTCCATATCGTTTGTTGTGAACTGCCCATATTATATAAGCCACAAACTGCCCTTATAGACCCATGCAAGAAAATGTCCTGTTAGAATTGATTGGCCCAACATTTATGTAAGATTTGTGCCTTGATTGGCCTAACTTGTATGTAAGATTTGTGGCTTGATTGGCACAACATGTATGTAAGATTTGTGGCTTGATTGGCCCAGCATGTATGCAAGATTTGTGCCTTGATTGGCCCAGCATGTATGTAAGATTTGTGGCTTGATTGGCCCAACATGTATGTAAGATTTGTGGCTTGATTGGCCCAACATGTATGTAAGATTTGTGGCTTGATTGGCCCAACATGTATGTAAGATTTGTGGCTTGATTGGCCCAACATGTATGTAAGATTTGTGGCTTGATTGGCCCAGCATGTATGCAAGATTTGTGCCTTGATTGGCCCAACATGTATGTAAGATTTGTGCGGAGGCTCAGTATTTCATTGGACTATTGACCTGTATTAAGATATAGTAATAGTATGCCAAGTTTTTAGTTGACTTTAGTCAGTCGATAAAGCAACGCTATCCATCCATATATTTTGTTCTCCCCCCACCCCCCCGTTGACTCATTCATGAGTCATTATCCCAACTACAACTAATTATGTTGGGGTTGATGATTCAAAACATGATTACAATGACTGCAATCATTTTTTTTTCTGTATGATTTCTTGTTCTGGCTGTGTCCCTAGTTATTTCTTACCCCCCCCCCCCCCCCCCCACTTTACCGCACAAAGCGCTAGAAACCTGGCTGAGAGACGCTCAAGGTAAAACTGGAACATTCAAGTCAATTATAGCAATGTTGGTGTTGATAATTCAAGTCAATTATAGTAATGTTGGTGTTGATAATTCAAGTCAATTATAGCAATGTTGGTGTTGATAATTCAAGTCAATTATAGCAATGTTGGTGTTGATAATTCAAGTCAATTATAGCAATGTTGGTGTTGATAATTCAAGTCAATTATAGCAATGTTGGTGTTGATAATTCAAGTCAATTATAGCAATGTTGGTGTTGATAATTCAAGTCAATTATAGCAATGTTGGTGTTGATAATTCAAGTCAATTATAGCAATGTTGGTGTTGATAATTAACGGTCTAATATATACAAACGTTTCTACATAAGAATAAAAAATGTGCAAAAAAATTTCTTGTTAGACTGCTTTCTTTTTTTCTATGATGCCGTCTAGCAAGTTGAAGATGATTCTGAGACAACGGCCAAAGTTTGGGGGGGGGGGGGAGGGGGAGTTAGCCGCCCTAATCTCTAATTGCAATCATCGTATTGTCTCATGGTAGAGATGTAAAACATATTTAGACTAGTGGAGCGGGGGTCCAAATGGCGAGCTGGCCCTAACTAATGTGGCCTAAGCTCTAGTGGCAATGGTCAGTCAATGTGGCCTAAGCTCTAGTGGCCCTAACTAATGTGGCCTAAGCTCTAGTGGCAATGGTCAGTCAATGTGGCCTAAGCTCTAGTGGCAATGGTCAGTCAGCTCCCCCTCGACTCTGGCGACGCATGGGGTAGATGAAACAGAGTTGACCTGTTTCTGTGACCTTGGCCTATGAATGGCAAGTAGGGTCAGCACTAGGCCCAGCCGCCTGTCTTTAACTAGGTCACTAGGTCAGGTACCCATCAGAGCTGGGTAGACAGAGACGTCCAACTGACTTGCTGGTATTCATTGGAGTTTCTTTCAGGCATCTCTGCAATTTTAAGTGCAACCCCCCTCCCCGGGAGAAAAATGGCTTGAAACACTGCCCCCCTCCCTTCCATCATCGGAAATTCAAGATTACCACCCCCCCCGAACGTTTCCAATGCCCCTTTCTTCCCCCCCCCCTTCTCTCCAGAAAATTGTATGAAAGAAACACTGGCTAAAGCCAGACCATTGCCACATTTAAGCCTGGTCTAGAATTGATTGTATCAGGACACGGTGTCGACAAATCAATCATTAATTATTTTGTTAACTAGAGATCGATGAAGCTCATTAATAAACGTTAGGCTGTGGTGGGGGTGGGGGGGGGGAAGGTGCGATCCAATTATTTGAAATCTCACTTGACTCCAATTGCAAATGTCGCATTTTACCTTGGTAATTAAAACGTGTGTATTCCTTGCAAATGTCGCATTTTACCTTGGTAATTATAACGTGGGTATTCCTTGCAAATGTCGCATTTTACCTTGGTAATTATAACGTGTGTATTCCTTGCAAATGTCGCATTTTACCTTGGTAATTATAACGTGGGTATTCCTTGCAAATGTCGCATTTTACCTTGGTAATTATAACGTGTGTATTCCTTGCAAATGTCGCATTTTACCTTGGTAATTATAACGTGTGTATTCCTCTCTCTAGTCTTCTCTTTCTTCTGTCTTGTATTTTACCTTAGTCATTAAAGCGTGTAATAGTGAGGTAGAACACATTTCGGTGACCGCCCATGTGTCAGGGACGTAGAGGCGCTCTCGGGAGCCCCCGATTACACTACCGCAGGGGTGCCGCGTACGACCCCTGGCTACTTAAAACTAACATATGCTCCATAGTGCTCACAGGATACACAGAGCCCCAACCAAATAACACCTTGAAACAATGATGCAGATTGCATATATAGAGAAAAAACAAATCGCGCCCTGCCGGGGCGCCACCCCTGCGAATTTGAATTTTTCCCCCGCAGAAACCTTCCCAGGAGTATTCTCTACAACTTCCCAAATTTCATGGCGATCGGATAAAAGGTGTAGAAATGCATAAAAGACAGACGAACAAACAGACACACACACACCACATCACACATTGCTTTATATATATATATATATATATATATATATATATATATATATATATATATATATATATATATATATATATATATATATATATATATATAATCACATGCTTTAAACACGGCTATGTCAATTACCGAGTCCGTTCATCTCTAATGGTGAAAGTGAAAGGGCCGATATTTCTAATTGCGCGAGTATGTTTAGGATAGTCACCCTTTAAATATTTTGTAATGACTAAAGCTTAGATCTCCACTTCTGAAGTAATAAGGTGCCGGTCAGTGGTTGGTCTGCACTCCCCCGAGCGAGTTGTTTCAATTGGGAAAAAAAAATGGTTGATGGCTAACATGGCTTCTTTCTACTTCTTCGTTCTTAAGTTTAGTGTTGGAAGGGATTCCCTTCAAGACAATTACGTATAGGTGTCAACTGGTTATGCGCCATTTAGGTTGTTTTAGTTTTTGATTTGCTGATGTAAACTTGATGTTTGCTGATGTAAACTTGATGTTTGCTGATGTAAACTTGATGTTTGTTGAGGTAAACTTGATGTTTGCTGGTGTAAACTTGATGTTTGTTGAGGTAAACTTGATGTTTGCTGGTGTAAACTTGATGTTTGCTGAGGTAAACTTGATGTTTGCTGATGTAAACTTGATGTTTGCTGATGTAAACTTGCAAAACCTTCCAGTTGTCTCACCCAAGTCTTAGATCCAGAAGAAATGGACACAAGAGTTATTTGTCCAACTTTTTATCTATCCCTCCATTCCCTACCCTTATCATCCCCACCTTCCATTCCCTTCCCTTATCATCCTCACCTTCCATTCCCTTACCCTCCCTACACACGCACCGTTAAGCAATCGTTCAAATGAATGAGTCTGGCGCTCTCAGCCACTTCCGGTCGCCCCCCCCCCCCCCCACCCTCGTGGAATCAATCGACCTTTCTATCGATTCTGTTTTGTTCCGTTACGACCGGGCCTTGTAACTTTCAAGGACCTGGGGACGGACCCCGACTTGCTTTAAGGGGCCTCTACATGTAAAAAATGCTAATTAAACTTGGAAAAAAATATTTTTAGGAAATTGATGTTTTAATAAATTTCATATTCCTAGAATCGAAAACAGTTTCAAGTATACTTGTACGATACATTTTTCTATTTTAATTATAATTTTAAAGACACCACCCTCTGCTTAAAAAATCAACTTTTTAATCAAATACCTGAAATTTTGAGTTGATTTTTATAAAGCAACTATAAAGAAAAATATAGTATATTATATATCATTTTTTTCGTCTGTTTGAGCCGTAAACGATACTCTACATTCGAATACAGTTATTTTACTTGCAAATGTGATATTTCAATAAAAGATTTCGCAAATCAAGCGATTTCATTGGTCCGATTTGTATTCTCAAGCCGTACCTTAGTAATGACCTTTCTGCGCATGCGCAGTGACCGAGTTCGACGGATTTTTGTCAACAAACAAACATGGCTACGTGATTGTCTTCACATCAATTTTTGCAATAACAAACCATTTGTTTTCAACATGGCGTGTAAATAATGCAGTTATTGCTCGAAATAACAGATACCATGACAGGAGTACATTGTTCAGCGAAAGAAATTTGAAGGTAATTTTTTTTTAATAACTAGACGCTAAATCTAGATCTAGTGAAGTCGCCATGCCACCACACGCACAGCGATACTTCATTGACTGACGCGCTGACATTAGTTTCTAAATCTACTAATATGTTGTCTAGTAGTACAGCTTAATTCCTTTATGAGAATTAATTTAGTTAACTATTTACCAATGTTAAACACGCTTGTCAATTACTATTTTTAAATAAATGAAACTGTAGAACCCAGTCATAACGACCCACGAATCTAGTACTAGTAGACCTAGATCTAGAATTTTCTAGATCTAGTCTAGAATAGTCTAGATCTAGATTCTAGTTGATAGTAGTTTTAGAAATTAACATCTGTGTTTGCTGAATATTGACTAAAATATAAATATTGGTTAAATTTTAGTATAAGCAGTTTTCTAAATTTATGGTTAGATTTATTCCTTGAGTTTTGATCTATGGTCAGTATAATAATATAAGCCCTATTGACTATTCATTATGATTAGTTTTTCAAAATACAATTTTGTTGACTATGACATTATTAGGTTGTTACAATAGGATGAGTTACTGCTAATATTAGCCATTCTAATTATGTATATTATTAACATTTTAAAATTAAATAAAAGTTGTTTTTTTATTTTACAGTCCAACAATTCCTACAATGAATGCCAAAAAAGCTGGTTGTGTGTGAACCCAAATCAGTTTTGACTGCAAACAAGAATCAAGAAATATAACTGTCCCTTACATTATTTGCTTGCTGACATCTACATATCCAGAAGATATGCCACAATTAGGACTGTGCAAGCATTGTGGATAAAACTTTGGGCTTTCCGCAAGGAAATTTGATGTCGTGAAATGTAAATTTGACCTCATGGTTTACAAGAAGCTCACTTTAGATACACCTACATCATGATGTCAATATTAGAGCCATGTTATCTATAAAGACAGTGGTGTTAGTTTCTCAAAATTCAGATGTTTACTTGGTGAATGGATTTGAAAAAAAAAACAATGAATCTCTCATCATTTTACATACTGTTGCGCAAAGTTTTGCTGCGATACTACTAAGTAAGTACACTAAAGCTGCTTATGGTTTTATTAGCAAGATAAATGCTGTTTGTACTAGAACTTAAGAGCAATACAGCAGCAAAGTGCCCATCTACTATAAATAACTTATGATGTCAAGTTATTGAGCTCACCCTCTTCAAGCAGAATTGTGAATGTCGTCATAAGCTAAAGTTGTATGTGAATATTATTAGTACATTATTTGTCAAATTTGTATTAAACTATAGTTCAAATATGCTAAAATGCACTATATCAAGCTTATGTAAGTCTGTGAAAAAGACAATAGCAACTACACATGTCAATAGTTGATCAGAAAGGTTTAACTTTTAGTGCAAGTAAACTGCGGAATTGTGCAAACTAAACCACTATAAGATTATAAGTGGTAAAACTTCAGAAGAATGTGCAAACTATAGTTGGCAATGGTTTATTTTTCAACTGCTTATGTTGAACTTTGAATACTAAAAGTTTCTTCCTGATATTGCTGATAGATTTTTTTTTATGGCACTTTAAATGTTTAAAAGTTAATTTTCTCAAAACTTGTTTTTTCAAGATTTTTGCTTATTGTATCTCTAATGTTTTAGCTGTTTGCAGAGATAATGTCTTGAAACTTGGTGTACTTTTTCATTATTCATTTTATGGTGTAACTATACATGTGAGAATGATGTGCATTGTGTACATTTTTATTTTTAAGAAATTTCATAACTTGTATGCCTTGTTTTGAATGATACATTTTTTATAAAAATTGAAAAAAATGTTTCTTTTACATTTTAATGAAAACAAACTGCTACTGGACACTCTAGAATGGTTCTAGTTAAATAAACAGAAATAAAACCATCATTATTTGTTCACATTATTGAAACATTAGATTAGTAAAAAAGGTGTTTTTTTCAAGATGGCCGCCGTTACCATGGCAACCATGCATAATTAGGTCCTGAGAATGTGGAATTTTTATTTACAGTTGCTAACTATTAATAATAGTATATTAGTACTTGCTTATCTCTGCTGTGGGCTAGTTTGGTTTTTGCAGTGTAGTGGCCCCTTAATCAAATGTTACCCTCCCAAAGTTACACGTTTTCACACTGCCGTGACGTTTAAATATTAAAACAATAACAATAAAACTTCACAATATTAATAATAAACTTTTAAACGCACTGAATTTAAAAAAAAAGGGTAAGTGATCCCCCCTAAGCTGTCTCAAATATTCATATCTAACACTACGGGAAATGCAACTCGGGATATAGACATGATTTTTAATCAATGTTTAATTACACAAACTTTTAAAAATAGAATACAATCTCGTAGAAAAAAGAATTGCGCACCAAAGTGTGTTTAATAGTGCGGAATATTAGTACTTTATAAATTCAACTGCGTTTTTTGAGAAATTGGAAATAGCGTAAAGTACTACTTCCGGTGAACGGAAATTACTCAAAATTTGACAGAAGACAGAGATCTAGATCTTTTTCTTAGATATGAAATTCCGTTATCTATCTGAAATAGTACTCAAGTTATAGGCTTTTGAAAAATTCAAAGTAGAAAAAGTACCACTTCCGGTTATCGGAAATCGCTCAAAAGTTGATACGGATCTACGATTTTGATAAAATACTTATATATGAAATTTCATCAACCTAGCTGTAACGGTACTCAAGTTATCGTGTTTACACACAGACAGACAGACAGACAGACAGACAGACACACAGACATACGGACAAGATTGCAAAATTATGTTTTTCCGTATCAGTGAGATGTAAAACGTCGAGATTTGTAAAAATCTCGATTTTTTTTTTGCACGATTACAAGACTTTCTCTATACTTTGTATATACGAGAAAGTAAAAAGAAAAACTTTCTTTAAACATTAGTCTCTAAAAAGATGAGTGAGCTATTTTATGAAAGAAAACAAGTTTTAATGTTATTTTAAAGTTGTTTATTTTTATTGTTTTATTTTCTCCTCTTTAATAATTCGAGACATTAATTTCGCGCTACACAATTAGGGACTGTCCATTTCTGGTGGAGAGGTGGTGGGGGATACCCAACTCAGAGTGGACATAGCGCCAGTTTTTAGATGGCTTTTCCGAACACACACACACACACACACACACACACATATATATATATATATATATATATATATATATATATATATATATATATATATATATATATATATATATATATATATATATATATATATATATATACAATTATACATAGATACTGATTAAAAAATATATTTAAATAAGTGACAGTGACAATAATTTTTTTAACCAGCACTGTCTGTGCCACGGAGCCCAGTACACTGATTAGCTACCTACACAAACACTGACCAGGCCCGTACACTGACCTGCCCCGTACACTGACCAGCCCCGTACACTGACCAGGCCCGTACACTGACAAATGACTTGTGGTACAGAAATTGTCAGTTTTTTTTACTGGTGTGTAACTGTCAACCAATTATTTTAGCATCCATGAAGTCAGCGATGTCCCCTCCCACTGCCCCCCCCTCCCCTTACACCTGCAAACAAATTATGCGTGTTTGGTCGACTCTCTAATATCAACAAGACCCCCCCCCCCCCGCTTCGAAATGATAGAATTCTGATGCCTCGGGCATTATCGTTAGTCCGTCAAATCCTAATTTCAGTGAATGGGACCACCATTACACATGCGACGTTTTGTAGCTAAACTTTCAGCATGTGCATAGAGTGTGTTGGACGTTTTGTAGCTAAACTTTCAGCATGTGCATAGTGTGTTGGACGTTTTGTAGCTAAACTTTCAGCATGTGCATAGTGTGTGTTGGGCGTTTTGTAGCTAAACTTTCAGCATGTGCATAGTGTGTTGGGCGTTTTGTAGCTAAACTTTCAGCATGTGCATAGAGTGTGTTGGACGTTTTGTAGCTAAACTTTCAGAATGTGCATAGAGTGTGTTGGGCGTTTTGTAGCTAAACTTTCAGCATGTGCATAGAGTGTGTTGGGCGTTTTGTAGCTAAACTTTCAGCATGTGCATAGAGTGTGTTGGACGTTTTGTAGCTAAACTTTCAGCATGTGCATAGAGTGTGTTGGACGTTTTGTAGCTAAACTTTCAGCATGTGCATAGAGTGTGTTGGGCGTTTTGTAGCTAAACTTTCAGCATGTGCATAGTGTGTTGGGCGTTTTGTAGCTAAACTTTCAGCATGTGCATAGTGTGTTGGGCGTTTTGTAGCTAAACTTTCAGCATGTGCATAGAGTGTGTTGGACGTTTTGTAGCTAAACTTTCAGCATGTGCATAGAGTGTGTTGGACGTTTTGTAGCTAAACTTTCAGCATGTGCATAGAGTGTGTTGGGCGTTTTGTAGCTAAACTTTCAGCATGTGCATAGAGTGTGTTGGACGTTTTGTAGCTAAACTTTCAGCATGTGCATAGAGTGTGTTGGACGTTTTGTAGCTAAACTTTCAGCATGTGCATAGAGTGTGTTGGGCGTTTTGTAGCTAAACTTTCAGCATGTGCATAGAGTGTGTTGGACGTTTTGTAGCTAAACTTTCAGCATGTGCATAGAGTGTGTTGGACGTTTTGTAGCTAAACTTTCAGCATGTGCATAGAGTGTGTTGGGCGTTTTGTAGCTAAACTTTCAGCATGTGCATAGAGTGTGTTGGGCGTTTTGTAGCTAAACTTTCAGCATGTGCATAGAGTGTGTTGGGCGTTTTGTAGCTAAACTTTCAGCATGTGCATAGAGTGTGTTGGGAGCTGGTGGACAGGGTGGGGAAGAGCAGAGGCGTACCAACCCATTTTGGCGCTCGGGGCCAACTATCAATTTTTGCACCCCCCCTCCCATATTTACATACATTTACGTTGGCGAAAAAGCGCCCCCCCCTCCCACCAGTCACTGTTAAAATTAAATCACACAAAATATTTAACGTTTTTAATTTTAGTTTTGGTGCCCCCCTTAGGGTCGGCGCCATGGGCGACCTCCCCACCCGCCCTCCCTTAGCTACACCTCTGGGTGGGAGGGCTGGACGACCTCTCATTTATAAAAAAAATTTTTTTTTAGTTTAAAGACATTTAGGCTATAGGTCTACTTGTTCACAATTAAAGATTGTCCTAGAGTTTATCTAAATGTTATCACACAATTTGCCTGCGGTACTAGATCTACTTACCTTGAAAATACCTATTGAGTTGAATCACAAGAGATAAAACAAGTGGGTAAAAAAAAAACGTTTGGAAAGCGCTGTTTTCACTGCATGCGATGACGTCATGAGACCACATCAAGCGGTCAGATAACCCGGTCTTTTTCTACACGCTAGGGGCAGCTACTCTGGAAAAGCGGCGTTAGATAACGAAGCAGAAGTGGGTGCGTGCCTCTAGCCACTCACTGGTGAGTTTGTGGTGTGTAGATGCTGGGAGTTCACAGCGCGCGATGTGTAGGGGCAGACATGACGTGATTCACGCGTTGTTTTGTCTGGCCTTGTGGAGTACACGCTCCGTTCTGACATTGTCTAAACATGTCACTGGACTTAGCCTGATCCAACTCTACTGGCATGCCGTTTGTCATTTACTGACAGCTACTGTCATTTACTGACACAACCACTGACTCAGCTTCCTATAAAGTTTCAAGTGAGTGAGTTACCTTCTTTACCGGAATAACATTAATTAACTGGGCTACTAATTAATTAACTGGGCTACTAATTAATTAATTACACATGTATAGGCCCTAATGGTTAATTTAATTAACTACAGACTGGTGTGTAGTCTCGACTACTAGATCTAGTATTTCACGTTAGTCCATGATTTATTCTTTTTGTCATCTTGCCGCATGTATTGTATGCTTGCCGCATGTATTGTATGCTTGCCGCATGATTTTATCATCGTCATTCTCGTCTCAACTGTTGCCTTCATACAGGACCAGGAGATGCAGGTGAGATAATCGAAAACCTTAGGTTAGGGATTACGTTGGATTAAACCTTAGGTTAGGGATTAGGTTGGATTAAATCTTAGGTTAGGGATTAGGTTGGATTAAACCTTAGGTTAGGGATTAGGTTGGATTAAACCTTAGGTTAGGGATTAGGTTGGATTAAACCTCAGGTTAGGCTATTAGCCGAGGCGAGGAGGCAGGTATTGCAGCCCCATTCCCCCCCCCCCCCCCCCCCCCGCACCGGGACAATTTTTAAAAGAGTGGGTCCTGTTTTCGAGATGAAATCAACTTCATAATTAAAACACCTTTGAAACTGTAACTGAAACACCTTCCAGACACGTCCTGTCTTCTTCTGAAATTGAACCTATCGTACGTCTATCTCCATATCAATTACCCATCCGGCCCAGTCGTATATATATATATATATATATATATATATATATATATATATATATATATATATATATATAAACTATCCATCTAAGTTAGTTGTATTTCTATATCCACATCTTCTATCCATGAGTTTTTATATTTTTCTATAAACCTTTGAGAGACTACTGTATATTTCACTTTATTTTGGGAACACGAAAACTTGAGTACCGTTTCAGTTAAAATGCGAATTTTCACCTATTTGTATTAGCTCCTGTGTACGTACATTGCCTTAAACTTTTGAGCGATTTCCGAAAACCGAAAGAGATACTTTTACTCTATTTCCGATTTATCTCATCACGTCAGAATTTTAGAATTGAAATCATATTAAAACATATTCTTGGAGCTTGTCGCCTCAATCTGTTTTGTCACCAACTGTATCGCAACCCACTACAGTGTAGGGGACAGAACTCCCGCTGTATTTACTGTATTGGCCAATACGTTATGGATGATATCAAAGAACTGGCTTTGGGTTTTTGTAGCAACCAGCACTGAAGCTTCTTACCACAGCGACAGATGAGTGTCTTTAGACATCACATCTGATACGTGTCTTTAGACATCACTGATACGTGTCTTTAGACATCACATCTGATACGTGTCTTTAGACATCACTGATACGTGTCTTTAGACATCACATCTGATACGTGTCTTTAGACATCACATCTGATACGTGTCTTTAGACATCACATCTGATACGTGTCTTTAGACATCACTGATACGTGTCTTTAGACATCACATCTGATACGTGTCTTTAGACATCACATCTGATACGTGTCTTTAGACATCACATCTGATACGTGTCTTTAGACATCACATCTGATACGTGTCTTTAGACATCACATCTGATACGTGTCTTTAGACATCACATCTGATACGTGTCTTTAGACATCACATCTGATACGTGTCTTTAGACATCACATCTGATACGTGTCTTTAGACATCACATCTGATACGTGTCTTTAGACATCACATCTGATACGTGTCTTTAGACATCACTGATACGTGTCTTTAGACATCACATCTGATACGTGTCTTTTTTAACATCGTAACCGGAAGGATATACACCGCTTAATGCTTAGAAAGGAAACCAATTGTATAAACTAATAATATATGGTTCTGTGACTGTATTTATGAAACTGTAGGGTTGTATAGAGTTGTGTCCCTGTCACAAATTGTCTACAGGGAACTTTTCAAACGTACGCCGGTTTGACAAAATCTAATTAACACATACAAATGCTTCATCATTTCATTAAAGTTAATCAATTTAATTATGTTTGTTAATTAGTTGAAAAACTAGCAGACGGCTGTTGTTTTGTAGCATTTCTGTCGGAAATTGTCCACTTTTGTAGTGGTAACTTTTGGTCCATTGTTATAGTGGCTACCTGTGGTCCATTGTTGTAGTGATGGCTACCTTTGGTCCATTGTTGTAGTGATGGCTACCTTCGGTCCATTGTTGTAATGGCTACCTTTGGTCCATTGTTGTAGTGATGGCTACCTTCGGTCCATTGTTGTAGTGATGGCTACCTTTGGTCCATTGTTGTAATGGCTACCTTTGGTCCATTGTTGTAGTGATGGCTACCTTCGGTCCATTGTTGTAATGGCTACCTTTGGTCCATTGTTGTAGTGATGGCTACCTTTGGTCCATTGTTGTAGTGATGGCTACCTTCGGTCCATTGTTGTAGTGATGGCTACCTTCGGTCCATTGTTGTAAGGCTACCTTTGGTCCATTGTTGTAGTAATGGCTACCCGTGGTCCATTGTTGTAATCAATATTTACAATCAGGCAATTAGTGCTTCATTAATTAAAATCTAAATGTTTGTTAATATATTATTGTCCGTCCACAGGATGTGTCTGCCCCCCCCCTCCCCAACCCCGACCGTCTTATTTAAAGTCTGTAAAAAGAAGAATTATCAAGTTCTACAGAATTAGTGTTCAATTGGTAAAAATAGTAATAAAAAATATAGATTTGTAAAAAGATCTAAATGAAATAAAATATAAAAACCTTTATTATAATAACCTTTTAAATGTAGATCTACTTAAAATAAGAAAATAAAACTATTCTGCTTTCTTTGATCAAATTTCTTATTACAGAAAGGAAATTAATTTAAATTTCTTGTTATACGTTTTTTTTAAATATGTATTTTATTAGTCATTCATTCTAAATCTAGATGTCACTACATAAATCCGACTAAAATATTTGCGTTAAAGCCCGACTAATAGCCCTAAAAGACAGTTACCAACCGTAATCCACAAACAAATAAACAAACTGACGTTTTAATCTTACATAAAAGTTTGTAAAAAACTGAAACAAAATAAACCGTAGTGATCTCCCCTAAACTTTCTCGATTATTCTTATATAACACTACGGGGGTTCGCAACTCGGGACATAGATAATATTTTAAATCCATTTTAATTACTTAAACTTTTAAAAATAGAATAGAATCTCGTAGAAAAAAACATTGCACACCAAATGAACGCCATTTAAAATGTGTATAATAGTGCGGAATATTATTAGTACTTTATAAATTCACATGCATTTTTTGAGAAATCGGAAATAGTCTAAAATTACTACTTCCGGTCAACGGAAGTTACTCAAAATTTGATAGAAGGTAGAGAATTAGATCTTTTACTTCCATTTGAAATATCAGTTATCTATCTGAAATAGTAGGCCACTCAAGTTATAGAATATTGAAAAATTGAAGGTAGAAAAGTTCCACTTCCGGTTATCGGAAATCGCTGAAAAGTTTTACGGATCTACACATTTGATATAATACTTATATATGAAATTTCATCGTGTTTACATACATACACACAAACACACAGACATACGGACAAGATTGCAAAATTAGGTTTTTCCGACTCAGGGAGGTGTAAAACGTCGAGATTTGCAAAAATCTCGATTTTTTTTTTTGCACGATTACAATACTTTCTCTATACACTGTAGGCTATATACGAGAAAGTAAAAAGTCACAGAAAAAAAAGTCCAGATGTGTATTAAGAAATATTTTATTTTACTTGTTAAGAATTATAACATTTTGTGTGTGCATAAATGGGTTTTGTTACATATTTATTTAAATACCTGGTAGAAAAAATAATTTTTAAAAGTAATGTAGGCACCTCATTATGTTATGTGTTTTTTAGCCTTTCGTCAGTCAGCAAAAAGATAGATACAAATGGTCTGTCAGTCCGTGCAGTGTTGACGTTTTGCTTTAACGACAGCTTTTGTACCGTGTCGGCTTTTGTACCGTGTCGGCTTTTTGTCTTGATCCTCTGCTCTGCGATGTAACGAGGGCGATACATATAGGCAGTAAAGTTGGCTGAGCTAAAGTTGGCTGAGCTAATGTTGGCTGAGCTAAGGTTGGTTGAGCTAAAGTTGGCTGAGCTAAAGTTGGCTGAGCTAAAGTTGGCTGAGCTAATGTTGGCTGAGCTAAAGTTGGCTGTGCTAAAGTTGGCTGTGCTAAAGTTGGCTGAGCTAATGTTGGCTGAGCTAATGTTGGCTGAGCTAAAGTTGGCTGAGCTAATGTTGGCTGAGCTAAAGTTGGCTGAGCTAAAGTTGGCTGAGCTAAAGTTGGCTGAGCTAAAGTTGGCTGAGCTAAAGTTGGCTGAGCTAATGTTGGCTGAGCTAAAGTTGGCTAAGCTAAAGTTGGCTGAGCAAATGTTGCGACTAATTGAGGACAGTAAATCATATTAGCTAGCTCTATGTCTTATTCCCATTTCACGCTGATTCAAAGTTGGAATTTTATAACAACGATGAAAACTGAGTAGGTTGGAACATTCTGTAACGTAAAACCTACACACTTCAGACTAAATATTTTTACGTGTGTTACCATACAAATACAACCTACGCACATAGGCCCTATATCTAAAATGTTTACATTTCATTAAAGGTATGCAGAAGAGACATAACACCAGACCAAAATAACTGATAAAACAGTCACACAATCTTTAAAATACTCCATTCATACGACCCAACCCCTCATTTCATAATCACACGACCCCATTTTATAATTATACGACCCCCCCTCCCCCAATTGATGTTAACTCGACCTCCCCCAATTGATGTTAACTCGATCTCCCCCCTCCCCCAATTGATGTTAACTCGACCTCCCCCCTCCCCCAATTGATGTTAACTCGACCTCCCCCCTCCCCCTAATGATGTTAACTCGACCTCCCCCCCCATTGATGTTAACTCGACCTCCCCCTCCCCCAATTGATGTTAACTCGACCTCCCCCCTCCCCCCCATTGATGTTAACTCGATCTCCCCCCTCCCCCAATTGATGTTAACTCGACCTCCCCCCTCCCCCAATTGATGTTAACTCGACCTCCCCCCTCCCCCAATTGATGTTAACTCGACCTCCCCCCATTGATGTTAACTCGACCTCCCCTCTCCCCCAATTGATGTTAACTCGACCTCCCCCTCCCTCCATTGATGTTAACTCGACCTCCCCCCCCCCAATTGATGTTAACTCGACCTCCCCCCCCCCAATTGATGTTAACTCGACCTCCCCCCCAATTGATGTTAACTCGACCTCCCCCCCCCTAATTGATGTTAACTCGACCTCCCCCCAATTGATGTTAACTCGACCTCCCCTCTCCCCCAATTGATGTTAACTCGACCTCCCCCTCCCTCCATTGATGTTAACTCGACCTCCCCCCCCCCAATTGATGTTAACTCGACCTCCCCCCCCAATTGATGTTAACTCGACCTCCCCCCCAATTGATGTTAACTCGACCTCCCCCCCCCCCCTAATTGATGTTAACTCGACCTCCCCCCAATTGATGTTAACTCGACCTCCCCCCCCCAATTGATGTTAACTCGACCTCCCCCCCAATTGATGTTAACTCGACCTCCCCCCCCAATTGATGTCAACTCGACCTCCCCCCTCCCCCAATTGATGTTAACTCGATCTCCCCCCTCCCCCAATTGATGTTGACCTCCCCCCCCCAATTGATGTTAACTCGACCTCCCCCCTCCCCCAATTCATGTTAACTCGACCTCCCCCTCCCCCAATTGATGTTAACTCGACCTCCCCCTCCCCCAATTGATGTTAACTCGAGCCCCCCTCCTCCCCCCAGATGCCGCACAAGTCCGACGTCCGTCTGCTCAGCTGTGTCCTCAGACGATGTTTCTCACGGCGGACTCTGCTGGCCCTGCTCTCGCTGGTCCTGCTAGCCCTGGTCAGCTTACACCTGGGCAGCTTACACCTGGGCGAGTCCTTGATCTACCGCCCTGACCGCCTGCAGAAGAAGCCGCGCGATGACGTCATCTGGCCTGGGTGTGTCCTGCCACGACTTGAGGTCGACGACCCGGTGATGAAACGCTTCTACGCCGTGCCCGCCCCCATCACGTGCTCGCCAGACCCGGACTGGGTGTACGTGGACAACGGCACCCTCAGGTTCTCCCCTCAAGTGCTGGCCAAGTTGGGCAACTTCTCCTGTGATTATTTCCCCTTGCTGCGGGGCCGGACAGACGAGTCCGTGTCCTGGGGGCAGAAGGTGACCCGTGTGGTGGGCGGGGCGCCAATCTCATCCGACTACTTTAAAGTGGACTGTCGGACGACAGGGGAGCCTGTGGTCACTTACACCGACATACACCTGGGGGTGGCGCCTAACAAAGTCATTGAAGAACGTTTTTCACGCGTCCGGCCACCGGTCAGTGGTCTAGACGGACTCTCAATTCTTGTATTGGGCTATGACTCAATGTCGCGAATGTCCTGGATACGGCGCATGCGCCAGACGAGGGAGTATTTCCTGTCCGTGTTAGATGGCATCGAACTGGAAGGATTCAACATCATGGGCGATGGTACTCCGGCAGCTTTGTTCCCGATACTTACAGGTCAGTTGTTACACCACCCACAGGTCAGTTGTTACACCACCCACAGGTCAGTTGTTACACCACCCACCACCCACAGGTCAGTTGTTACACCACCCACCACCCACAGGTCAGTTGTTACACCACCCACAGGTCAGTTGTTACACCACCCACAGGTCAGTTGTTACACCACCCACAGGTCAGTTGTTACACCACCCACAGGTCAGTTGTTACACCACCCACAGGTCAGTTGTTACACCACCCACAGGTCAGTTGTTACACCACCCACCACCCACAGGTCAGTTGTTACACCACCCACAGGTCAGTTGTTACACCACCCACAGGTCAGTTGTTACACCACCCACAGGTCAGTTGTTACACCACCCACCACCCACAGGTCAGTTGTTACACCACCCACTGGTCAGTTGTTACACCACCCACCACCCACAGGTCAGTTGTTACACCACCCACCACCCACCACCCACAGGTCAGTTGTTACACCACCCACCACCCACAGGTCAGTTGTTACACCACCCACCACCCACAGGTCAGTTGTTACACCACCCACAGGTCAGTTGTTACACCACCCACCACCCACAGGTCAGTTGTTACGCCACCCACCACCTACAGGTCAGTTGTTACACCACCCACTGGTCAGTTGTTACACCACCCACCACCCACTGGTCAGTTGTTACACCACCCACCACCCACAGGTCAGTTGTTACACCACCCACCATCCATAGGTCAGTTGTTACACCACCCACCACCCACAGGTCAGTTGTTACACCACCCACCACCCACAGGTCAGTTGTTACACCACCCACAGGTCAGTTGTTACACCACCCAAAGGTCAGTTGTTACACCACCCACCACCCACAGGTCAGTTGTTACACCACCCACCACCCACAGGTCAGTTGTTACACCACCCACTGGTCAGTTGTTACACCACCCACCACCCACAGGTCAGTTGTTACACCACCCACCACCCACAGGTCAGTTGTTACACCACCCACAGGTCAGTTGTTACACCACCCACCACCCACAGGTCAGTTGTTACACCACCCAAAGGTCAGTTGTTACACCACCCACCACCCACTGGTCAGTTGTTACACCACCCACCACCCAAAGGTCAGTTGTTACACCACCCACCACCCACTGGTCAGTTATTACACCACCCACCACCCACCACCCACAGGTCAGTTATTACACCACCCACCACCCACCACCCACAGGTCAGTTATTACACCACCCACCACCCACAGGTCAGTTGTTACACCACCCACCACCCACAGGTCAGTTGTTACACCACCCACAGGTCAGTTGTTACACCACCCACCACCCATAGGTCAGTTGTTACACCACCCACAGGTCAGTTGTTACACCACCCACCACCCACAGGTCAGTTGTTACACCACCCACCACCCAAAGGTCAGTTGTTACACCACCCAAAGGTCAGTTGTTACACCACCCACAGGTCAGTTGTTACACCACCCAAAGGTCAGTTGTTACACCACCCACCACCCACAGGTCAGTTGTTACACCACCCACCACCCACAGGTCAGTTGTTACACCACCCACCACCCACTGGTCAGTTGTTACACCACCCACCACCCACAGGTCAGTTGTTACACCACCCACCACCCACAGGTCAGTTGTTACACCACCCACCACCCACAGGTCAGTTGTTACACCACCCACTGGTCAGTTGTTACACCACCCACCACCCACAGGTCAGTTGTTACACCACCCACCACCCACAGGTCAGTTGTTACACCACCCACCACCCACAGGTCAGTTGTTACACCACCCACCACCCAAAGGTCAGTTGTTACACCACCCACCACCCACTGGTCAGTTGTTACACCACCCACAGGTCAGTTATTACACCACCCACCACCCACCACCCACAGGTCAGTTGTTACACCACCCACCACCCACTGGTCAGTTGTTACACCACCCACTGGTCAGTTGTTACACCACCCACAGGTCAGTTGTTACACCACCCACAGGTCAGTTATTACACCACCCAAAGGTCAGTTGTTACACCACCCACCACCCAAAGGTCAGTTGTTACACCACCCACCACCCACTGGTCAGTTGTTACACCACCCACCACCCACTGGTCAGTTGTTACACCACCCACAGGTCAGTTATTACACCACCCACCACCCACCACCCACAGGTCAGTTGTTACACCACCCACCACCCACAGGTCAGTTGTTACACCACCCACTGGTCAGTTGTTACACCACCCACTGGTCAGTTGTTACACCACCCACTGGTCAGTTGTTACACCACCCACTGGTCAGTTGTTACACCACACACAGGTCAGTTGTTACACCAGGTTGGATCAATAGTGTGTGGCCTGTCACGTGACCTCACCAAGGACATCAAACAAACCTTGTACTTTTGTCTCATCCATTCGTGCAACGCTGGACATGTCATTTAGCTAGCTCGTGACATGTCATTTGACCAGCTGTGTGGACATGTCATTTAGCTAGCTCGTGACATGTCATTTGGTCAAACAGATGGGCAACACGCTACCATTAGTGTCGGAGGCACGCACTGGTTGGATCAAGTGTGTCATTTCTATACATTATACTCTATATAGGCCTATAATATGTTATATTATACTTTATATAGGCCTATAATATGTTATATTATACTTTATATAGGCCTATAATATGTTATATTATACTTTACATAGGACTATAATATGTTTCTTGTTAGGGCTGAAGAAGAGGGGGGGGGGCGTGATCGTGCTCGCCCAAATAGATGCCTGAAAGAAACTCTGTCATAGTCTGACCTTGTGGTGTCTGTTCCAGGGCACCACGAGACGGAAATGTACGAGTCACGCCGGAAATTTCGGGGTGCCAGGCCAGTAGACGACTACCCCTGGATCTGGAAAGATTTCGCTAACGCGGGATACATGACGTCATGGGCAGACGCTGAGGTCTACATGGCGCCCTTTAATATGAGGTATCATTTAAATACGCGTGTATGTGTATATATGTGTATATATATATATATATATATATATATATATATATATATATATATATATATATATATATATATATATATATATATATATATATATATATATATATATATATATATATATATATATATATATATATAAGTAGTACTGTTACAAAAACAACGTTTTTGGTTGTCAACCAACAAAGAAAAGTTCAATGCCAAAAACGAACCGAGCTAGCAATCAGAATGCTCCTGTAGTGCCCCTACAATCAGAATGCCCCTGTAGTGCCCCTACTATCAGAATGCCCCTGTAGTGCCCCTACTATCAGAATGCCCCTGTAGTGCCCCTACAATCAGAATGCCCCTGTAGTGCCCCTACTATCAGAATGCCCCTGTAGTGCCCCTACTATCAGAATGCCCCTGTAGTGCCCCTACTATCAGAATGCCCCTGTAGTGCCCCTACAATCAGAATGCCCCTGTAGTGCCCCTACTATCAGAATGCCCCTGTAGTGCCCCTACTATCAGAATGCCCCTGTAGTGCCCCTACAATCAGAATGCCCCTGTAGTGCCCCTACTATCAGAATGCCCCTGTAGTGCCCCTACTATCAGAATGCCCCTGTAGTGCCCCTACTATCAGAATGCCCCTGTAGTGCCCCTACTATCAGAATGCCCATGTAGTGCCCCTACAATCAGAATGCCCCTGTAGTGCCCCTACTATCAGAATGCCCCTGTAGTGCCCCTACTATCAGAATGCCCCTGTAGTGCCCCTACAATCAGAATGCCCCTGTAGTGCCCCTACTATCAGAATGCCCCTGTAGTGCCCCTACTATCAGAATGCCCCTGTAGTGCCCCTACAGTCAGAATGCCCCTGTAGTGCCCCTACTATCAGAATGCCCCTGTAGTGCCCCTACAATCAGAATGCCCCTGTAGTGCCCCTACAGTCAGAATGCCCCTGTAGTGCCCCTACTATCAGAATGCCCCTGTAGTGCCCCTACAATCAGAATGCCCCTACAATCAGAATGCCCCTACAATCAGAATGCCCCTGTAGTGCCCCTACTATCAGAATGCCCCTGTAGTGCCCCTACAATCAGAATGCCCCTACAATCAGAATGCCCCTACAATCAGAATGCCCCTACAATCAGAATGCCCCTGTAGAGCCTGAGCGCCTGTTATAGCCACGTCCTTGTGCCTACAGGCTGCTGGGTTTCAAACGTCCACCTACAGACTACTACATGCGACCCTACTACCTGGGGGTGGAGCTGATGAAGAAAAGCAAGAAGTACAAGCCCCACTGCCGGGGCTCGCTGAGCCAACACAAGATCTGGCTCGACTGGCCCCGGGACATGTTCTACATGTACGGCAACAGGCCCAAGTTCATGGTCCACTTCTACGCCAGTCTCAGCCACGACGACAACAATCGGCTCATTCACGTAAGTCTATACATCGGCTGTGTGGATTCACGTAAGTCTATACATCGACTGTGTGGATTTACGTAAGTCTATACATCGGCTGTGTGGATTCACGTAAGTCTATACATCAGATGTGTGGATTCACGTAAGTCTATACATCGGCTGTGTGGATTCACGTAAGTCTATACATCAGCGGTGTGGATTCACGTAAGTCTATACATCGGCTGTGTGGATTCACGTAAGTCTATACATCGGCTGTGTGGATTCACATGTCTATACATCAGCGGTGTGGATTCACGTAAGTCTATACATCGGCTGTGTGGATTTACGTAAGTCTATACATCGGCTGTGTGGATTCACGTAAGTCTATACATCAGATGTGTGGATTCACGTAAGTCTATACATCAGATGTGTGGATTCACGTAAGTCTATACATCGGCTGTGTGGATTCACGTAAGTCTATACATCAGCGGTGTGGATTCACGTAAGTCTATACATCGGCTGTGTGGATTCACGTAAGTCTATACATCAGCGGTGTGGATTCACGTAAGTCTATACATCAGCGGTGTGGATTCACGTAAGTCTATACATCGGCTGTGTGGATTCACGTAAGTCTATACATCGGCTGTGTGGATTCACGTAAGTCTATACATCGGCTGTGTGGATTCACGTAAGTCTATACATCGGCTGTGTGGATTCACGTAAGTCTATACATCGGCTGTGTGGATTCACGAAAGTCTATACATCAGCTGTGTGGATTCACGTAAGTCTATACATCAGATGTGTGGATTCACGTAAGTCTATACATCGGCTGTGTGGATTCACGTAAGTCTATACATCAGATGTGTGGATTCACATGTCTATACATCAGATGTGTGGATTCACATGTCTATACATCGGCTGTGTGGATTCACGTAAGTCTATACATCAGCTGTGTGGATTCACGTACGTCTATACATCAGATGTGTGGATTCACGTAAGTCTATACATCGGCTGTGTGGATTCACGTAAGTCTATACATCAGATGTGTGGATTCACGTAAGTCTATACATCGGCTGTGTGGATTCACGTAAGTCTATACATCAGATGTGTGGATTCACATGTCTATACATCAGATGTGTGGATTTACGTAAGTCTATACATCGGCTGTGTGGATTCACGTAAGTCTATACATCAGATGTGTGGATTCACATGTCTATACATCAGATGTGTGGATTCACGTAAGTCTATACATCAGATGTGTGGATTCACGTAAGTCTATACATCAGATGTGTGGATTCACGTAAGTCTATACATCAGATGTGAGGATTCACAAGTCTATACATCAGATGTGTGGATTCACGTAAGTCTATACATCAGATGTGTGGATTTACGTAAGTCTATACATCAGATGTGTGGATTCACATGTCTATACATCAGATGTGTGGATTCACGTAAGTCTATACATCAGATGTGTGGATTCACGTAAGTCTATACATCAGATGTGTGGATTCACGTAAGTCTATACATCAGATGTGAGGATTCACAAGTCTATACATCAGATGTGTGGATTCACGTAAGTCTATACATCAGATGTGTGGTCTACGTTTTGCCACTAGTCAGAAACGTTTGAAGCAAGCCTGGTCAGAATGTATAAATTCCCTTTGAAATCTATTTTTATTCTGCAGGCAGACGGCGAGCTGAAGCACTTCCTGCAGGACCTGCAGGACAAAGGCTACCTGAACCACACGGTCCTGGTCCTCATGGGGGACCACGGCGCCAGGTTCTCTCAGTTCCGTGAGACTTGGCCAGGTAAACTTGAAGAGCGCCTGCCTTACCTGGCCTTGAGGTTCCCGCCCTGGTTCCACCAGAAGTACCCGGGGGTGGTGAAGAATGTCAGGCTAAACAAAGATCGACTGAGCACACCTCTGGACCTGCATGCCACTTTTGTTGACGTCTTGAAGTTTGAGGGCTCTGGGCGGGGAAGTTTGAAGCACCGTGCCATCAGCCTGTTGAAGGAGATCCCAGTGGAGCGTGGCTGCCCTCAGGCCAACATCAGCAACCACTGGTGCGCCTGCTTGAACTGGGCACAGGTCCCCAGCACTGACCCTTTCGTCGTGAGGGCAGCCCTGACAGCTGTGGATAAGATCAACAACCTGACCAGTCCGTTCAGGCCCGAGTGTCACAAGCTGATGCTGCACAATGTCACGCTGGCCACCAAGCTGGAACCCCATGAAGACTTTGTCAGGTTCCGTAAGTCTGTCGACATTCACGGCAGAGTTGCAGACTTCTCGGCGGCCAGCACCAACAAGGTGGTGCTGTACCAGATCACCTTCTACACGCGGCCCGGCCAGGGTCAGTTTGAGGTGACCGTCAACCATGTCCAGACATCTGACCGCATGGAGGTCAACGAGAAGGAGATGAGCAGGATCAACAAATATGGCACGGACTCGCTCTGTATCATGGACAAGGACAGACAGCTACGGCAGTTTTGTTACTGCAAGTCTACAGCGTCAACATAACAGCCAACCTGTACTACAGCTTTAACATAACAGCCAACCTGTACTACAGCTTCAACATAACAGCCAACCTGTACAGCTTCAACAGCTGATCTCAATGTGTGCCTCATGGAACAAATAACATGATTCATTTTGTTAAATGGCGTAGTTATTGAAAACATTTGAGAAAAAAATGAATTATCAAATGCGATATTTATTGAGCTATTTATTGTAATGCAGTGCATGCTGGCGAGGTATCCATTGACGTGGGCACTGGTCAGAAATATCTGCTCCCCAGCTGTGTGACCCAAATGACTTGCCGCTCATTTAGCTAGGAGTCATCAAATGTTAAAGAAATACACTTTTTCCGCCACTCAATCCGAATAGAGAGACTCTCTCCTTCAAATCTTGGAACAGTTTGTATGTTTAACTCAATGTTCAGTGATATTTTACCCAAGTTAACTTTAGTTGCCTGAAACGCATTTGTTGTAAGCTCGTATTGTATACGACTTGTGAACATTTAAATACTCTACGTCTGTATTAGAAATCCTTTAAATTATTTATTATTGCCCTTCGCATAAACTGATGCTCATTACTTCCCTTTGATTTCTACATCACCCGTTTATCTACGGGGTAGCCTGGTAGGTTTTTGTTGAATATTATAGGCAATTGTATGAGGTTATCGATTAGTGCATGACTAAGGGCAGCACACTTCATCGCAATGAATGGCATTATCTTCATGAGTTAAAATATTTACAGCACACATGATCACAATGAATGGCATTATCTTCATGAAATATTTACTGAGTGTGTGATACGAATACCATTAAGAGTGAAAATATCGAATGTGTGATATCGAAATAAATATTAGTGTGATAATATTTCATATGTGAATATTCCCTTGAATCTCCCATGCTTATCTAGGCAGTGAAAACTTTGTATATGCTGCTGAAAGATTAAGCAAAGTTTGACTTACCATTAACAATCATCACCCTCAATGGATACATACATTGAATGGGCAATGACATTTTACAGCAAGAAAAAAAAATGGTTGGTGCCTGTATAGCTCCAAGGATTTAAAAAAAATAATTCTCGTGGCTACACCCCCAGTCCTACACTAGTCACCACTACACCCCCAGTCCTACACTAGTCACCACTACACCCCCAGTCCTACACTAGTCACCACTACACCCCCAGTCCTACACTAGTCACCACTACACCCCCAGTCCTACACTAGTCACCACTACACCCCCAGTCCTACACTAGTCACCACTACACCCCCAGTCCTACACTAGTCACCACTACACCCCCTGTCCTACACTAGTCACCACTACACCCCCAGTCCTACACTAGTCACCACTACACCCCCAGTCCTACACTAGTCACCACTACACCCCCAGTCCTACACTAGTCACCACTACACCCCCAGTCCTACACCAGTCAGTCACCACTACACCCCAGTCCTACACTAGTCACCACTACACCCCCAGTCCTACACTAGTCACCACTACACCCCCAGTCCTACACTAGTCACCACTACACCCACCGTCCTAGTCACCACTACACCCCCAGTCCTACACTAGTCACCACTACACCCCCAGTCCTACACTAGTCACCACTACACCCCCAGTCCTGCAGTCACCACTACACCCCCAGTCCTACACTAGTCACCACTACACCCCCAGTCCTACACTAGTCACCACTACACCCCCTGTCCTACACTAGTCACCACTACACCCCCAGTCCTACACTAGTCACCACTACACCCCCAGTCCTACACTAGTCACCACTACACCCCCAGTCCTACACTAGTCACCACTACACCCCCTGTCCTACACTAGTCACCACTACACCCCCAGTCCTACACTAGTCACCACTACACCCCCAGTCCTACACTAGTCACCACTACACCCCCAGTCCTACACCAGTCAGTCACCACTACACCCCAGTCCTACACTAGTCACCACTACACCCCCAGTCCTACACTAGTCACCACTACACCCCCAGTCCTACACTAGTCACCACTACACCCCCTGTCCTACACTAGTCACCACTACACCCCCAGTCCTACACTAGTCACCACTACACCCACCGTCCTAGTCACCACTACACCCCCAGTCCTACACTAGTCACCACTACACCCCCAGTCCTACACTAGTCACCACTACATCCCCTGTCCTACACTAGTCACCACTACACCCCCAGTCCTGCAGTCACCACTACACCCCCAGTCCTACACTAGTCACCACTACACCCCCAGTCCTACACTAGTCACCACTACACCCCCTGTCCTACACTAGTCACCACTACACCCCCAGTCCTACACTAGTCACCACTACACCCCCAGTCCTACACTAGTCACCACTACACCCCCTGTCCTACACTAGTCACCACTACACCCCCAGTCCTACACTAGTCACCACTACACCCCCAGTCCTACACTAGTCACCACTACACCCCCAGTCCTACACTAGTCACCACTACACCCCCTGTCCTACACTAGTCACCACTACACCCCCAGTCCTACACTAGTCACCACTACACCCCCAGTCCTACACTAGTCACCACTACACCCCCAGTCCTACACTAGTCACCACTACACCCCCAGTCCTACACCAGTCACCACTACACCCCCAGTCCTACACTAGTCACCACTACACCCCCAGTCCTACACTAGTCACCACTACACCCCCAGTCCTACACTAGTCACCACTACACCCCCAGTCCTACACTAGTCACCACTACACCCCCTGTCCTACACTAGTCACCACTACACCCCCAGTCCTACACTAGTCACCACTACACCCCCAGTCCTACACTAGTCACCACTACACCCCCAGTCCTACACTAGTCACCACTACACCCCCAGTCCTACACCAGTCAGTCACCACTACACCCCAGTCCTACACTAGTCACCACTACACCCCCAGTCCTACACTAGTCACCACTACACCCCCAGTCCTACACTAGTCACCACTACACCCACCGTCCTAGTCACCACTACACCCCCAGTCCTACACTAGTCACCACTACACCCCCAGTCCTACACTAGTCACCACTACACCCCCAGTCCTGCAGTCACCACTACACCCCCAGTCCTACACTAGTCACCACTACACCCCCAGTCCTACACTAGTCACCACTACACCCCCTGTCCTACACTAGTCACCACTACACCCCCAGTCCTACACTAGTCACCACTACACCCCCAGTCCTACACTAGTCACCACTACACCCCCAGTCCTACACTAGTCACCACTACACTCCCTGTCCTACACTAGTCACCACTACACCCCCAGTCCTACACTAGTCACCACTACACCCCCAGTCCTACACTAGTCACCACTACACCCCCAGTCCTACACCAGTCAGTCACCACTACACCCCAGTCCTACACTAGTCACCACTACACCCCCAGTCCTACACTAGTCACCACTACACCCCCAGTCCTACACTAGTCACCACTACACCCCCTGTCCTACACTAGTCACCACTACACCCCCAGTCCTACACTAGTCACCACTACACCCACCGTCCTAGTCACCACTACACCCCCAGTCCTACACTAGTCACCACTACACCCCCAGTCCTACACTAGTCACCACTACATCCCCTGTCCTACACTAGTCACCACTACACCCCCAGTCCTGCAGTCACCACTACACCCCCAGTCCTACACTAGTCACCACTACACCCCCAGTCCTACACTAGTCACCACTACACCCCCTGTCCTACACTAGTCACCACTACACCCCCAGTCCTACACTAGTCACCACTACACCCCCAGTCCTACACTAGTCACCACTACACCCCCTGTCCTACACTAGTCACCACTACACCCCCAGTCCTACACTAGTCACCACTACACCCCCAGTCCTACACTAGTCACCACTACACCCCCAGTCCTACACTAGTCACCACTACACCCCCTGTCCTACACTAGTCACCACTACACCCCCAGTCCTACACTAGTCACCACTACACCCCCAGTCCTACACTAGTCACCACTACACCCCCAGTCCTACACTAGTCACCACTACACCCCCAGTCCTACACCAGTCACCACTACACCCCCAGTCCTACACTAGTCACCACTACACCCCCAGTCCTACACTAGTCACCACTACACCCCCAGTCCTACACTAGTCACCACTACACCCCCAGTCCTACACTAGTCACCACTACACCCCCTGTCCTACACTAGTCACCACTACACCCCCAGTCCTACACTAGTCACCACTACACCCCCAGTCCTACACTAGTCACCACTACACCCACCGTCCTAGTCACCACTACACCCCCAGTCCTACACTAGTCACCACTACACCCCCAGTCCTACACTAGTCACCACTACATCCCCTGTCCTACACTAGTCACCACTACACCCCCAGTCCTGCAGTCACCACTACACCCCCAGTCCTACACTAGTCACCACTACACCCCCAGTCCTACACTAGTCACCACTACACCCCCTGTCCTACACTAGTCACCACTACACCCCCAGTCCTACACTAGTCACCACTACACCCCCAGTCATACACTAGTCACCACTACACCCTCAGTCCTACACTAGTCACCACTACACCCCCAGTCCTGCAGTCACCACTACACCCCCTGTCCTACACTAGTCACCACTACACCCCCAGTCCTACACTAGTCACCACTACACCCCCAGTCCTACACTAGTCACCACTACACCACCTGTCCTACACTAGTCACCACTACACCCCCAGTCCTACAGTCACCACTACACCCCCAGTCCTACACTAGTCACCACTACACCCCCAGTCCTACACTAGTCACCACTACACCCCCTGTCCCACACTAGTCACCACTACACCCCCAGTCCTACACTAGTCACCACTACACCCCCTGTCCTACACTAGTCACCACTACACCCCCAGTCCTACACTAGTCACCACTACACCCCCTGTCCTACACTAGTCACCACTACACCCCCAGGCCTACACTAGTCACCACTACACCCCCTGTCCTACACTAGTCACCAACTTTCTTGCCAGATTTAACAACAGCATTTTTGTCAAATTTTGATTTTGAATGGTAAATACTTGCGACTTTTATCTAATGTAAAATAATACATATTATTTATATTTATAAGAACTATTTATGCTATTATTTTTTTATGTAAAGATGAATTAAACCTTTCATTTTATTCTTTATTAAATGTAGATGTTCTGTGTTCTAAATGTAGATGTTCTGTGTTCTAAATGTAGATGTTCTGTGTTCTAAATGTAGATGTTCTGTGTTCTAAATGTAGATGTTCTGTGTTTTAAATGTAGATGTTCTGTGTTCTAAATGTAGATGTTCTGTGTTCTAAATGTAGATGTTCTGTGTTCTAAATGTAGATGTGTTCTAAATGTAGATGTTCTGTGTTCTCAATGTAGATGTGTTCTAAATGTAGATGTTCTGTGTTCTAAATGTAAATGTTCTGTGTTCTAAATGTAGATGTTCTGTGTTCTAAATGTAGATGTTCTGTGTTCTAAATGTAGATGTGTTCTAAATGTAGATGTTCTGTGTTCTAAATGTAGATGTGTTCTAAATGTAGATGTTCTGTGTTCTAAATGTAGATGTTCTGTGTTCTAAATGTAGATGTTCTGTGTTCTAAATGTAGATGTTCTGTGTTCTAAATGTAGATGTTCTGTGTTCTAAATGTAGATGTTCTGTGTTCTAAATGTAGATGTGTTCTAAATGTAGATGTTCTGTGTTCTCAATGTAGATGTGTTCTAAATGTAGATGTTCTGTGTTCTAAATGTAAATGTTCTGTGTTCTAAATGTAGATGTTCTGTGTTCTAAATGTAGATGTTCTGTGTTCTAAATGTAGATGTGTTCTAAATGTAGATGTTCTGTGTTCTAAATGTAGATGTGTTCTAAATGTAGATGTTCTGTGTTCTAAATGTAAATGTTCTGTGTTCTAAATGTAGATGTTCTGTGTTCTAAATGTAGATGTTCTGTGTTCTAAATGTAGATGTTCTGTGTTCTCAATGTAGATGTTCTGTGTTCTAAATGTAGATGTTCTGTGTTCTAAATGTAGATGTTCTGTGTTCTAAATGTAGATGTTTGTGTTCTAAATGTAGATGTTCTGTGTTCTAAATGTAGATGTTCTGTGTTCTAAATGTAGATGTGTTCTAAATGTAGATGTGTTCTAAATGTAGATGTTCTTTGTTCTAAATGTAGATGTTCTGTGTTCTAAATGTAGATGTTCTGTGTTCTAAATGTAGATGTGTTCTAAATGTAGATGTTCTGTGTTCTAAATGTAGATGTTCTGTGTTCTCAATGTAGATGTGTTCTAAATGTAGATGTGTTCTAAATGTAGATGTTCTGTGTTCTAAATGTAGATGTTCTGTTCTTTCAGAGCTTATTTGTAGTGTGTCTAATAGTTTTTTTTCTTTGTCTATATGTGCTTCCGTACGTTTGTGTATCTATTGATATGAGTGTCTGTTGGCAAGTGTTGTGTTAGTGTACGTGTACATTTTAATTAAAATTTTAGAGACAAGGGTATTAATACATTCTTTTAGTTTTGCCACAAAGATTACAAGCATTCTCTCCCTTGAATAACTCCAGACATTTAAAATTTGAGAACATTTCGTGTTATGATGGTTTGTGCTTGTTATAATGGTTTGTGTTTGTTATGATGGTTTGTTTTATGATGATTTGTGTTATCATAGACGGTCACACGTATGCAGAGGCGTCGCGAGGCGGGGGCGGGGATGCGGGCCGCAACGGGTGACACCATTTCGAAAAGCCAGTTCAATTAATGATTAATTAGAGTTAATCCACTTATATTAAAAACTGACTATAGACAAAAATCTTAACTGTGCACACGTTAAAACTATCACCTGAGGACAGTGGCGTAGCGAGGTCGGGTGTCACCCGGTGCGGCACTTAATGGTGTAACCCCCCCCCCCCAGAGGCGTAGCGACCCTTCCCGGGGACAAACTTTCAAATTTTCGATTTGCACCCCCCCTCAAACTTTCGATTTGCACCCCCCTCAACTTTTTCTCCATATATTTTACTATTTTTTGCCTTGGTGTCACCCCCCTAAATGGTGTCACCCGGTGCGGTCCGCACCCCCCGCCTTCCCCTCGCTACGCCCCTGCCTGAGGATGATTTAAGATAAACACTATCTTTGTCCACATCAAATTAATTAATTGGTAGATTAATCTAATGCTCGCGAAAATTGACGCCATTTGGCAAAATGGGAGGGGGTGACACCAATTGCAACTAGATATATATAGGCCTATGTAGAACTTATAATTATATATATATATATATATATATATATATATATATATATATATATATATATATATATATATATATATATATATATATATATATCATACAATTTTTTCGGGAGGTAGTGGTGACACCATGAGGTGCCGCACCGAGTGACACCCGACCAAGCGACGCCACCGTCTGTATGACAGTGTGCCGTCCAATATTTGATACCCAAGTTCCGGTGCTTGCGTTGAAAACAGAACGAAATTATTCTTTCACTTTTGGATGATATCCATTACGCTTCCCCCCCCCCCCCCCCCCCCCCATGCCAGCCTTGAACTTACTACGTCATATTATCGATTCCAACTTTGAGACAGCGAATATTGACTCCAAATAATGAACTTTGACCCCTGTGTTTACCTCTGTGTATAGCCTCGTGATGGTCAATGTTAGTCGTGGCCTTAAGAGATTCCGTCCTTTGATTGCTCCCTGATTGGCCCGGCCACGATTCACTGCTGCCCGTCGTATTTAGGCCACGCAAATGGTAGACCACTGGCGTAGGCTAGGGTTGTAGAGGAGCGTTACCTCCCCCCACCCATGAACCCCCAACAATGAAAACTGTCCCAACTGGAGGGGGGGGGGGGGGGTTCAGATGGTGCGACGTCACACTTTTGCATTATAAAAAAGCCATGTTACAAAACGAATTTTAGACGTTATTTCGCGTTTTAGACAACTGTTTTAATAAATTGTAATAGGATTTGATTAAAATACTCTATGTTGACAGAGTTTAGACAAGATTTTAGGAAAATATCGATGTTTTAAGAAAAATTCAACTGCAATTTTGAGGGGGGTTGTAGGCTGAGGTGTGACGTCATTTAAGGGTGGGGGGGTCTGGCTTTTTGTGACGATATGTGACGGAGGGTGGGGGAAGAAAAAATCGTCAAAAAAAGCGTGACGTCATTTATGGATGACCCCCCAAGAAGATATGCCTATTACTTATTTGATCTCATTGTAAATAGTGATTAAACAGTTTTTCTACTAGATTCTAGGTGTAATCTACATATACTTTAGCAGCCGATCACTTTTTCTCAATGACACAAGCTCAATTTAGCACCGTCTAAATTTAATAACTAAATCATTTAAATCTAAAAGTCTGATAATAGGGTCCTTATTTAAATATTAAATATATATTAGCACGCTTCAAAATTGTTACACTAAGCCAAAGAGTCGAAGTAGTTAGTAATTAGCCAAATTTATTTTTTCTTAAATTAAAATACTAGGCATTTAAATCTAAATAATATAATGTTGGACCTAACTATAGTGTGAAGAAATACTGGGAAAAGGAACACTAAGTTTAAGTTAGGCCGAAGTCTATATTTTTAAAAAACCTGAACAGAGTACAAGGGACACTACTCTAAAATACACTAAGAATAGCAGACGATAGTAGGCCTATTGGACAAAGCGCTAAGCCGCTAAGGCAAAGGCGTAGGTTGAATCTAGTCTTCTTGATTTAGATCTAAAATATAGAATCTAGATCTATGTGACTAGGGATCATTAGGTTGACTACAGAAAAATCTCACGATTTTAATATTAGTATTAGACATCTAGATCCTATATCTAAACTCTAGACTTAGTCTTAGAGTCTAAGAGACTCTTAGACTTAGTTTTATCAACCAGAATATTATCAGTCATAACCTCATAACGAGTAAACGACTAAATGACTAATGCTAATGAATGACATAATCAAAATGTTATGTTATAACTTATTATAACTTATAACAATTCAGTAAGTTTTGAGTTTAATATTTATATATTATATAGATCTATTAGGCCTATATACTAGAAACATCACATGAAATTTTGACAGTTTTCACAGTTTTACACCTCAGCACTCCATCATTCTAGATCTAGATCTACATATGGAGTATAGAGGACATTTTAATCGGGCAAACATTATAAATCCAGATTTATCGAAATTTCGGCGTTTGATGCATTTTCGAGGCGGAAAAACTGGGTTTTGAAATTCTGTCAGTGTGTATGTGTGTCTGTAAACACGATAACTTGAGTGCCGTTACAGCTAGGTAGATGAAATTTCATATACAAGTATAGAGTCCTTGCAAACACCTGACCTAAATCCCGTGATACCTACGTCAGCCGCCACGTTGGTGAACACCCACGAGTAAACAATCAGCTGTTTTGCAGCGGTGGGCCTGTCTCAAATGACTTCATTATATATTGAGAGCCTCGCACAGAACAGAAACAAAAAAAAGTAAAAACTTTTAGGAATTGATCGTTATATTTGTGTTGACATAAAATGCAGTAATATAGATAACTTAAATCTAGATCAAGTTAGTATACATTCTTGATTCTCTAGTTAAGTGCAAGATTTAGTAGCTATAGATCTGGTAGATCTACACTACAATAACAAAGGTGAGAAAATTTAACCCGTATAGAACCTCCAATAAAACTGCTTATCTACTTCTGAGGTAACAACCACTGCTGTTCTTAGATCTCAACATTTTATGTGATTTATGACCCTCATGGTCCAACAGGGATGTGATCCGACACAATATTCCGATGCTTCCCCTTTAAAATGTCTTATCAACATGATACTCATCCTCCACCTTGTGTTTTCTCTGGAGCATTCCAGAAAGTGACAGAATAGCAAAACTATTATTATAGATGGGTCCATCACCCTATATCCACTATAGTAAATCTGGGAATTTAAAAACAAATATTGAGAATTATTTAATTTTAGTATCATATTCCTAAAAGGAGGGGGAGGAGAGATGTACAGGCATTAGTACCAATGTGTGACCAGCAAGAGGGGGGATAAGGTTCATGAAGTGGTGCAACACACTTTTTCATTTTAATGGCAGAAAATGACTTTTAACCAATATTATTTAGTGTTTTAATAACATTTTATAAAGTGTAGTAAAAATTGATCTATCAATGTTGACAGTCAATATTTTATTTTTAAAAGTTGCAATTAAAAAAAAACCCAACAAAGACAACAATTTTTAGGGGAATGTATGCTTAGGTCTGATATCATTTTAGAGGGAGAATCCTGGTATTTTTGTAATGTTGGGAAGGTGGGGGGGTGTTTAAAAATGCAAGACATTGTTTATGGATGACCCCTAATAAAATGATAAACTGCTAATTTTATATGCGACCCACTGAAAGTTTGAGCTACTTAGCTATTAAAGCTGGTTTGATTTATTTAATCAGTTTTATTGCATTTGTAATGGTGTATTACTGTAAAAACTATTGTTCAATGCCAACTACCAAAAATGTGATTTCTTATTTACAATCTGGTATCTTAACATCATGAACATTAGTTTGCAGCTTTTGAAGACAATTTTAATAGTATTCAGTAAGGTTTCCTTGAAGCTTTCACCACAATAGAAAAGGCTCTAGCTCAAAACAGCTAAAGGTTAAAAGCCACTAATTTTTTTGTGGAGGGTCACTTAAAACATTCTTCAGCTGTGTTACCTTAAATTCATGTTCAATTTTTCCCCAGTGCTATCAAATTATTTCAAGATACACCATCCTTGGACCATTGTTCATTAAGTGAAAGATTATTTACTTAACTGATTGAAACACAATAAGTAGATGACATAAAAGCTTTATTATGGACTGATCTATTTGGATATATAGCATTGAATAAGGTAGGTACAGTTTTCATATGTTGGATTTATTTTTTATTATGGTTTTTGATTTGATAACACTTAATTAAAAAATTGTTTATGGTATATATATATATATATATATATATATATATATATATATATATATATATATATATATATATATATATATATATATATCAATCAATCAATCTATCATAATCAATATATATATATAAATCAGTCTGTCTGTCTGTCTTTCTGTATAGATAGATGGATAGAGAGAGAGATAGGTAGATATAGAGAGATATAGATATTGAGAGATATAGATAAAGATATAGTATATATATAGAGAGAGATAGAGATACATAGAGAGAGAGAGGCTATAGTATACTTAAACTATTAAAGAATAACCATGGACAATATTTTGTTTATTAAAAACTATTTAAATCAGTTTATTGCTATTTAATTTAAATTAGAACTTGGGTAAAAACATTCAATAATTGGAAGATGAAAAATGGTATATGTGAAGTTGATTACATTTATTTCTAGATCGCTACATCCTATACATCAAACATGAAGACACAGAACTAATCCTAGTACTTTTTAATCACATGACTTTATTAATGTACATGGATATCACACCTCTGCTTTGTCTAGGTCATCCAATACAAACCTTCTATACAATTCATAGTCATAATTTAGTTTACAGAGAACAAACATTATCAAAACTCAGATCAAACATGTCAACCTTTTAAGATTCTAGCTTTTATTTGTTACACAAAGCAAGTTTTATTGAGCAGATTTTGATTTTTTCAATTTTTGAAGCAATCTATGATTTCCTTTAATGTGTGCCACACCTCAACAGAAAACCCATACATACACTGACATTTTTGTAAAATAGTATAAACAACTAAATTACCTCATAAACTGCTCTTATCTTAACTATCTGCAGTAATATCATAAACTTTTCAGACATTCAATCATTCATTTTTAATCTTCAACTGCTTGCATTTGTAATGCTTATAAAGTGTATACAAGGCTCCATGATTGCTGAGCTAATTATTGCTTATCCAACACGCTAACATTAATGTTTATGTAAGATCTAACATTTAACACATGTTAACAGTGTGCTTATTCAGCCATTGTGCATCATTTAAAAGATGCATTAATTATTATTATGCTTTATGCATTATTTAAAAAATTAATTTTGTTAAAATTATTAAAATACACAAATAATAGTAAAATAATTAGCCTACAGGCCATAGGCTTATTCCAGAAAGATATAAACATGAGTCTCTTATCAACAAAAAGAAAATCTTATGTTAAATTTAAGAACCCACTTTTTCTAAATAAAAAAATGCTTATCTGCAAAATAAAATTCCATATTAAGTTATCTAGTGTTTTTAAAAATATAAAATGTTTTTATTTTAATCTAGAAATTTAAAAAAAAGGAAACATTTTTCTAAAATACACATATTTCTAGTGTATGAGAAGAGTTTCATACAAAAACATACAAAAAACATGGTAAAAGTATATATATATATATATATATATATATATATATATATATATATATATATATATATATATATATATATATATATATATATATATATATATATATATATATATATATATATAAGCTTTAGCATACATACGTAAAGCTAACTATTTTCATTAGAAGTTATGTAACAATGCAAGATAATAAATGAGTCACTTTACTCTCCTTTTTTCATGAGCTGTTATATGTTATTCAGCTGTTTTTTTCTTTATGCTCTGGCTATTCTGGGTATAATTATGCTTGCTAACAGTATATTAATTTAAAGATAATGGGTTATGTTAACTGTTGATTGGTGATAATTGTTTAAAAGAGAGTAGATCTAGTTAAAATGTGTGTATCTGTATCATAATATAACCAAAAGACAAGTAACAAACCCAGAGTTTATTAATGCATCCTGCGTGATCTTGTTGCTTATACCCCAACTCTCTCAACTCCTGCAGGATCTTGTTACTTATACCCCAACTCCTGCATGATCTTGTTGCTTATACCCCAACTCCTGCATGATCTTGTTGCTTATACCCCAACTCTCTCAACTCCTGCATGATCTTGTTGCTTATACCCCAACTCCTGCAGGATCTTGTTGCTTATACCCCAACTCCTGCATGATCTTGTTACTAATACTCCAACTCTCTCAACTCCTGCATGATCTTGTTGCTTATACCCCAACTCATTCAACTCCTGCATGATCTTGTTGCTTATACCCCAACTCCTGCATGATCTTGTTGCTTATACCCCAACTCTCTCAACTCCTGCATGATCTTGTTGCTTATACCCCAACTCCTGCAGGATCTTGTTGCTTATACCCCAACTCTCTCAACTCCTGCATGATCTTGTTGCTTATACCCCAACTCCTGCATGATCTTGTTGCTTATACCCCAACTCTCTCAACTCCTGCATGATCTTGTTGCTTATACCCCAACTCCTGCAGGATCTTGTTGCTTATACCCCAACTCACTCAACTACTGCATGATCTTGTTGCTTATACCCAACTCCTGCATGATCTTGTTGCTTATACCCCAACTCCTGCAGGATCTTGTTGCTTATACCCCAACTCACTCAACTCCTGCATGATCTTGTTGCTTATACCCCAACTCATTCAACTCCTGCAGGATCTTGTTGCTTATACCCCAACTCACTCAACTACTGCATGATCTTGTTGCTTATACCCCAACTCCAACCTCTCCCACTTCACCATTCACTCTAATGGTGTTCATTGCTTTTCTGATCTTGGCCTCCCTGTTGTTCGTTGGTTGAAGCAGTTTCTGCAGTCTCTGTTACATAAAACAAAATAACCTTGTAACTTAGAACTAGCCATTAGACATATGTCAACAATTGTTGTGTTATATTAAACTGCCTGTCAGTCCAAGTCATGTAAGGAGTGTTCATATGGTTTGGATAAAGCTGGAGATCAGTGTGGTACATACGATTTTGTCTATTGTAGAATTGAAGTTTTAAGACATGTAAAATAGTAAACAGTAAGGTACACAAACGCAACATCACTAATAGCTGTAACTCAAAACATAACGAGGTGAGAGTGCTTTCATTTTGTTGTTGGTATTCCAACCCATCTATCTTCTTCCGGCCTACACCACTGCTGAAACTTACAATGTTAGATCAAGTTATATTAGGAGGTAACTTACATTTAGTAGTGGTCCTTTAGCTCGGATAATGCTGTAGATTGCAAATCCAGGGATACAGAGAATGGAGGAGAGAGCAATAGCCCAGCCTATTAAATTCGCGTACATTGGGTAGATATAACCCTCATGCTCCAAAGGGGCGTAGTTTGCCAAACCAAACACAATAATGAACTGTGAATATAATAGCTCGCTACAGGTATACAATATTTAGGATATATATATATATATATATATATATATATATATATATATATATATATATATATATATATATATATATATATATATATATAATATTTAAAAAATAAAGTGATTCTATTTACCAATATAAAAGCAGGCGCGAGAAATTTCCAGCAAATCATCCAGTACGGGCCGGGTTTAGTGCCGATCATGACTTCGATATCAGCTGCAAATCTGTGGACACCTGCATTAGCAAAATGTAGAACGGATAAAAGATTTAATCAATTTCTTTATCCTAAGAGCTAATTAAAATAAAAAACAGCTATGTTTAATTTATGAAAATCGATCCCCCATCAATCATTGATAAATCAATAAGCACTTGGAATATTTCACACTGTCTGAACGATCGAAGATATCTAAGTCCAATATCTGTCGCTTAAAATCCACATAAAGTAGCGATAAGACTATCACGTAGGACCTACTCTATCAATCGTTTTAATTTCCATTACAATGCTTGTCCGGCTAATAAAAATATATAAGTAAAGAAACACGTCATTAGAAAAATGTTATAAGCGCTACCATAAATGCATGTTGACACAGTTCTTCTTCGTCCTTAATAAGTGCACATTAGAGGATTATACAATTAGTCCAGCTTCGCAGAATAACTGCACATTGTCTTGAGCTGAGCAAGTACCCCGTACAGTTGTTCACTATGTGCAGTACAAAGTGCAGTCATGTCAAACATGTTCGGTATATCAAAGGACGTGCCTTTCATTAAGCAAAACACGCGTCGTCGTCCGTGGTATAGTTAGGGCGTTGTGATACCCCGGGCTGCTTAAATCTTCCCTCAATTTTCGCAAGCTGGTCCGCCATCTCACTTAACTTGTATTTGGGTGTGGCCCGGGATCCACTGCAGCGATCTCTTGCTGGTGATATTATTTATTATTTAGCTTTCCAATGGGTGTCCTAAGCGATTGGCTATAAGATGCTTATGGATTCTCCAGGACAGATTTGGCCTCTGTGAGAAAGAGAATCTGAGTATTTGAAGATCCAGGGGGACCTGTTAGGAGGTTAACTACATCTTCTATAGCTTATCTCTCGACTCTAAAGTTATCAGAAAAGCTGCATAGGTCAATTGCCTTTTCTAAAGTTCGAGCCCCGCCATTTTTTTTTATTGGCGTCTTAAGCTGAGCCATCCGTATACTTTAGTCCAGGAGCTGCTATGGTACTGTTCCTTAGTGAGCCTGTATGTTATTGTCTTTAATTCCTATTTAGTCCAGGAGCTGCTATGGTACTGTTCCTTAGTGAGCCTGTATGTTATTGTCTTTATTCCCCCTGATCATAGTCACATTTCTCCCTATGGTGTCTATGTAGTCTCTGCTGGTTGAGGTACGGCCTATGTTCTACGGTGGAGATTTTCTGTGTTTGATTGATTCCAGTATGTTTTCTATTTAATGTTTTCTTTGTTTTTTATTTCCTTAGATGTTTGGCCTCTTTGATAATTTTTTCTTGAAGTCTGTTTAGTAAGTAATTCTGATCTATTAATAACGGTGAAATTATTCAGTGTTTCGGAATTTAATAAAATGAGTCGGAACGTTTTCATGTGAGGAACACTAAATCTATACTGCTTTTTACACACCAAGTCCTCATTCATTAACAACAAAACAGTTGCAAATAAATCATAATGTAAATTTTGACATTTGTATTTTGTAAAACTTTGCTATGAGAGCCTAATTCCTCTTTAAACTGTGATATTTTGAATAGGTAGTTCCCAGTCGATTTAAATGTTCTTGTGACCGACCTACTGACAGATATTTGAATAGTCGAAGTGAATGGATCGTCAACAAACAATGTCCATTGGTTATCGAATTGCGTCCGTGCTTTAAAAATACATTGATTTTCGTCTATCGGTTGAAAGAATCGACTTACCGTAAGCCCACGAAACAGCCACGGTCTCGAATAAAACAGCGAACAATATGGAATAGCCTGCTCCAAATGTCTCCATTAAACGTATCACATAAAATCCACCCTGTAAAGAAAGGGGGTACAATTCAAAAGTTCCTGACATGGCCAATGTGGACGCCTAATAATTTGCTAGAGCTCTTTCAAAAAATTACCAACAATGTGACGAAAAGTAGAAAAGACAAACACATCTCGTTTCACATGTTCTTGGGGCTTCAGCTGAACTATTTTCAAATCGATTTTAAAGCATTTAACTAGCAACTATTTGTTCTCTTGCTCTTCTAATTAACTTCCGCTCATCGTTAAGATTGGAGAATGTACTTAACGGTGTATGGTGTAAAAAGGGGGAGATGCATTAAATAAATTGAAAAAAAGGTAAATTAAATTGGATTGAGTTTTTAAAAGTTTTAGCCAAATAATACGTTCAGTGCAAAAATATAAAGAGAGATAGAAGGTCAAATGAAAAATAGAAAGAAAAAAAAAGATAGTAAATGCTAGCGCTCACAAGATGATATAGGCGTAACGCGTAAACTATTGCTAGTTTTTATACTACTCACTTGTAGATTACATCTATGTATTCGTCTTACATACAGTTTAAAAACTCTCCCACGAATCATAACGCCATAACTGGGTACAGTGAATAGAAGGCTTCAATCAAATAGCCACTTACCTCCGACACGCTGGCCAGACCGACGACGAAATAGAGAGTAAAAAGACAGCCAACAAAAAGTTCCCTGTGACGTCGTAGAACTGGGAATTCATCAGCTAATGCAGTAATAATGGCCTCGGATCCCCCAAACTGATGAATACATAAAGATAGCGAAAAATACTTGAGAGAAATGTTTTGGATGCACATGTGCTTTTAAACATCATGCCGATATGTGTATTGACTGTGTAGGCCCGTGTTATATTCATTGTTTTCTTCGCTCACTTGGAAAGTTATCTATAGGACTTTCAGCCATTTTATCATTCCTAAACACACCCAAGGTGTGCAAGTCCCTAAACAGCTGATTAAAATTGTTGGACGATATATAGGCCTACCTGTGTCTGGAGGAATGTATCCTTTTAGGTTAAAAACAATTTAGTCTTAATCGCCCTGCACTTTTAAAGTGGCTTACAATAACTTCCTTGAAACGAGTTTTAGAGTGACACTTCTAGTACTACGACATCATTTAGAATCGGTACGTTCCTTCTTTATATCGTTATAGTCATTCGATTCTTTTAGTTGTACTCATTCGATTCTTTACTACGGATGTGGCAAGTGTAATAAAATTAGCATTCGAATAATATAGAGCTCTGCACCAATATTTATCGAAAAATTCCTGAACAATGTCAGTTGACCACATTCAATATTTGTACTAGTAATGGAGTAAAACGGTTCTTTCAGTATTTAAGTAAAATTGAAAGCGATCAATACTAAAGTGGTTTAGTAAGGGCGGACTCCGTTTGCTTATCGCACCTCTCAAATAACGTAAAAATAAAAAGATCATTTGAAACTTTTCCGACATTCACTAAGGTAGCCGCCTATAGCTTTTTGTGGCTATATTTTTTTTACACAAGACCATTCCTTTTAGCTCAGTGCGTGGCTGAAAGTGGTGTTTTTCTACATACCGAAATTACCATAACTTTTTATTAGTAGTAAACGTTGAGATTTAAAAAGAGTGAATTGATTTGAAAATTCACTTTAAATAGCTTATTCCGGCTTAAAGCAGCTTAGTAGGTAGGGCTAGCAAACACAAAGGGCATTGGCTTGATGAGGTGAGAGAGGATGTGCTGGCTTTATGCACAAGTGGACGAAGAGAAATCGATGTAGGGTGAGCCAAGTGAAGCCAGTGAGTGAGAGCATGATCCATTAAACAAGTATAAATCTTCTCACACCATTATAAGGTTTATTTAATTGCATAATTGATTGATCGACGGATTGATCGATTAATACTCAATTTTGACGCGTCAGTGATCGATGACTCTTCAGGTGCAAATTTGTTCAATGGCAAGTTGCCTGCACACTTCAACCTTTAACCTCGGTATCACCCGACGGCGCAACTTGGAACGACCTCGCCCAACAGCTAACTAGGAATATTCAATAATGCCATCACTGTAAGAAAGCCGAGCTATAATGGCTCTCTTCATACTTTATTCTCAGCTTTTATCCTCATTCATGCGCACAATGTAGCTAATAATGTTTTCGCCGTACGTTGGTTGGGCTGTCGAATTACACCAGAAAACATAGGTCTAACATAGTTGGAATACTTTAACGTTGGACCATAACATTTTGGCGGACTCTATGGGCAGTGTTTTGTTTGGGCAGCACAATGTCCTCGTGCCACTCAGCTATTTATAAACCTTTGTTTCTTCGTCAAGTTTACCCTTCCCATATCCGATTTTCCAAAGACGTAGCTTGGCCCACTTTAATATTTTTGATGATCTCACTACCTCGTAAACTGAGTCATCAACTGAAACAATAACTTTTAGAAGGCTGTCAACAACCCCGCCCATCGTTACACAAAATTAGAGACCCCCCCTCCCCCCCTCCCACACCCACCGAGAGTGCGATGACCACTTTCATTTATTTACATTTAGTTTTCTAAAATATGATAGCTTATTGTTAAATAGGTTACATCAGTAATGGATTCTACGCCTAGTAGGCTATCCCAGATGCATGCATGGATACTAAGATCCAACAATAGTGTGTCCTTACCGAACTGTCGAGTCCCAGTGTTAGCAGCATCAGAAAGAAGATCAAAGCCCAGAATGTAGCACCTGGGAGTGTAGAGATAGCCTCGGGATACACTATAAAAACTAGACCAGGACCTGCAATAAAAACGCTTTCTTTATCTTTAAGCTCCCCGTTAAACATGAATTTAAAACTAGCGCTGGGGTTCTGGGTGCTTTTAAGTGCGGTGTGTAAATACCCATGTCTTATACCTTCTGTGGCGACCTCGTCAATAGGTTGTCCTGTTCTATCCGCCATGTAGCCAAGTATCATAAATATGATGAAGCCAGAGAAAAAGCTGGTTGAGCAGTTGATTGTACTTGTCAAAATGGCGTCTCTGTGGTAGAAAAATGTCTTATCTAGTTATCAGTAATTCTTAATTATATATGGTTTAGTTTCGTAGCCAATCCACTGATTTTCATTATTAAAAAAAAAAAGAATTAATAAAAAGCCAACAAACGTGGTGGCGTAAAACGATCTGAATGTGTAACCGTGTCTATAATATCTTTTTATTTTCTTACGACAACCTGTCTTCTACTCAACAGTTATATTCACCAACCCTTGGGTACGTTAACAACACTGTTTTCCCCTTCAAACATACTTACACATATGACAAATATAAAGACACCACATTAACTCAACTATCTATCTGTGCTGCATAATCAGCAATTACTACTAGTAAATCATCTCCGCAAATAAAACTTTCTGCACTTCTTAACCATATAAAATTATTTAATAGGTAAGGTTTAAAAGAGTGTATCTGTAACTTACCTGAAAACATTGTTGTGGATTGGATTGTAGCTAGCAAATGCTAATAGGACGCCAAAGCCGGGACCCAGTGAGAAGAACACCTGGTTTGCGGCATCAACCCATACCTAAAATAGCATCATCAAAATTTGGTCGCATCTCCAGCTTTGTTCTGTCAACGTCTAATGTCATACGTGGCCGCCTTTGATAAGTTGGCTTGTGATTGAATAACTCTCAAGTTGACACGTTTTGTCTATAAGTTGCATAAAGTGCTCCAGTCTTAATCGCGTCGACTTAATTAAAAAACTTTTGACAACAGAGATGCCAGTCTACCCATTGAGTGCCTGTACCAAGGTAGGATAATGCAATCTCGCCGTGAAGACAATCGCTACAGAAACGCTAACAAAGACAACAGAAAACCTTGTCCTGAGAGAGGAATGGTGTTTATATTGAATAGCATTAGAAAGGTACTAAGCCTAATCTCGAATATGGATGTAAACAAAGGTACATAGAGCCCGCATTTACTTCGAAAGGTCATGCAAGTAGTACATGCGATGTGGAATAACTTAGTCCGTGTTCTGGACATCAGCAAGACTAGATATACCAAAGCTGATTGGGCACACTGACGACAGATGAGTTTCTGCTTTATTCTGTTCATGAGGAGATTGATGCACCTCAAGAGTAGGCCTGATGCTGGCTAGTCAAACACAAGACACATATTGAATAGGAGGCTCATGAGCCAAGAATTATCTTGGCACACTTCAAATGTGTGCTTTAAACCATTCGCAGATCTGTGTGCTTTAAACCATTCGCAGATCTGTGTGCTTTAAACCTTTCGCAGATCTGTGTGCTTTTAAACCATTCGCAGATCTGTGTGCTTTTAAAACATTCGCAGATCTGTGTGCTTTAAACCATTCGCAGATCTGTGTGCTTTTAAAACATTCGCAGATCTGTGTGCTTTTAAAACATTCGCAGATCTGTGTGCTTTAAACCATTCGCAGATCTGTGTGCTTTTAAAACATTCGCAGATCTGTGTGCTTTTAAAACATTCGCAGATCTGTGTGCTTTAAACCATTCGCAGATCTGTGTGCTTTAAACCATTCGCAGATCTGTGTGCTTTAAACCATGAGAAGATCTGTGTGCTTTAAACCATGAGAAGATCTGTGTGATTTAAACCATTCGCAGATCTGTGTGCTTTAAACCATGAGAAGATCTGTGTGATTTAAACCATTCGCTTGTTAGAATGAGAAGATACAGATCAGCTGGTGGTGACCAAGCTGAAGCTTAATCTTAGGAAAACTCTCAGTCAGACACTAAAGAAAGACTGAAAACAAAGGCAGTCTGTTAACAGATTCTAAGATTAGGTGAGAGTTTAAGGCGACCCTAAAACAAATGTCATGTGTTGCCGAGATTCACGATAGTGCACCTTGAAGCAGGACAAGCTTCAGACAACTTAAATATTCAGCGGTTATGTCACAAAATGACTCTGCAAAATCGCTAGAAGTCATTAAGATCTGATGACAACAAAAAGGGCACCGCCATGGTCAGTTTGGATCAACAAATGAGAGAGAGAGGTGGACTGGACATTTTGAAGAACTGAACCGACCAGCACCGCTAAAGCCACCACATATGCAGCCGGCCAACAGAGACGTTCTTATCTACAGCAAGAAGTCAACCAATCAGGAGGGAAAATTGGCCGTCACACGAATGAAGACTTAAAACATTTGAAGGCTTTAAGGAGCCTCTGTATAGCAAATTTTAAAATGCCTATCCACGATATCTGTAAATATAACACGCATCTAGTAGCACGCAAAAACAAGGTGTCCAAGTGAAATATAATGGCTTTCACGTGGCACAAATATTCGATTATAAATTTTTTCTTATTGGGTTTCTCAAAGGATCATTACCACACTCAGCACTCAAGTAGATCTACATTAGTTAGACCGTTTCTGAAAGATCCACGTATTTCTTTCATTCATTGAACTTGCTCATTCACCGACTAACACACTCTTTCATACTTTTCTTTGGTCTAGGTGAAAACTGTCAAATGTATGGTACATTCATCCTAACACAAGTCAAACTAATTCGAAAATTCTTTTAAAAAGACTGTTGGCTTGACACCCCCCCCCCCCTCATCCCTTCCCTTCATTTTCAAACACAAAAAATATTGATTTTTTTTTAAAACTTCTAAAAATAAAGTGTTTAAAATTATTTTCTTGTTTTTGTCAATATTAATCAACTTTAATCGCCATATTATCCTGTCCTTTCCATGGTCCTATTCTGTGTTTTTGCCCTTTCTTAAAAAAAATCAATCGATCTATCGATCAATAGATAACCAATCACAGTTAAATATCGACGGCATAACCCAAGCCACTGAATAAGGCAATTAGAGCCCCGGTGTTCACAGTAGAAAAGACGCCAATTTATTTTCACAGTCACTTCCTGAAGCTTCCACCGCCAAAATAAAGACGCGACTAGCCATGTTCTCATCGGTAACGCGTCAAGTTAAAAAAAAAAGTTCCTCGTTTTATGGGAACCAGCAGTCTTTGTGTTGCAATAAGGGTAATGGAAAAAATGTTAAATATTTTTAAAAATGGTAGACGTGAAAGTGTGTTTTACTGTCCAAAGTGCGCGTCTTGCTTATTTTTTAATTATATTGTTGTAATTTCTGCATGTAGTATTTCTTTGTTTAATGAAACTGTCTATGCTAACACAAAATGTACAATAGTGTTGTAGCTCATGTTGCCGACACTCACGAGACACGTTTTTGTGTCTTAATGACGCAGGGTATCATGGCATTACGATACACTTTTTTCTTCATAACGACTACAATGTTTTCCCCCTTTATCACCTGTTACTCTATCACGAGTTCTTGTAATCCCCAATTTTGTACTCATCGGATGGAAATGTATCGGTTAAGTTATTTACAAAATCGCTTCATGAAAAGTTTGTCGAATACCTTGTTATAATTTTCAGGTATATTTTCAAGGAATATTATTTATATTTATTTTCAAAGAAATATTATAACACGAGCCGGCCCGCGGCATAACATACGCCGCTATTTAGTTGTTTCTAATTTTCAATAATTCATAATTTGTGAATTCGACAGTACCAACGCTGACACTGAAAATATTTCTTTAAAACACTATAAGTAGCTCGTTAAGGACCATAACCCCCCCCCTTCCTTCCCTCCCCCCTCCTCTCCCCCCCCCCCCCCTACGTTTAAAATCGTTGGCTCTGCTTGTAAACATTTAGAGTGAACACAGCTCACTAAAACCATGTAGGGGTGGGGAGGTAGGGAGAGCGTTTGCAGCTTGTTTTCTAACGGCTCGAAGAAGAGAATTATATATATAGATAGACATACTTAATCATTTGCTTCATAATTATAGGCCTATGCTTAATAAGACCTTAAAGAAAATGAAAGAATATGAAAAGATTGTTGAATGAATGTTCTTGTTCTATGATAACGTGTAGCAAACTTACCTGAGAGCTGGCCAGCCGTGTAAAATTGGGAGTCAAATAATACTCTATTCCCTGGGCAGCACCGGGCAATGTCGCTCCTCTAATCATCAAAATAAAGAGAACCACGTATGGAAATAGTGCCGTAAACCACACTACCTGAAACACATTTGGTCTTTTGTTACTCAGACATTTTCGATGAGAAGTTCAGTTTTCAGAGAACTTTGACTTATTTCCCCCGTTAGAATATTCTAGCACAAAAAGGCCTAGATCTATATAGCATCTTCTAATTTTTGTTGTTGCCAGTTTAGTACCGTATAATCTTTCACTTGTGAATTATCATGAAGTGCGAATGTTGCGAAGAGTTTCAATATGTTTTCTGTCATTGCTTTACACGCAGAGAAAGTTAACTTTAAAGGATAAAATTATTAAAATACATGAATAAAGTGAGGAATACCTTTCCCGAGACTAGAATCCCTTTCCACATACTGAAATAGCAGATAAGATAAACGCCAGCAAGGCATAGCACCAGTTGCCACTTGAGCTCACCCAAGTCCATGAATCCTTTACTGTTGTGTAGCGCCAACATACCCCGTCTGGCGTGGTAGACAGAGATTACTTTATCCCTAATACATACTCTCGCATCACAAAATAGAACAGACTGTATGCTTGCATTGTTAGCCAATGCTAAATAGTTCAAAACAAAAATTATTGTAAGCGCCAAAATGTACCCAAAGAGTCTACAATTTGGGAGATTATCGACAGTAGTAAACCTTAAAAAAAAAAAAAAAGGAAAAACAAGTTTTTAAAAGACAGCTGATGACGCCATACCCATATGTTGGTTATCTCAACTTTTTATTTAGATTTCTAGTTTAATTCGAACTACCTGGATTAAATACACAGATGCTTACGGCCATAAAGCTATATCAATAATATTTATTTGGCTAATGTAACGTAATTATCAAGATTCCCAAGTTGTTTATATGAAGATTAGTACAACTGTAGCATAGTATTTTTAAACTGTCACTCACTCAAAATATTCTTGGGCAGAGGATCTGACTTTAGTGTTATTGTGGACCATCGCTGATGCCATGTCGGTTAGCGAAATATTTAATGATGTCACATTAGAGCCAATGTATGAAAATATATTCGATGAAGAGGACTGTGAAGATAATGTGCTTGACAACATGCTTCTGTTGAAATCGGAGCTGAAACGAAACATTCAATCATGAACATTTGAACATTATCTGCTGGGATCTTAAAACAACCGCTTACATTTAGCAATTCGACTCTCCATCTCTGACCTCAAAGTAGAAGTATCTATATTTGATATAGATGTTGCTATCTCAAGAAATGTGTTCATATAAAAACAAGATGGTATCCTTTAAATACTACACTCATCTTATTCCGCTCCAATGAATGGTCGACGGTTCTAAGTACCATACCTGCTGTTTCCAGCGGTGGCGTTGTGTTTTGGTTTGCCATCAAAGCAGCTTTTTGTATTCCAGTCGTTGTCACACGACATCCAAGGGAGGTCAGTAGTAAATGAGGCGAAGAAGAAATGGAGGCACCAAGCGATAATGACGTTGTAAAAAAAATCTGTGTAGAAGGCGATTAGAACTACAGCCCAGCCAGTACCTACAAAAGATGGGGCAAAAGATGTGCGCTGTATGGTTTTATTAGTGCTGGTGTCAATGGTTACGTGCTGCAGATTTAATTATAAAGCAAACCTATTTAGAAAATAACCATCATTCAACGTCCAAGTAGTATCAATTGCGTCTAGTTTGAGCGCGTCATTTGGGAAAAAACTTGGCAGCGTCTACCGCAGCTACCAGTGTACCAATAGTTAGAGTGATTAAGACAAGCGTCGATTACTTTCTAGTTCAAACAGTGTACTCAAACAAGACTGTTTAACGGGCACAAAACGCGCATTCTTCAGTCCAACATGATTTCTTATGTAGTCAGAGAGTTTACATTCGAGTCGTGTTGTGGCCTAGTGCAGCAGGTGGTCCTATTCCAACATCGCTTTACGTAAGTTTACTTACATACTTACATACGTTAGTCGCGTTTCAGACCCGACTATCAATACAGTAAATGAAGTGATCATTGTTTCCACATCACGCCGCTTTTATTTACCTTGACTTCCCTCAAGTATAGAGTGAGTGGTTTTAAGAACATCAGACTAACTTAGACAGGGGAGGGACCATCGGGCTAACTTAGACAGGGGAGGGACCATCAGGCTAACTTAGACAGGGGAGGGACCATCAGGCTAACTTAGACAGGGGAGGGACCATCAAGCTAACTTAGACAGGGGAGGGACCATCAGGCTAACTTAGACAGGGGAGGGACCATCAGGCTAACTTAGACAGGGGGGGGGGGGGGACCATCAGGCTAACTTAGGGGACGGACCATCAGGCTAACTTAGACAGGAGAGGGACCATCAGGCTAACTTAAACAGGGGAGGGACCATCAAGCTAACTTAAACAGGGGAGGGAACTTACTGAGGTGACAAAAAAATAAGTACGCTGGTTGCAGCAAAGAAGTGTATTAAAGCAACACGGTGAATTTGATTAAGTGACTTTTTTATGTAATATATTAGCTTAGGGTTAAAAATAAAATGGCCTCATAGTAATAGACCTATGTAGCTCCGTGGTGTATTCTCTCTGTCTATCGTCTGTGTTTTCTATTGCATCATTCAAGTGGGCATCTATATTAGTGTGTCCTCCTTTTGAACGTGAGTAACCAATATTGACAGGCAGACGTTTGATCCACCAGTTGTCTACTGTAGAAGCTTTGTCAGTAGCAATGTTGTAAGCTGCCGCTAACATTTGAAATATTTAGTACACGTTGGCAAACGATGCCGCACAACGGAATCTCGAACGCCATTCAACTGGTCGCAGTAGAACTTTGAGGAAACGTCACAGATCAGTGTTAAATAAACCTCATCACGATTTCCCTGAACCGTTTAAGACCAGGTTTTGCGTACGATGAACGTACTGAGCGAGAATGTTAAACCCCTGCTAGCGTGCTGTTTGCCGTTGCTAGAGAATGTTCAAATTTTCCCGGATTTCCTTTCAGAGCTCAGTGTAAACAACGACCTAATTGAAAAATAATTACACAAAGCAGTTGAACCAATTGCAACGTCGCGTCTAAAAAAATCTTTGCGTTGAACAAACGCGCTTTCTCGGAATATTGATTTTAATTTAAAAAATTAGAACAGAATAATTTATTACAATTTCCCCATCTCTTTTATTAGAAAACGTATTTATTTTTAGAAGGCTCCTTTTCCATCTCACTTAGGTGCAATCTATAAGGCAGCTAAACTGAACCGGAAGAACGTCGTTTCGATTTTCATTTCATTCACGCGTATATACACTAAAAGTAAAAGGCATAGTTGATCCTGACAGCCTCGTATGAAATTAATTATTAAATACAATACATCGGATGAAAAGCGTATGCAGTTCTTTTTGGTATCCTAGTTTTAAAAAGGTATTTGTGTTCGTGCTTTAACAAATCGCCTAGAGTAATAATTGGTAAATTATTAAAAAAAATTAAATAAACATTCCTGTTAAAGGGTTGATTAAATAAACCTTTACCCAATGTGTTGTCCATTTAACGAAGTATGCAAGGCTCCTTCTCTGATTTCGCAAGCAACCCATTGCAATACGGCTACCCCGGGAAAGAACTAAGCACCAATCTATACTAACTTAAAGCTCTAGAAGTAACGTTTACGCACTACCGTTCAGCCACTCCGTTCATCTAAATTTACTGCTGCATTAGTACTGTTTGTGAAGTATGTCAACATTCCTATTGAGAGTAGGTTTTAGTACTGAAAAACAGCTCCATTTTATGCGTTTGTTTAAATTTTAAAAATTGGATATGGAAGGAAGCATGTCGCTTGAATCGTAATTGTATCGGTTTTTAAAAGGTAATCAACTAAAATACAAAACAGCGGACAAAGGTTCGTTTTCATGCGAGCATACTAAATCAAACTTTATTACTTTGGGGAGCCTTATAGATGTTGACCTGAACTTGACGATATTTATGTGAGGCCAAACTTTCCTTCAATAAAAGATATAGTTATAAATATTTCAAGATAAAATTTGTTAGCACCTGTGTCTTAAGGCCTACATTTTTGGCTTGAAACCAACAAAAAAAAACGGTGATGCTTTCTAACATTGATTTCTCGCTGAGCTTTGACTTCCGGTTTTCCGAAGGGGCTGCAATCCGAGGGTGCACTGACGCGGGCTGGCAACGGGAGTGAACGTGAATGGTTTTAATGAAGGCTGCGTGAAAAAAAATCCCCTTGCCTGCCTGGGTGACGATTCCTGAAAGGTTACATCACCCCAATAGCAGACACAAGTGTTTTATAATGTGTCAAAGTGTCTTTTAACGACGCCAACTTCACTTAAGTGATAGGAAAAGGCAAAGACAAGAGAAGCGTAAGTGAAAAGGATGAGTCGAAACGCACTTAGTCCATGCTTTTCTTCACAGATGTCTAGCTCAAGATGAAAAGAGAAAATCGCCAAAGCTATTTAGAGAGAAACCGTATTTGTAGAGGAACAGCTGGGGGTCTATCTCATGTGCTAGTCTTACATGAGCAAACCTCGTTTGGTCATCATTTAAGTCAAGCTCTAGATCTCCCACCATCCAATTATAGCGTGTTATTACTCATTAGTTGTAGGTCACGTAGTAGGCTATTGGTCAAAATCTACAAACAATAGAGTTTTCTCTTCTTTTTACTTTCTCGAAGTACAGTAGGACGTATTGCAATCGTATTTGACAAACTCAACGTTTTACTCTTTCTTGAGTTAGAACAACTCAACTATGCAATCTTATCTGATAACTGTAGTACCGTTCTGTAAGGTGGATGAAATTTCATATATAAATATTAGTTCTTATTCGTAGGTTAGTATCAACTTGTAAGCGATTTTTGGTAACCGGAAGTTATACTTAATACTCTTTGCCAGGTTTCTCAAAAACCTTCAAATTACGATAATTTTATACCATATTGTTATAAAAAAGCATATTTTGAAAACTTTTCTCCTTTATGAGCTTTCTCGAAAAACTGGTAGTTTTATAACATTTCAGTAGTGCGACTCCACTGGATACTAACCCTAATCTTTACTGTTACATAGGAATGCACGAGAGAGTTCAGGGGAGCTCACTATTGACACTTTCCAAAGCTGTCTAGAAATTCATTATGGATATCCCGAATTGTCATAGTACCGAAGGTAGCGTATGGTGTTGCAACTTATCAATATTTATATCGCCTCATCGGTGCATAGAACACTTGTGGTTGTAGGATTATCTAGCTAGCATGGTAGTGCTCTGATTGCTTTAGGATTATCTAAGTAACATGGTAGTGCTCTGATTGCTTTAGGATTATCTAAGTAACATGGTAGTGCTCTGATTGCTTTAGGATTATCTAAGTAATGCAGTGCTCTGATTTCTTTAGGATCATCAAGACATAGCATCACTGCTGTGTATATTTGTAGCTATATCCATCCTCAAGCTTTTTGTTTCAGTGGGTATTTCGTTTTAAAAGGGTATCCACTCGACAATGTGTTCACAGTGGCAGGCACGCGCTTGTTAGCTTATACCACAAAACCAGCAGTGCTCATATTTAAGGGGAAAATACGTTTGATCTCTTTGGTTAGTTTGCTTCAAATGTCGTTCAATTTAGAATTAACAATCCAATCTTCCCTCGTGGTTAGAAACAATCGATCTATTTTTAGGATACTTAAAATGTGTGATTACACGAGCAAATAGTAAAATTACGCTTTCCAATATATTTCCCACAGATGCTTTTGTTTCAGCTACAATCAAATGGCACGGATAATCAGGTCATCACATTTAATTTAATTTTCTAGTGACTGACTAAGATTAAATTGAAGTTATTTTTACCTTTAAAGAGCGGACATATCGCAGCCCAACATGTAATGGCGCCGGTTTTGTTAAACTGTCCGAGTGCCAGCTCCATATAAAATAAAGGAATCCCTCCCAGCAGTAACATCAGTGTGTATGGGATGAGGAAAGCTCCTGTGCTCAAATAAACATTGTACACAATCGTAAGCATTATAAATAGGCCTACATGTTTTGTGGTCATTAAAAAAAATCTCTATGGATATAGATCTACCTACCTCCGCCATTTTTGTAACACAGATAAGGAAACCTCCAAACGTTGGCCAGATCAACTGAAAATCCCACGACAGAGAGTAGAAAATCTATTTTCTTGGCCCATGTGTCTCGCTCCTCCTCCATGGCATCTTCGGCTGCTTCTTTCTTTTTGACATCTTTGAGAATGTACGTCGTTTCGTAGCCAGCAGCCTCCACTTGAAAGCCCTGCGGGTTCTTATCTGTTGCGTACAACAACATTCCGTTGACAAGAGTAAGAAATACATCTTCATCTACATTTTGATTGTTTCTTTCTTTAACATTAAAAAAAAATCAGGATTGGCCTTGATAATGAAAAAGAGGCTCCTTGGTGAACTTTCTATTTCGGTGCTTATGATAATGTTAAACAGATAATACCTATTGTAGGAATTCTTAAGTTAAAGTAGTGCAAACTTTTGTTGGTAGTAAGGCAGGCATTTATTTACTTGATTGAGTTAGTTTAGTGTGGTCGTTAAATGCTTCTTGAATGACTGCAAGCAACATTAGAACCAAGTTAATTATTTCGTTAATGCTTTGTCGCGCTGGCCGATAAAACCAATGGCTTTGTCAGTGCAAAAACATTTTGATGTCAAATAGGCTTGTAAAGCCTTTGATAAGTAAGATTTTCGAATTCACCACAGTAACTTTCAGATAGGAATTTTTAAAAAAATCAAATAACATTTAAATCATGCGAGTTACAAGGATTAAAATGTGTCATTAATGTATTAATCTATATTTATCACCATTTAGATCTTCAATCACCATGATTAGCCGTCTTTTAATTCCAACTTTTGTTTCTCATTTGTGGCTACTTATATTTCTTCTTCTTGTTATTTTTGGAAAGCTTATAGTTATACTTGAAAATAATAAAACAATACTCAGTGTAGTATGATCATTTTTAAAATATTTTAAAATCGTTTCTTGTAGCCAGAAAGTTGGCCATTCTACTGTTGACAATCGTTCAAAAAAATGCATACATTCCCCTTATCCTATATTCCGTTTGTGCGAATCAGGTTTTGTCACAAATAGCAGATGTCTTTTGATTATGGCACTAGAACTGTAGATTTATTTAATGAAATTCGTAAAGCATATTGCCGAATATGCTGTCATTTTTGTTCGTCAATCATCTATGTTTTTTAAAGTTTTAGCACCAAGGTAAAGAGTAGGCCCCTATGTCAAAGCTATCTAATCATGCACATTTTGATAGCCAGTCTTCACCGTGGACAGAGACTAGTGTAATCGGAAAATGTATTTAAAATATTCCCATAAATGACATTCAAACTTGCGGTTAACCCGACATCAATATACAGCCGGAGATTCTGTATTCACAATTTGTATATGGTTATAAAAAGAGGCCTATCGTTTCCTTTAATCATATACACGAAATGAGTTATTTTAACACACGTTAGCATGGCCTACATTTTTTTCTAGAACCTTTGACTTTCACTTTTTGTTATTCAGCCCCCCCCCCCCCCCGAAATGCCTCCTAAACTTCTATCGTTTCCCTGGATAATCCATCCAACCCCCCCCCCCCCCCCCCGGCTAAGGTATCACCCACTTTGGGAAACATTGGTCAAGATCAACTTCTCTAAAGTCGTGAAAAAATACGCTAATGGAGTAAGCTTGGGAGTTCTAAAAATCTAAACACATCAGCGAACGGATAGTTTGCAAAGGGAGTTAAAAAAACTGTCAAAAAGAGTTGCGGTTCCTTAAAGTATTTGACACGCTTTGTCAATCTTCGTCTTTGTTAATCAATTGTGGCTAATGAAGGAGCCCACAGCGACCGGGACACACAAGTCAATGGGTCTTTTTAAAAAGACTTTTGTTCCGCTCTACGCGGGAGACCCCGGCCTTGTGTGTTCTCACAGAGAAGAGGCCAAAGGAAAAAAAAAAGGAAATTTGCATGGCAAACTGAAGAGAGAAAAAAAGTATGTGAGACAGATATGAATATGCTAAGCTAAATCTTTTAGATCGCTGTAGTGAGCAACTATCACGGGGATGTTCTGCTCTGTTCAATACTTAATATATATATATATATATATATATATATATATATATATATATATATATATATATATATATATATATATATATATATATATATATATATACATATATATATACATATATATATATATATATATATATATATATATATATATATATATATATATATATATATATATATATATAATTGTTGCTCTTAAATTGAAAAGACTAGATTATTTTTTCTCGACTTATCATTACAGTAAATGTTTTAACATATTGGTCATGGAAGCTGGTTGATTCAAATTATGAACTTACCACGCAAAGGGATTTCATTGATTGAGTTTGAATTGCTGATCTTTGTGGTCACGTGGCCGTCCATAACGTGTGCACTTAAAAAAAAATAAGTATACATTTGATTATCAAATGTTAAGATGAAGCCTACATAAATGTTATACCTACTTAATTGTTGCATTAAAATATGGTTTGAAACAAAACTAAAAAACTCAATAATTAATATTTTGATACAATCTGTTACCTTTTTATAGATCAGGTTAATTTGTTGAGATTGAATTGTGTATCTTAGTTTATGTTAATTTATATCAGATGCTGTAAAAAAAATGAAAAGTCAAAAGTCGAAGGTTTATAGGCCTACATGTTGCAAATTGTTTTTTTTTTTGTTTTTTTTTTTTTAAAGAGAACCTCTTTTTCGATGCACCAGTCAATTGCTGGTCCATAATTTTGTACCAACAGACCATTTCTGGTCCATACTCTTGTATTTGTTATTCTAAACTGTTTATTATGAAGATTTCAGCGGTTAACGTAAGCTTGATAATGATATTTCTTTTAGTTTCGTTAGCTGGGTGTAGTGAAAACCGATGGCTCAGTCTGTTCTTCTCTTTATACAGTCGGGCCTTGGTCGGTGTCGGCAGATTGTCCGGATCTTGATGCTTCAAATATTTAGTGATCCATCCATGAAGGATCAATCTGAACACAGTAGTCACTCGAGTCGTTTGAACAAGTAAAACACGTCACCACTGATCCTGTACACCGATAAGGGGTTTGTCATGGGCACTACTCGATTGTTGAACGTATCGGCTAAGCAAAAAGACTAGGAGCTCATTTAAAATTGACTAAAATGCTAGGAAACAAAGAAAAATGCATCTAAAATGTAAGACAAGCAGCCTTAATTGTAGTTTTTCATGTAAACTTCAACATGCCCATTTGATCATTTGGCCAAAACACATAATAACTGAGTTGAAAAAATATGAAAAAATAATTTAATGCAAAAATAAAAATGAGCAAGTCGGCGACTCTTACAATATTCCTTCTCAACAAAGCAGCCAATGCGCAGATAGCTGAATCAATTATATATCTCATATCAACCTTAACCAACTTAGTTTTGACCGTTGAGAGATGGGCTCAACAGACCTTAAACGGATACTTGGCTAGAAAATCAATCTAGAAAATTTCTTAGATAAAGAAATTAAAGAAATATTAATTAAACGTAACACGTAACAATATTTTAAATCTACAATTAATGCGAAAATTAACTTTAATTATCTTTAGCTATAACAGTAAAGGTAAAAGCATTGATCATTCTAGAAATCTTTTGTCTAGTTGGCCGATAGCTTTACAAGTTTAATATCACTGTGTCTAGTATAACTCTACGAGTTTGATATCACTGTGTCTAGTAGTCCTATACCTCTACAAGTTTGATATCACTGTGTCTAGTATACCTCTACAAGTTTGATATCACTGTATCTAGTAGTCCTATACCTCTACAAGTTTGATATCACTGTGTCTAGTATACCTCTACAAGTTTGATATCACTGTATCTAGTAGTCCTATACCTCTACAAGTTTGATATCACTGTATCTAGTAGTCCTATACCTCTACAAGTTTGATATCACTGTATCTAGTAGTCCTATACCTTTACAAGTTTGATATCACTGTGTCTAGTAGTCCTATACCTCTACAAGTTTGATATCACTGTGTCTAGTATACCTCTACAAGTTTAATATCACTGTGTCTAGTATACCTCTACAAGTTTGATATCACTGTGTCGAATGTAGCTCTATAAAATGAAATCTGTGTGTTTTAGGTAGGCCAGAAAACCTTTACGTTTCCATCCTTACGCATATCTTTCTCCGATCGGTGAAAAGGGATATCTTTTAGCCATTGTGTTTTATTGGCCAATCAGTGGCGAACATGGAACGTTAATTTCTTGAATGCTTGTGCAGTTACCGGTCTTGATTTAAGGAGACGCCATTAAAACTAATGGGGAGAGCGTCGACATCTAAACTAAACAAATAACTTTAACTGCACCAACGTCCTGTCATTGGCTTGTTAGCCATTTTTATTGTGTATAATTTCTAGTAATGACTGCTATTTGATATATGCTCAATTAAAGTGTTGATGTCTTGAAAGTCTTTTACCGAAATAATATTAGAGGACGTTCAAACAAGACAACTCTGCTGACGTGTTGAAATGTTAGGATCACGGTTAGAAGATGTTTAGATAATGTGACTGACATGTTAGGATTAGGATCACGGTTAGAAGATGTTTAGATCTTCTTCTTCTTCGTTCTTAATTATTAGTGTTGAAGGGAACGAGATTTATCTGCCAGTGGGTTTGAACTCGAGACTTTGTTCGAATTTATCAACCATGAGCTTTTTGCAGACTCGACCACGCCTCCAACACAATTAAGCGTTACGTGGCAACTGGTTATGCGCCATTGAGGCCATTGACTCCGATTTCAGCCTGCTTTTCTTTTTGGATTTGCTTCCATAGCCTTTGTCCAACCAAGAACAAACTACAAGGCAGCAGTTGTTTTTAATTTTGGAGTTTTCTCTCCTAGAAGAGTGGCTGTCCCCAGATAACGAGCCTCATCTGCCCGAGGGTTCGAACTCGAGACTTTTCGGTTTAGCAACCATGAGCTTTACCGACTCGACCACGCCGTACTATGTTTAGATAATGTGACTGACATATTAGGATTAGGACCACAGAAGATGTTTAGATAATTTGACTGACATGTTAGGATTAGGACCATAGTATTAGTTAGAAGATGTTTAGATAATGTGACTGACATGTTAGGATTAGGACCATAGTTAGAAGATGTTTAGATAATTTGATTGACATGTTAGGATTAGGACCATAGTTAGAAGATGTTTAGATAATGTGACTGACATGTTAGGATTAGGACCACAGTTAGAAGATGTTTAGATAATGTGACTGACATGTTAGGATTAGGACCACAGTTAGAAGATGTTTAGATAATGTGACTGACATGTTAGGATTAGGACCACAGTTAGAAGATGTTTAGATAATGTGACTGACATGTTAGGATTAGGACCATAGTTAGAAGATGTTTAGATAATGTGACTGACATGTTAGGATTAGGACCATAGTTAGAAGATGTTTAGAAAACCGTATTCGTGACTCAAGATGACTTGTAAATACTGTAACTTTGACAACCCCAACCAAATCGATGGCATTTTTTCTTCTTGGCAAACTTTAGTTCTTGGCACCCAGGTTTTTTTTATTGGATTTCTTAAAACAAAAGCTACTAGATGCTGGAAAAACGGTTGCATCTGATGGGGATTGATTGCTTTATAAATATGCTCAGGAGAAATTGATAATAATCTATTTTTAAAATCCATGCTGCGATTCTCCACAATGGTCTTATAAAAAGCGACTCTAGATTTCTATACTTTGGCCTTCATGATCTGTAAATGAATTTCCATCAAGTTGTATGTACTTGTATATTTTAATAAAGGTACTTGCTTTTTGTTTTTACAAGTTGATTAACATTTGAATACTTTTATGTAAAGACCTTAATCTAAGAAAAATAGAACTAGATATGTATGCTTTACTAATCCTATCTTACACTTTTTATTTGTTGAAGTTCTGTCACACCATGTTTTAATACACTTTGTCATTTAATGAGTGTCTTGTTTAATCCCAGGTGCCAACATTTTCATGGAATGTCCAGAATTTATCGTGTACGCCTCAGCGTGATATTATGTTTAAAAAACGTGTTATAAAACTATTTATAGATAAATAAAACAATCAACAGTTATGTGTAAATGTTTATCTTAAACTTTGTCAATATAAATCTCAATAACTCTCGCCAATACCTCCACCAAAAACGCAACAATGATTGATTTCCTTGAAAAGTGCACACCGTCAGACTCAATAGCTTTTTATAGCCTAGTGTTGTACACTAAGGCATGACTGGGACCCTATATTTTTAAGACCCGTTACTTGTACACTAAGGCATGACTGGGACCCTATATTTTTAAGACCCGTTACTTGTACACTAAGGCATGACTGGGACCCTATATTTTTAAGACCCGTTACTTGTACACTAAGGCATGACTGGGACCCTATATTTTTAAGACCCGTTACTTGTACACTAAGGCATGACTGGGACCCTATATTTTTAAGACCCGTTACTTGTACACTAAGGCATGACTGGGACCCTATATTTTTAAGACCCGTTACTTGTACACTTAGGCATGACTGGGACCCTATATTTTTAAGACCCGTTACTTGTACACTAAGGCATGACTGGGACCCTATATTTTTAAGACCCGTTACTTGTACACTAAGGCATGACTGGGACCCTATATTTTTAAGACCCGTTACTTGTACACTAAGGCATGACTGGGACCCTATATTTTTAAGACCCGTTACTTGTACACTTAGGCATGACTGGGACCCTATATTTTTAAGACCCGTTACTTGTACACTTAGGCATGACTGGGACCCTATATTTTTAAGACCCGTTACTTGTACACTTAGGCATGACTGGGACCCTATATTTTTAAGACCCGTTACTTGTACACTAAGCAATCTATAAAAATATATTCACATAGCATTTATCACAAAAATAAATAGCAATCCTTGATTAAAATCAAACTACACCCTATAATAAATGTATTGTATTAGAAACGCATTTATCTAACTCTGTCTATTAAGTTGATCTATCGCCGTAATAGCCATTATTAGTGATATAAATTTAGAGTTGAATTCTAGTCTCTTGTTTAGCAAATAAAAGCAACAAAAAAAAAATACCCCAAAAAAATCCTAATCTGAACTTAAGCGGTCATCAATAAAAATAAACCTCATCCCTAATACCGCCATGTTGTATAATATATGTACCATTCCAAACAATGTCTTCAAATGTTAATTACAGTTGGTTGGTTGAGTTCATGATGTCGCTGATTTAAATGAAAGACTTTCTCCCACTTAGTACGTTGGATCAACCTCCCCATCTTTCACCCTTCAACTAAATGTTGTACAACCTCCCCATCCTTCACCCTTCAACTAAATGTTGTACAACCTCCCCTACAACCTCCCCATCTTTCACCCTTCAACTAAATGTTGTACAACCTCCCCATCCTTCAACTAAATGTTGTACAACCTCCCCATCCTTCAACCTTCAACTAAATGTTGTACAACCTCCCCATCTTTCAACCTTCAACTAAATGTTGTACAACCTACCCATCTTTCAACCTTCAACTAAATGTTGTACAACCTCCCCATCCTTCAACTAAATGTTGTACAACCTCCCCTACAACCTCCCCATCTTTCACCCTTCAACTAAATGTTGTACAACCTCCCCATCCTTCAACTAAATGTTGTACAACCTCCCCATCCTTCACCCTTCAACTAAATGTTGTACAACCTCCCCTACAACCTCCCCATCTTTCACCCTTCAACTAAATGTTGTACAACCTCCCCATCCTTCAACTAAATGTTGTACAACCTCCCCATCCTTCAACCTTCAACTAAATGTTGTACAACCTCCCCATCTTTCACCCTTCAACTAAATGTTGTACAACCTCCCCATCTTTCACCCTTCAACTAAATGTTGTACAACCTCCCCTACAACCTCCCCATCTTTCACCCTTCAACTAAATGTTGTACAACCTCCCCTACAACCTCCCCATCTTTCACCCTTCAACTAAATGTTGTACAACCTCCCCTACAACCTCCCCATCTTTCACCCTTCTACTAAATGTTGTACAACCTCCCCATCTTTCACCCTTCAACTAAATGTTGTACAACCTACCCTACAACCTCCCCATCTTTCACCCTTCAACTAAATGTTGTACAACCTACCCTACAACCTCCCCATCATTCACCCTTCAACTAAATGTTGTACAACCTCCCCTACAACCTCCCCATCTTTCACCCTTCAACTAAATGTTGTACAACCTACCCTACAACCTCCCCATCTTTCACCCTTCAACTAAATGTTGTACAACCTCCCCTACAACCTCCCCATCTTTCACCCTTCAACTAAATGTTGTACAACCTACCCTACAACCTCCCCATCTTTCACCCTTCAACTAAATGTTGTACAACCTCCCCTACAACCTCCCCATCTTTCACCCTTCAACTAAATGCTGATTAAGTGGTTGCCTATTTCTGCACAATTGAATTGATTTGGTTCTTGTGTTATGCTGATTTCGTCTAGTTTGAAGTGTAAATAAACCGGTAGTGATCTCCCCTAAACTTTCTCGAATATTCTTATATAAAACAACAGGGGATGGTAACTGGGGATATAGTTATGATTTTTAATCCATTTTAAATACTTAAACTTTTAAAAAATAGAATAGAATCTCATAAAAAAAAGAATTGCGCACCCGCCGAATCTTTATTCGGCGTTCGCTTGGTGTATAATAGTACGCAATATTATTAGTACTTTATAAATTTACATGCGTTTTTTGAAAAATCGGATATAGCGTAAATTAGTACTTCCGGTCAACGGAAATTACTCAAAATTTGACAGAAGGTAGAGAATTAGATCTTTTACTTACATCTGAAATTTCATTTATCTATCTGAAATAGTACTCAAGTTATAGGCTTTTGAAAAATTCAAAGTAGAAAAAGTACCACTTCCGGTTATCGGAAATCGCTCAAAAGTTGATACGGATCTACGATTTTGATAAAATACTTATATATGAAATTTCATCAACCTAGCTGTAACGGTACTCGTTATCGTGTTTACACACAGACAGACAGACACACAGACACACAGACATGATTGCAAAATTATGTTTTTCCTTATCAGTGAGGTGTAAAACGTCGAGATTTGCAAAAATCTCCATTTTTTTTTCCACGATTACAAGACTTTCTCTATACTTCGTATATACGAGAAAGTAAAAAGCGTGTTGTGATTTCGTAAGGTGGTAGGTCGTGACATTGGAAACGTAGATAGCTGGTTAGCTTTACGGCCGTTAGATAATGTCTCTCCGTCTCTTGTTTAATTACAGTTTATTGGTGTCAGCTTATGCCTTTAAACTTGTTGTAGAAGTCCATAGTATCTTGTGTAATAAAATATTCCTTACCTTAAATTATCAGGACAGTGAGTTTCCAGACGACGAAATCATTATGCACCCATCTACTCATGAACTCAGTTTTAATTCCCCCAAGTCAAAAAAGTTTCCGATGTGCAGTGCTCCTTGTTGTTTGTCTATTTACGAGAGGCCTGAATGTAACTCAGAGGATTTCTTCTCGCCAGCCAGTTTGTTCCAATTTAACGCCTTTCAAACTCATCCTGCCAATTACATTTCAACCGATGAAGTGATGAAAATGAACTGCTCAGGTTGCGTGTGAGCTTTACTTGTGCTAGCTCTAACAGTGTAGCGCTTGCATCCACATACAAAAAAAATAGCTCGATATTACATCTAAATAAATAAATAGAGCAACACCTGTTTGAAATATTATTTTTGAATTCGCTCAAAATGTTTAAATAATATTTCTCTAACCAGTTTTTTCACAAATTACTAACTAGGACATAAAATACTACATATTATTATTAAGTGTTGAAGTGTTGAAAAGTTTAAAATAAAACACGGTGCGTTTATCAAATACTATAAATCCCAGACAGGAATCTTGAAGGAATGAGTGGCTAAAACACTGCTCTTTGATGCCGACCTCGTTGGCGCGTGTTGCGCTGGTCGCCACCACTGAGCGGCTATCTGCACGGGGAATTCATCGGGATTATTTAAGGCCTTGTTCCATGGGCACCCCTGCTACAAATAGAACGCTCAACTGATATGTGACCATATCTGAGCATCTTATTCTGCTATGTTCCTTGTTATTTTTCTCTACTTTAATCCAACTCACTCGTATCAACGTGATGTAGACGTCGATAAGAATGAATCGAGTTGGCCTCATTATGTAAACTAGCTATGGTCTCAATTAGCTTTAAAAATAATATATCATACTGATTCTTAAAAGAGCTAAACTGTCAGTCGAAACGAACAATGAAAAAAAAAACATAAACACTAAAAAAACAATAAAATGATGCTCTTCAATTAAAAATCCCTATATAAATATGTTGAATCTCTCTCTCTCCGTCTCTCTCTCTCTTTCTCTCTCTCTCTCTCTCTCTCTCTGTCTCTCTCTCTCTTTCTCTCTCTCTCTCTCTCTCTCTCTCTCTCTCTCTCTCTCTATATATATATATATATATATATATATATATATATGTGTATTACTGGCAATGTATGAATATCCGCATTTTATAGCAGTAGCGTAGCGAGGGGGGGGGCAAATCAAAATTTTGTCCCCGGGAAGGGTCGCTACGCTAGAATACCTAGGTAATGTACATAAAATACCTAGGCATTATAAAGAATCACGAGCAGAGGCGTAGCGACCCCTCGCGGTGCCCGGGGACAAACTTTCGATTTGCACCCCCCCTCAAACTTTTGATGTGCACCCCCCCTCAAGCTTTCGATTTGCACCCCCCCCCCTCAAACTTTCGATTACTTTTTCCAACCCATTTTGGCGCACCCTTAGGTCGGCGCCCGGGGACATATGTCCCCTCCCCTGTGATCACGAGAACTGCTACGTATACGTATACGTATATATATATATATATATATATATATATATATATATATATATATATATATATATATATATATATATATACACTATTTATATTATTCATTGAATACCCTTACGAAAATTTTAATGAACGACCGATGTTTTTCATTATAATTATATAGTGTTTCCTTATTGCATACAGTGATAGATTTAATGTATCCATGCGGCCGAGGAAATGCCAATTGCAATATACAATCATAACAAAAAGACAAATTAGAAGGGTTATTAATTTGAATAAAGACATTTTTTTTTAAATCAAAGGCCAACGGCAGTGATCATGGCGGTCTACCAGGATTTTCCCCGCTATCACAGTGGTTCACCCGTTCTAATATTTAAAGAAAATAGTTTTTATTTCATTTTATTTGTAAAAATATCACTGCATTTAGTTCGTTGACTTTGCTCCTTTTGTGAACAGCGACATTTTAAAAATATGATGACGTGACGACACAATAACTTTATTTAGATTATCATTGGACGTCAATGTTTTATTTTCTCGTGTAGAGGAAGTATCTTAAAATCACTGTTTTATACCTTCCTGAGTCGGAAAAAAAAGTTTCTAAAAGTTTTTCTGTAAAACTGTCTATAACCTAAAGTGGTACTTTATTCTACTTCCGATCTCTTAAAAAAAAAACCATACATTTAATATATATAAACTCCCAAAACAACTTGTTTTAGAACTGTTCGCCTCTATGTGTTATTTTTTTTTTCCGAAAATGAGCGGTGTTTGTTACAAACTTCTGTATGTCTTTAGCCCGATTCCACCGATACTGCCATCCCAATCCTGTTATACAAAGGGGTTACAAGAAATAATTAGGAGAGCCTACTCCCGCTTCATCTGCTTACCTAGTGATCGTCCGGTATGACAATGTTTATGCCTAGCCCCTATGGGTTTCCTCTAAATTTATGTGCTAAGATAAAAGACCCTATTGCTAAGTTACCCAAATCGATGTTTCTATTACCCCCGTCCCTTCACAATCTAGAATCTGATTGATCCCTTCTATCTCAAACTCGATGTAATGTACGTAGCTTAACCTACATAGATCTAGAAACATTTTAGCACTACATATTTAAAAATTATAAAAGATTAATGCGAAGATATCATTTGAGTGTGCGTAAGTTTCATTAATCGTGATAGCATCACTACATTGGTTGCAGATACAACTAAGTGATTTTGGAGTATATACAAAGGTTGCGTCAGACCTGCCTTTTAACAGAAATCAAATAAAATGTGTGAATAAATAAATAAATAAATAAATAAATAAATAAATAAATAAATAAATAAATAAATAAATAAATAAATAAATAAATAAATAAATAAATAAATAAATAAATAAATAAATAAATAAATAAATAAATAAATAAATAAATAAATAAATAAATAAATAAATAAATAAATAAATAAATAAATAAATAAATAAATAAATAAATAAATAAATAAATAAATACATGAATACATGAATAAATAAATAAATAAATAAATAAATAAATAAATAAATAAATAAATAAATAAATAAATAAATAAATAAATAAATAAATAAATAAATAAATAAATAAATAAATAAATAAATAAATAAATAAATAAATAAATAAATAAATAAATAAATAAATAAATAAATAAATAAATAAATAAATAAATAAATAAATAAATAAATAAATAAATAAATAAATAAATAAATAAATAAATAAATAAATAAATAAATAAATAAATAAATAAATAAATAAATAAATAAATAAATAAATAAATAAATAAATAAATAAATAAATAAATAAATATATAAATATATATATATATATATATATATATATATATATATATTTATATTTATTTGTTTATTATGTAGTACGCATTATGTAGTGTGCATAAAGAATGAGAAGTTAGAGATGTGTGCATGTTTTTATTAAACATTTTTTTGGCCTATATTGAAAATCACAGCCGAACCTTTTGCGCACCACCAAGTACTTTCGATATTTGACGTCATCATAAGACTGCACTTGTGCACACATAGATTTACTTCGTTGCTACACAGTCGCAGCACTACGTCATACAAAACAGTCTAACGTCACATTCACCCCGTGTATCTCCGTCCTGAACACAGCAATCTCCGTCCTACACTTAAAAAAGAAACAATATATTTTGTGTCATCTCTTGATCGGAACTCAAGAATGGATCCTTTTGGCAACTCTAATCGTCTGGCCATTGGTTCAGCTGAGCGTTCCGGGCAAAAATGTATTGATACAAAGAACGACCAGACTTACTTCGTCGATGATCTCAACGTTTCCTGCAACAGCAATGACTGCTCTAGTTATTTTGATGTTCCAGAGTGTGTCACAGATGTTTACTTGCAAGCATTGGACGGCGGCGATGAAAGTTTTGCCGCTTTGAGGCAAATTAGCGATGTTTACTCACAACAAGACAAAAAGCAGTACGACATGAATTGCAATCATAACACTGAACCCCTACCCAACCAAGGCTGTGGCTGTACGGGCAGTTACAACGGCGGCGCTGGTGCTGGTACTGCAACTTGCTCTAGCTGTGATAATGAAAGACCGTATGAAGTCGGCTTTTGTGACAAAAAAAGAGATGATGCTTGTTGTGGTTTTCCAAATGATGCTTATCGCCCAGAAGTCGTAAACATCAAACCAACATGTACACCAGAATGGAACCCTGGATGCAAATGTCCAGCTGGTACAGTAAGTGCCGGATGTGGCTGCCAGTGTTCTCAAACTTATCAACAAGATCTTTGCAACAAAAAACCTGAATGCACTCCAGACTACAAATACGTTGTTGAGATGCCACCACCCAAACCATATTGTGCTAGTAATGATCCATCCTGCTGCGCTAGCGCTAAAGGTTGTCCACATAGTCATAGCCAAACACCATCTGGCAAACCACCAAATTTCTACTCTGATGACTCTTGTGGTTGCCAGAAACACGACTTATGTAATCATAACAACAGTGTGGTCGAATGGAACCAAGAGCTGGACTGGGCACAACTAAGAAAGTCTGCTTACAGCGCTTCATCTGACTGCTGCACATGCCGCTCACCTAGTCCAATGAGGCGAGTGGCCAACTTCAGTTTTATAGATGAACTCCCTGAGGCTACAATGGAATACCAAGCTGGTAAAGGTAAAAAAGTCGTTAAAGCGATGAATGATGAATTATATGCTAGAGGCTTTCCCGAGCACCACCTCCATTCGTCCGAAAACAGCTCGCCAATGGAAAAAGACAATCAAGTTGTCAAACGTAACTTCTCTCCCGAACGCTGCAACATTTGTTAAAATGTCTCCTGGATACAGCACTCATTCAGATAACACCTATAAGAACTATCAACATTTCAACATCAAATAGACACAATACCTGGACTTCATCAAATGCGTATACCTAGTTCCTTCTAGGCAGAATGCTGCACATCTTGTAAGTAATCTTAAACTAGCTAGCATGTACACATATCGCCCATATCAACGTTTTGTCTGGAACGTGTCCATCTATTAAATAATGGGCTTCGATGTTATTCAATACTCGACCTATTACTATGCAAACGCATAATTAGTTGGACTATTCACCATCTTTAAAAATGTGGAAACGTAATGACGCTAAGACAATCATTGTTGCCGAAACTAACATCGCTTGCAATCATTGAAACAACTTTTGGTACAAGTTTTCCTTCAAGAATAATCTGCCAAGAAATTTATAATAGCACAATTAGGTACACGGGGTAAATAAACATCTGAACTGATGCATGTCTTCCTTTTTTAATCATAAACTGTCTGTTGTTGTATGCATTTTTAATTAATAGCAATTAAGTATTGACACTGATGGTAGCTAACCTGTTAATGAAAGGTAGTGGACAACGTAAAAAATGGTATTAAGGTAATGGCTTAACAGGTAAAGAATAGTAACGAACAATCTAAATGATGGTATTTTTAAGGAAATGAAAGGTAAACAATGTAAATGATGGTATAATAGGTAAACACTTAACAGGTAAAGAATGGTAACGAACAATCTAAATGATGGTATTTTTAAGGTAATATCTAGCAGGCAATGAAAGGTAGTTAACAATATAAATGATGGTATAATAGGTGAACTCTAACAGATAAAGAATAGTAACAACAATGTAAATGATGGTATTTTTAAGGTAATATCTAACAGGTAATGAAAGGTAGTGGACATTGTAAATAATGGTATATAAGGTAAACTTTTAACAGTTAAAGAATGGTAGTGGACAATGTAAATGTAACAGTTAAAGAATGGTAACTACAATGTAAATGATGGTAAATGAGGTAAACTCTTAACAGGTAAAGAATGGTAGTGGACAATGTAAAGGATGAAATTTAATGTTATATCTAACGTAAACAAAGGTTGACAGAAAATCGTGGTATATGAGGGAAAAAAAGATAGACAAGTAAAAATATTGCATTCTGATTTTAATAGTGCATGCTAATATATAGGCCTAGGTGAAACTCAATATAGAACTAGACTCTGTCGCATGGCTGAAAAGTTGTTTGATACACAACTGAGATTTCAGTATAATTTCTTTAGCTGCTGTTTCCAGGCAAAGGGAAAGTACTGCAATAAACATTAACGCAAAGTTTCTACTGAATGCTAATATTAGTTTGTTAATGATGTAGATTGAGATTCTAGATGTTTTTCTTGCTGTTTTTTTTTTATTATGTAGCCTATTTATATTTATTTTTTTGTAGTAAAACAAGCCCACCCCAGCAGCTGAATTTTGAATTTTGTGTAAGTAAAATAAGCCTAAGTAAGAAGTATTTTTTATCGGGGCTATATTGATATGCTTAGGCCTAAATATAAATAATTCTGAAATAGGCTATAATTAGATAGATTCTTTAACTCTTGTACGAAAAATGTTTATAGATATCTTGTTGTTTTTATTCCGGTGTATCACGCATGCGTTCTACACGTGTCGTTTCAATTTGTGTTTAGCAAAACAGATGACGTATTCTTAACTAGATCTAGAATAAGTTAATCTAGATCTAGAATCTAGATCTAGATAGATTGTATGCTAACTTATTAATATTTCTTATTTATTATATGCTTATAGAGACGAAACGTTTAAAAAATGGCAGCGCAGACGTTTCAACAGGAGTATATGCAAATGCCACCAGTAACTAGGGCATATACAACTGCATGTGTTCTTACTACTTTAGCTGTTGTGAGTGAAAATTTAATAGAGTAGTTTAAGTTTATAGATCTAGATCTACTTTATAGTGTACTATTAATTATGTAATTTACTATTAGGCCTAAACAATATTATTATTAGACTAGAATCTGGCCTAAGCCCATAAATAAATATTTGGTAATCTATCGTTTTGGGTACGTAAAATCGCCCGCGACTAGTAATGTGAAAAACAGGTGACTGCTTAAATTGGTAATCTATCGTTTTGGGTACGTACACTGCTGTTTAAAGTTAATTTGTGACCCATATATATTGATATATTTAACCATTGATTTAGGTTTATTATTCATTTATCTACAATATTTGACACAAATATATCACAATATAGGCCTACTTCTATTAAAGCCTTGACAATGAGGTAAAGTTTTTGTACATTAGAAGCCGCGAGCGATTTTATGTACCCTAAACGATAGATTACCAAATATTTAAATAATTGGTAATCTATTGTAGGTATGTACTAGTATGTCGCGGCTAGTATTGTAATGTACGAAAAAGTTACCTCATTGTCAAGGCTTTAATTTATTAATAGAAGTAGATCTATATATTGTAGATTTTCTTACTAATTCTAAAATTTACCCAATTTTCAATTTAAACATGACCACTGAATGATAGACATCCATATTTAATCCAATTAGGCACTAATTTGGAAGTTTTTAGTTTGTTTTAAACAAAATTACTTAATTTAATATTTATTGTCACTCACAAAAATGCACAACACACCTCTCCATGACAACTCTTCTTACCTTTGAAGCTAAAGAAAACCACTAATCTGGTGGGGTTTTAAAAAAGTAAAAAATTTGGTTGTCATTCAAAAGTCGTGTCTTATTTTAAAAAGTGCTTGCGATATTTGATTTATTTTTGCATAGACTGATAAACCTAATAGTTCTACAACCTCCAAATCATTTTTGTACCCTCCAGGCTGATATTTTAAAAGTTCTATTAATTTTAATAAGACCGACTTCAAAATTTAGCCTTCATTCCCCAAAGCAAATTTTATAATGATAGATTACCAATAATTAGTAGCCTAAGGAATTGGCTAATAATAACCACAGTAGGCCCCTTGTGTCATATAGGCTTACATAATATAGGCTTAAATATAGATTTTCTCACTAAATCTAAAACTTACACGCAATTTTCAATTTAAACATTACCACTAAATAATAGACATCCATATTTAATCAGTTAGGCACTAATTTTGAAGTTTTTAGTTTGTTTTAAACTAAATCACTTATGCCTAATTTAATATTTATTGTCACTCACTGCCATGCGCGACACACCTCTCCATGACAACACAACTTATGTCTGAAGCCACGACAAACCACGAACCGGTTCGACTTTTTAATTGGCTATGCACCAGAGTTCCTCACTAGTAATGAGCCAAATAGCGGTCATGTGGTTTTTAAAAAATAAAAATAAATTGGTTGTAATATTGACGCAGGTCTTATAAAAACAAAAGCTCACAATATTTGATTTCTTTTTCATAGACTGATAAAACTAATAATGCCTTACGTTCTTGCTCAGTTTTGTACCTACACCATTGATATTTTAAAAGTTCTATTAATCTTAATGAAAACAACTTTTGAATTTAACCTCCATTCTCCAAACCAATTTTTAAAATGCTTTTCTGACATATCTAACCATGCCACCTATGGTTTGTTTTTACAACGCAAAAATCCCACCATTTTGCTCATGGTAAACATTTTAATCAGTAATTCTAAGAAGGTCACTGGAACTCAGACGAAAAATTGTCGGAAGTCATGAATCCGGTCTGTACGCCATATTGTTGTTAGCAGCCGGTCACAGAGTTAGCGTGTAATACTACTATATAGTATATGCCTATTTACTATTTAATATTATTATTAATAGGCTATTAGGTAATCTATCATTTTAGGTGCTTAAAATCTGCTGAGGCTAATAATGTGCTAAAAAGTTGCCTTATCATTAAGGCTTTAATAGAAGTAGGCCTATATTGAGTATATTGTGATATAGGCATAGGCCCTTTTTGTGTCAAATATTATGGATAACTAAATTATAAACCAAAATCATTGGCTAAGTAATACTAAATATATCAGTACGTATAGGCAAGAAATTAACTTTAAACAGCAGCGTTTGCGAGCAGGATTTGCTATATAAAAAGCTACCATCTGTAAGTTAGAGTGGTTTCTCCTGAATCTCTAAATATAATATTAAAAAAGTACCCAAAAAAACTTAAACAAGATGGCTGCTAGAGTAAATGAGCTTGGTTGCATCTGATGAAAACATCACTAGTCTTTATTTTTTTCTAAAAAGTTTTAATACACATGTTTAAAAACAGGTACATGAATGAAGCTTTGAATCATTTTTGTAATTTTCAAAACATAAATCCTCCTAAAAATGTGAAATAATTACTAAAATTTAATGAGTCACCTTTTTTCACATTACTAGTCTCGGACGATTTTACGTACCTAAAACTATAGATTACCGGCTATTAGGCCTAATTATATTATTATAGACTCCCACTCGCAGTAACATTTGTCTGGAATGATATCAGGTATTTAAAGCAAGATCTCAAGATATTTAGAATTACAAGAAAAAATCACAACAGAAAAGATTTATTCTGCATCTTAAAAGAATTGTTGTTTAGCTAAATCTAAATAATTTTATTGGCTGGTCCAAATAGCCGTTGAGGCCTTAAGGACCCGGGTCCCAAAGGCGTACGTGGCTATTGGGACCGGGGTCCGAATAGATGCAGCCATAGACTAGGGGCCTACTAAATTTAGTAATTTATAGTAAAATATTTTATTGGCTAGGCATATCCCTATAGTAGTAATACTCACTAAACTGGAGGTGTGGCCAGTTGCTAAAAACAATATTGCGTCCGGATGCATGACTTTCAAAGATTTTTCGTCTTAGTCCCAGTGACCATCTTAGAATTACTTTTTAAAATGTTTACCACATTAGCAAGCCATGTGTGTATTTTAGTTAACTACCAGTAACCTAAAACCCCATTTTTAAAAGAATTCTATTATAAGACACTGGTATGAAAGATCCCCCAAAAATTATATTATTAGGCCCAATTTTACTTTATTTCACTAAATTTGCTTACATTCTTCCGTGGGGGAGGGGGTATTTAAAGTAGGCCTAAAGCCTGCCCAAAACTCCCATGTAATTAAAATAGATTAGGTAGAGACAAGACTGTTTGTATTTTGTCAGAGAAATCTTGTCTAATCAAATCTAAATAATCACTAAACTGTGATTAAGGGGAGTATTCTCATTTAGCTTAAAATTTATCTTCTAGTTCCGTTGACTGGACACTGATTTGTTGAGGATGGGTAAAGAACTAAAGATAGATATAGAAATCTCCATCTATCACTATCTGTTGTTTTCCTTTAGACTAGAACTTAGCAAAAGATTTTCACTTGAAACACTTTGAATAATTGTAGCATTGTAATTCTGTTATACAGAACCAGTAGTGTCTTTATAAATTTAATCTTAAGTCTATCCATTGTGAAATTGTAGGATTATTCTCCTGAATTAAATATCTTAACCAAAAGCCAGCTTGCATAACAGTTTCAACTTTTCATACTGCCATAAAATGAATTAAGGAATTTTTTGTAAATGAAATCATTTAGTTGCTTCAGAGCCTTTTCTGATGTTTAGTTAGACTGAAGAAATAATTGTATCTATATTGATTTAACCTAAATTAAAGGTGATTGTAATGGATTATTAGCAGTGGGAAATTACATAAGACCCATTAAAATGCTTTTATCTGATCATGCTATTCATTAGGACTTTTTACAAGACTGCTTTGGATTTTGTCTAATTAGTATTTTTTCTTTTAACAGCAGCTTGATTTAATCAACCCCTTTCAGATATATTTCAACCCTGATTTAATATTTAGGCACTTACAGGTATTGCTTTGTCTATATTTCTCTAGCCATTCCATTTTGTATACTATTTTTAGGCTTATTATTGCTTTCCAGTATAAATTGTAGCTAGTTGTACTACTGAATATTCTAGTATGACACTATATTGTAATGTTAGCTTAAAGTATCAGTTCTTAAAATAACTTATAACATAATATTGTTTCTTTCAGTTATGGAGACTGGTGACAAGTTTTTTATATTTTGGGCCAATTGGCTTCAATTTCCTGTTCAACATGATATTTGCATATCGCTACTGCCGTATGTTGGAAGAAGGATCCTTTCGTGGGAGAACAGCTGATTTTTTTTTCATGTTTTTGTTTGGTGGTTTTTTTATGATTGTATCCTTTTACAAATGTATGTCTGCTTTGAGAAAGAAGTTCCACAGCAATTGTAGTTTATTCCTTAAAGGGCTGTATGTGGCAGTATTTAGTCCTTATAGCGCAAGTGTATGTGATATTGCTTGTCTTCTTTAAAATATTTTCTACAGTTGAGTCAATACTTGAGTTAAACTTATAAAGAGAATAAATTGATTGGACTAACAAAAGGGTGAATTATTTTGTTAAAGGTTCACTGTTTCATTCAGGTTACATACATCTTGCCAGTTTAGTCAAAATGCTGCCAGTCACCCATTTGCACTTAAGTTAGATTATCTATCATGTGAAACGTTTGGTTTTTTTATTTTAAAAAATGGAGCTGTGACTGTTTATGATCAGCAGTGGGTCTAATTGCAATCTCTAATGTAGGTTGTCGCTTGACCTAAAAGTAAGCAAAATGTGAATTGCTGTATTTGATATTGTTCTAAACTTACTGAAAATATATTCTAAACTATAGAAAATTATAACTTGCTTTCTACTAAACTAATGTCACAAAAAAACTCCTAAAAAACTAACCCACTGTTTCACTGAAAATTAGTCTTATCATCGTAGCCATTTAAAAACAAATGCGTTTTTTCACAAATCATTTCCTAGGCTACCGATCAAATCGGATAAATAAAATTGGTATCAAATTAAAGGTAAATAAATGTTTTTAATTTTTTAAGTCATCATGAACAATCATGAAGTTTAAAATCTTAGGCGACACCCTACTCTAAGGGACAGATATTTGCTAAATAAATGAATACAGTAATCACTGGATGAATTGTTAAATAATTTTTCTGTTCTTCTTCTTCTTCTTCGTTCTTAATTATTAGTGTTGAAGGGGATCGAGATTTATCTGCTAGTGGGTTTGAACTCAAGACTTTGTTCGAATTTATCAACCATGAGCTTTTTGCCGACTCGACCACGCCTCCAACACAATTAAGCGTTACGTGTCAACTGGTTATGCGCCATTGAGGCCATTGACTCCGATTTCAGCCTGCTTTTCTTTTTGGATTTGCTTCCATAGCCTTTGTCCAACCAAGAACAAACTACAAGGCAGCAGTTGTTTAATTTTGGAGTTGTCTCTCCTAGAAGAGTGGCTGTCCCCAGCTAACGAGCCTCATCTGCCCGAGGGTTCGAACTCGAGACTTTTCGGTTTAGCAACCATGAGCTTTACCGACTCGACCACGCCGACCCCTGAATTTTTCTGTTAAATTATCCATTTTAAACAAATAGTTATATTGCAAATTCTGTAGGAATTCGATATAACTTTTCTCCCATGTTACTCAATAAGTGTGGATAGTATGTACAGATTGAATCTTATTCTCTCCCTTGTGTTGAATTTGTCACTTGAGTTGCTGGGCCCCAACTTAAGCCTAACTCTGACCTGTACGACTCAGGTAGATGAACTATTGGACCTTACAAAAGTACAACTACACACTATAATAATGATTGTATTACTGTCCTATCTATGTACTTCCCAGTTATAACAATTATAGTGGCATTGTTGCAGAACAGATTACTTGTTTCTGGCCTTAACATGGGAATTAGATTATGGCTTTTTTTGTAAACCTTGTTTTTCTAGGAAGTGCATTTACTATTATGTTGGTTTATGTTTGGAGTAGACGTAATCCTTACATTCGGCTGAATTTCTTTGGTCTTATGAACTTTCAAGTAAGTAACTTAAATTTTTTTAAAGTAATTAACTATTATTATATGGACTAGTTGTTTTTCTCTTTAATATATATATTTCACATATATCTGCATGTAATTTTTTTGTGTGAGTAATCTTTATAAATCTAAAAAAAAAATTTTTTTTCTGATTTTTAAAAATTGTAATAGGTTCATGTTATTTGTGTAAAAATGAAGAAGAATGTGTGGACTAAACATTTTTGACCCATTTCAAATGCAGGAATTTCACTCAGATTTTCCAGATTAATTATTGCGATCGCAAAACAAGAATAAGAATATCTCTTTTTCAATTAAATTAGTTGTTAAAGCTTAATTTAAAGATTACTTTATTTAACTACAAAAGGAGAAAATACACGATTAAGTACTAGCAAACGAGTAATAAATCAAGTAATAAATCAATAGCCAGGTTACTGAGCTAAGCCACTTCTCAAGATCTGACCACAGAAAACAAGTGGTGGTTTATTTAGAGTTAAGATTGCAGGTTTTTGAGCTTATAGTTTGAACCTTTGGGGTGTCCCTTTAATTAAAAACTGAATAGGAAAAATAGAAAAATTAAATATCCAATGACATTTTTGCCTTTCTTCCCCATCCTGGCACCGTGCCTTGCATCATTGTTTTGGATAGGCCGTTGACTTGTGTGACCTGCCCATACCATCCCTTTGTTGTGATTATACCAACAAGGTTTCTAAAGACCAAATCACATTTGTGATCCTTTCATTGACCTCTTCATTTGTTAGGTCATCTCTGTATGACATCCTAGGGAGTTTGCATAGACATCTCATTTCCAGAGCCTGGATCTCTCTCTGAATGCATGCATTGAAGGTCCATGTCTCACATCCACACATGAATACTGAGAATGACATGACCAGCGACTGCATGAACTTTTATGTCCATACAAGTCTTTTCGTTATGCCAAATGTTTCTTAACATATTTGCAAGTATTTCTTGCATGGTAAAAGTAGCCTAAAGACTTGAGATCTTGAATTGTAAAAAAAATCGGAAAAACTGCAAATACCCCCTTAACAATAAAAAGTACAATGCTAAACTATCCAAGGTAATTATGGTCCGAGAAGGTGAATGAATGATTGCTTTATTTAAAGCCGAGAAGAAAAACCCTCCATTATTACAATAACAATTAGTTGGACGAAAAAGCCTCCAATATTACAATAACGATTTGTTAGAAGTATGAAATTCTCCATTATTACAATAAAGAAAACAAAATCATCCAAAAAGCTACATTTCTTGGTTATATTTTGTTTATTACAACATTAGTATTTATTCACACATCCATATATTTATATGTATTTATATCAACATATATCTTACATTGTTGCTATTTGTTTTTGTTTTTTAGGCTCCGTTTTTGCCTTGGGTTCTTTTAGGATTCTCTTTGTTGCTTGGGAATTCTATTATCATTGATTTGATGGGTAACTACTTGTTCAATATGTAGAATATTGTTTGTTCAAATTATGATACTATGTATACAAAAATTGTAGTCCTGGTGGTGTATGTAAGTACTCAAACTATTTGAATATGGCACCAACACTACATGAAATCAACTATCATATAGACTAGGTACTCAAACTATTTGAATAAGGCACCAACACTACATGAAATCAACTATCATATAGACTAGGTACTCAAACTATTTGAATAAGGCACCAACACTACATGAAATCAACTATCATATAGACTAGGTACTCAAACAATTTGAATAAGGCACCAACACTACTGCTCTTGTTGTTCTCTCCATTTATCTCAAGTTGTCTGTTTAAGAATGAGACTGGGAGCTGTTGTTTGTTGAGACTGGGAGCTGTTGTTTGTTGAGACTGGGAGCTGTTGTTTGTTGAGACTGGGAGCTGTTGTTTGTTGAGACTGGCAGCTGTTGTTTGTTGAGACTGGGAGCTGTTGTTTGTTGAGACTGGGAGCTGTTGTTTGTTAAAAGTTGAGTGAAATGTTTGGTCAGTTCAACGTCAACTGTTTTATTTTGGTCATTAGTTGTTTTTTACAACTGCAATGGAGGTTTTTATTTGCTTTGCAGGTATTGCAATAGGTCATGTCTACTTCTTTTTAGAAGATGTCTTCCCTCAGCAAAATGGAAATTTTAAAGTGCTCAAAACTCCGGGATTTTTGTAAGTTTGTTGTGTAGTACATAGATCAGAGCTGCGTACTTGTACAGTTTGCTTCCTAATGATAAAATGTGCACAGGCAATATTATTTTCTTATCAAACCCTCCTTGGTTTTGTTTTAGGTTCATTAAATTTTTAAGTTGATAACAATGAAAATAGGGCTTACTATAAAGACTTTATAATTTTGTATACACTTCTAAATGTAAAAGTAACAGTATTTTAGTCAATTTTATTCTTAAAAAACTTATAATTTGATTTTAAGTAACTATTTTATTTTGAATGTCAATTTGATATGCTTAAAAAAGCGTGGAAAGTATTTTCTTAAAAATTGTACAGACTTTGTGTATTATTCTAGAAACTCAATATTCTTGTTGCTGATTTTTTTTTTGAAGTTGCAACCATGCTTTTTGAAATGTAAATACAGTGGTACTTCAATGCTAATTTAATTAGTTGCTCATATGTCAGATTGTTCACATCTACTCCAATGAAATGATAGGAAATGCCATTAATCTACTCAAGCCACCAACAATGCCACCCCAGTTGCTTTTGTTATGTATTTTTTGGAGAACTGGTAATCTCTGAAAAATTAGTTTCCTATTGGCAAAGTCACTTTAGTAGCCCTCAAATACTTTTTGTGTTGACTGATCTGTAACTACTTGAAGTCATGTTTGGTCTTCTGTGATTTATGTGCTATGACACCTAGGGAATGTCCTGTAGTATGGTTTTCCTTAGTGCATTTAGTATTAGAACAGAGTGCAGTATACACCGCAAGGTTTTCATGTTGTTTTAAACACTAAGAAACATATGAGATAGAGTTTGAACTTTGTATCAACAGAAAATTGTTGTTGGACCCCCCACCCAACCAAGAGGACTACAATCCACTGCCTGAAGAAGCTGGTGGGTTTAACAGAGGGCTGGGACCTGGCCCAGAGGACCAACAGTGATCAAAGGCTGTTTCAACTCTGCTGACAGGTTTCTCATCTTGTCCTTCACTCAGCTCTTGATGTATTATTCAGTGTGCTCATCTTCAGATGGCTTGCATTGAAAATCTCATCAGGATTGACTCTGTGAATTGTGTTCCCTATACTTACCTTATGTCAAGTTATGTTTGAATGTATCAAAGAAGTTGGTCAATCACTTGGCAGCTTTCTTAAGTTGTATTTCTTGTAAAAGTTGTGTTCAACCTGGTTTCAATAATGTTGTATCTGGTCATTTCCAAGTGCTCTGAACAAAACATAAACTACTGTTATAATAACAAACATTTGACCCCTGTTTGTAGTCCTGTTTTGCTCCCCTCTAATGTGTTTTGGTCATGCTTTGATGACCATTTCATATCAGATTTTGATGAGCATGCTAGCAAGTATAACATCTCTATACATTAGTCGTCCTTGATAAATCTTTTGAACTGAGCATGTTCAGGGGGGCATGTGCTTCAACTTTTCCACCATGTTTTGTTGGCATTTATTTTGACCAAATGTTAAAAAAATAAAATTTGACTAAACAAACTTACACAATTGGAATTATTTTAAAAAATTTGATCTCCTTTTATTTGATCCTGGTCCCATCTATCTCCACCATGATGTGGCTGGTGCTTGACAACAGTACAAGGAACTCTAATCTGCTGATGCCATTTGTCTGTGATGTTCAAATCCCCAGTCTTGTGGGGGATTATTGATTTCTTGCTATTGTTGACTGCATAGATCTAATTTGTTTTAATCACATTCTAGTTCATTCTTGATCATTTTCAACATAAAACAGTGAATAAAGAAGTATTATAAGGCTATTTTTGTATTCTACACATAAACTAGAAATCATATCTGTAGAAGCTTGCTTTTATTTAAAAAGAGTATGCGTTTTTTTTTCTATTTAATAGCCTTTAATTTTCTACTTGAGCTTCCAAAACAAGTTAGCAAGATTTGGAGTAGGCAATAGAAATAAATACGAATGCATGTATTGTAAGTCCAATATTTGTCAATGTGTGTCAAAACAATGTTGTATTGAGGCGTGTTGATAAGTTTTGACAGATAGATTGTAAATATATAGTTTATAAATTATTTGCCCCTTTTTGTTTCTTTATTTTTATGTGACATAATAGTTTATAAAGTTATTTGAAGTTTTTTAAATTTCTCATTAATATAAATAAAAAACATAACTGCAAAATCTACAGAAAATTGCAGTTTTGTTTAATTAATAATTTATTAAAGTTTTGTTTTGACACAAAAATTCTTAAAATCCGAGTTATTGATTGATTTATAATTTTAATCCTCCTGTCATAGAACAACACATTCAACAAGTCAGTTGTGTTCTTAGCCTTGTGCACACCTACAATTATTTGTGGGTTTGTGTTGTCTAGTAATTCAACTTTGGCCATTTCTAATCAATGAAATGATTCCTTTAAAGTTCTTTTCCAATAAATTAATTTTTGTTGAAAGGGGAAGAATGTTATAATGTTAAATTTTTGTAATTAAAAATTTATTTCCGAGATTACTCCATTTATTGTATATCAAAAGGGGAGATAACATTTATAGGATTTAAAAGTGACCACTTGATCAGACAGGTAATTAAGGGCAGAACATGTTAACTCTTTAAGCCCGTAATTATTTTCACGTTTTACCGGAATTATTTTTTTTCCCTCATTTTTTTCAGCACCCCTGCGGCTAAATGACCCATATCTTTTTACCCGTTAATTTAAACCCCACACATTATTGATAAAAATTAATCGTAATTGAATACCCTACACACTGATATAAACTTTAAGGAATTATTTATTTATTGAAGAAAGATAATTAATTAGATTTAAAGAAGAAAAAATAAAGAGTTGATTTTTTCTTGCAAAAATTACGCGTCTGTCGGGAAAATTAATAATAAGAATAACTTTTCATGAGTTCTTATTCATAGAAAACGAAAGTACGTCCATTTATCTACAAAAATCATGGATCGGATTAGTCTTAGTATAAATACTTTAATTTTCGTTAATTTTATAATGCGGCGACGTAAACGTTTAGACGCGGCCGCTGAACGGCATTCCGCAGTGTTAAAAAATGCCGTTTTTCGAGTTGTTTTACAAAAAAAATTCTATAAAATACAAAATCGATCTAACGAGAAAACTACAAGAAGTAAATACAACGAAAAATGGCCGCTCTAGCGTTATCATGACCTAGATTTACGATTAAAAACTTGGATTCTGAAAAACAACGAATTAAATAGAGAAAATTTTATCGGACGCTGGGAGCGTCGTTACGGTATGGCAGGCCGGCGGACCGACCGCTGGGAGCGTCGTTACGGTCTTAAAGAGGTATGGGGCTGATTTTTGTCATTACAAGTTACTGATAGGTAATCATGTAAGAAAAATGACATTATAAGTTTTCACTGTTGTGCACCTCATATACATCATATCAAGGATGCATTGTAATCGTGCAAAAATCTAAATAGAGAATTTGACAAAGGTTAATGTTATTAAAACCTTCCAGAGCTGGAAAATCTTTGTTCTGAGATCCTGTGCGTGTATGTAAACAAATTAACTTGATTAATGTTTCAGTTAAGTTGATCAAATTTCATTTAAGTATAGTATTCTATCAAATTTGTAGTTTCTATCTACTTTAGAGAGATTTCTGTTAACCTGAAGTGAGGCATACACTATTTACGGTCTCTTAAAAGCTGATAACTTAAAGTACTATAAAGTTAGGTAGACAAAATTTGACAAACAAAAATAAGATTGTATGCCACTAATTATCAGCTTTAGAATGATTCCTGGTAATCAGAAATGGTACTTCACTCTGTTTCTGTGGGAACACAATAGCTTGAGAATTGTTTCAGTTACAAAATTTCATACCGGTACATAAGTAAAAGATCTTGTACTTTAATCACTTTCAATTTTTGTGACTTTTGATATTTGGAAGGGGTATTTTACTATATTTGGGTTTCTAAAAATAGTAAACTACTAAATAACTTGAGAACTATTTCAGTTAGCTGTATGAAATTTTATACATAGGTATGTTTTTATTTGCTGTTTTCTGTCCAAATTTTGTGTGATTTCCTGGGACCAGAATTACTACTTAAACACAATTTACTATTTCTCAGAAAAGGTAATCAGTTTTCTTTTGAAAGTACTAATTTTCTGCTCTATTATACTCACACACTGCTTATGTTCACTAGGCGCAATTCTTTTTCAAGAACTATTTGTTTAAAAACTTTCAGTATAAAAAAAAATTAATTAAAAATACTTATAGCCCTGCATAAGTGCTATTCCCTCTACTGTTATACAAGTATAAGTTTAGAAGAGATCACACCTGCTTAATTTGTCTAAAATGTGGAAAATAAAACAAGCTCTGAAGTTTAAAATTATTTAAAATAAAAAGAAAATAGTAAAAACATTGGTTGTTAAGAAATCTGTATCAAACCCATTGCTTTTATTTTACATCTAAAAAAAAAAAAGAAAGAATTATGTTTTATTATTGGTGTATTCTAGAATTAAATGAGTTGTTTACCAGGCTCTACCACAAAATAACAGTTGCTACTCCATTCACTCTTGCTGTAGATCTATTTATGGTTGAGGGATGGACTAGGCATATATCTACCTTTGGGTAGATATAAAAACTTGGAAAGGTTTTTTTTAAGACTGGTTGAAAATTGAGAAAACCTTTCATGTCTATTGCTAAAAGTGCTAGTGTATGGGTAAACAATATAGAAAAGAGTTTTTGTCAATCTTTAATTCCTTTCACCTCAATAGCTGACAATAAAAGCAGGACACACACTAGATGTAAATCATCATGTAGAACTTGTCATACAAATAAATACAATTAAAAGCTTAGACTACATTTAAGTAAATTAAAATGTGGTAAAAAAGCACATAGAGCAGTTTATAGCAATGCTGCATTCATGAAGTTGGATTGCTCCCATTTGAAATAATGACAGTCATTGGTTCAGTTACAATGTAGTTCACAATAGTGCTATGTCATAGTATCCTACTAAAACTTGAGATTATTTCTAAAGTTACAATAGCCCAAAACTTTTAATGCAAACAAATGGTTCAACTTGTATTTTAATATATTGCATCCTTAAAATTTTTTTTATTGAGGCTATTAGTATATCACATACTTAGTTGTTTATCGAGGATTAAGTTTGCTGGGTTTTATGCAAATGGCATTTATGTTAATTTTGTACTCGCTATATTTTAAAAAGTAAGATCCTACTTTAGCTGACCAAACCTTACCAAAGGAAATTTGTGGGCATGAATTTTCTTGATTGCTTTAGCTAGATCTAGCCTCACATACAGGTTTGGTCTGCAGATCCAGCACTGTTAGGTACATGAGTAATGGAAGTTGACACAATCATGAATATATCAGCTCCTTTGGTTAACTCTCTGAAATGGTATTCTACTACTAGGCTGTTTGTTTATTATTTGAAGTTAAAAGAAAATGACAGCCTATACACCAGTTCAAACACTGCCATAAAATTAAAAAAGTTTTAAGGCCCATAAATTCCAACATAACAGCCACACCACCACTACTCTAATATGTAACAAAAATACCAAACTTGAAGCAAAGGTAGATGTTGGCAACTAATTTCATCTGATTACTCTATTGAAAAAAATGTCAAAATGATATTTTTCTACTGTGGATTGTTTACAAATCAGAGCATAGAATACAATATATAAAAAGAGAGAGATAGGGGTGTAATATATAGGTATTTAAGATTATATATATATGTGTATATATGTAAAGTATATATACAAATACATATATAAATAACATACCTCAAAAACTAAAATGTGTATATGTATAGTATTTCTATTTGCAAGCAACCAATACATTTAATTACAAGTTGGAATAAATAATTTGACATAGAGTATTGTTTTGATATAATATACAAGAATTTCCAGATGATTTTAATAATAAACAATGGACCAAGTTTAATAAATAAATAGGGAATGGACAGTGTGTTAATTTTGTACTGATGCTATATCTGTTATTGTAAAAACAGCTAATCATTTTTTTTAAAACCAGATTAAATGGCAACAAATATTTGTATCTAAAGATGGACTGGCTTTGGTTCTAATAATTCTATCTATTCTTAACAAAACTGAAGTCACACACTGCAGCATCTGGTTACTGTCTGATTTAGAGATTATAAATGTAGACCTCTTTTATCCAATAAGAAAGGTACAAATGGGTAGAAGTTTAAATTGTCATATATGCCACTCATTTAATAATTATGTTTGAATACAGGAATTGTTCAAAAAATTTGAGATATTTATCTTTTTGTACATTTTAAAAATTGATTTTTAAACCTTAAATTGTACAGCCTAAAGAACCAGAGATTATATTTACACAAAACAAATGTACACAACACTGTGCAAATATAAGGTCAATTGATATCATATCAGTGAAAGACAACAAGACCAAAATGACAAAAACCTGATTCATACACACAGGGAGTATCATAAAGAGAAAATCTAGAACTGAATTACTTTCTAGCAGCCCCCTAGTGGTGGAACAAAATAGTTTGACTAGTTTTAAAATGGACACGTAAATATAAATAAATTGATCAAATATTCATATTTTATAACTCATCAATAATAATACAAAACAAATAATATTTTTTATTCAAATAGGAAATTAAAAATGTAAACGATTCTGGGCAGTGTTAGTTCAAATGATATGGCTTTGTTTTTATTACTGGTTGAATGCTCCTCCCAATTAAAGGCGTTGTCAAATAAATGAGTTCAAACACTAAGCAAAAAAAAAACAAAGCATTGTAGCAAAGCAAGCCCTCCCCGAAATACACCAACTGGCTAGTGGGGCTTCTGAAATGGTGTACATGGCAAGATGATTGATAATTAATGAAAAACCAATTGAGGGCTGCAAATGTGGAAATCAACAATAATATTAAGTGCCCCGTTTTTATTTTGAATGGTAATATCTTTCTAGTTAGTAATGTGTAAATATGACTAGGTATGAAAGGCGAGCTTGGTGATCATACACTGTACACAGTCAAATCAAGGTGGGCAGACTGACTTGGACATCTACTCAGTGTGTGTGCAATCAATCATACAGCTCACTCTTACTATATGGTCATGACTTGTGTCAGGAATTTAGTTTACAGCCAGCAGCCAAAACTCTGCTTGTCAATACATCTTGGTATTCCATTTGCAAACCAGTTGCAGACCAAGTGTGATCTAAACATGTCACCCTATAGGTAGCCTAGACTAGAACCAGAGATCACATGACTTCAAGTATGACAACTAGCAGGTACAGCTTCAAACTGGCCAGGGAAAAATCAGACAAATATCAACACCTCCAGTTGTCTGATGAGACAGAAAAACCTTAGTCCCTGCTCATACATGAGTTATCTTTCCTTGCTACTGGAGATGAAATGATGTGTCAGTTACCAGAAAAAAGGCAAGCCAAAATGTCAGGATGGGAAAAATGCATTTACAATATAGCTTCAAGGCCTTTGTTTGGGCTAGTTATCAAGATAAAGGGTATAGGATTTGTATTTAATGTAAATATACATTTGATACAAAGTGGATGGCTCAAATTTGAAAGCACATATATTAAATATCATTAGATGATTGGCTTAGATAATTGAAGAATCTACTTTTGAACAAGTCTAAACTATAAATATCAAAAGAAAATGATTTTGTAACATAACAAGAGCACCAGTAGTAATAAACTTGAGTGTTTTTCTCTAGAACTGTCGTTCTCTGTACTAGTACTAGTTACATTCTGTATGACGGAGTTGGGTCCACAGTTGAGCCAATGGGTTGAGATTTGCTTTGGGTAACCCACTTTTACGTGCATTTTAGGATCATAGAACTCATAAAACATCAGGCCTTGGAAGAAGTAGGTTACACCTGAAAAAATACAATTACAAGGAGGTACAACAACAATTTATGTTGTTTAAATCAAGACTTGTTTTCATCCAACAAACTGTATCTAATCTAGATATCAACTCTAATCCCTCCTCACAAAATCATTTGATAAATCTTGAAAAACAAGACCAGTTGCATACATACTACATGAAGGGCATTCTTTGTCCAGCCATAATAGAACTACATCAATGGAACTCACCATGATAATCATTAAAGGCTGCATCCAGTGGCACTGGAACATTCTTCCAAGTGCGCATGTCCCTAGGATAATCATACTCTACAAATGTGTTGTTTTCGTTCATCTTCCAATACATGTCCCCACTGACTAAGTAAGTGCGTTTGTTGTAGCCCCAAATGAAGGCTGCATCTATCCGTGGTACATCAGCTGGGATACTGAAATCTGTCAGAGGTCTTCCTTCTGCTGGGAACCCAGCACTTAAATGGTTGGCGTTATACACCCAATACCGATCACCTACATACAAAAACAGATACAAAACAATGATAGTATTAAAAATAGATACAAAAGAATGATAGTTTTAAAAACAGGTACAAAAGAATGATAGTATTAAAAACAGATACAATAGAATGATAGTTTTAAAAACAGGTACAAAAGAATGATAGTATTAAAAACAGATACAAAACAATGATAGTATTAAAAATAGATACAAAAGAATGATAGTTTTAAAAACAGGTACAAAAGAATGATAGTATTAAAAACAGATACAATAGAATGATAGTTTTAAAAACAGGTACAAAAGAATGATAGTATTAAAAACAGATACAAAACAATGATAGTATTAAAAATAGATACAAAAGAATGATAGTTTTAAAAACAGGTACAAAAGAATGATAGTATTAAAAACAGATACAATAGAATGATAGTTTTAAAAACAGGTACAAAAGAATGATAGTTTTAAAAACAGGTACAAAAGAATGATAGTTTTAAAAAAATACCAGAGAAAAAGACGAGTTTGCCATCCGGCCTTTCAAATACTGCATCAATTTTCTCCACTGAGTGAGGTAAGTTGTACCAAAACTGATGGATTCCAATGGGCCTTGGGATCATTCTCCTTGAGTCTAGCCGCCAGAACCACTGAGGGGTGAAAGACCATCAGGTCATAAAGTACAATGCTGAAGTATTAGATGAGGGCTCAATAAACTATTTAAAAAAAGGTTCTTTGTCCACATGTTACCTTTCCAATAAAAATAAAGATTTCATTTCTGAAGATTGTGATAGCATCCAAATGGCTCTTGCAAGGGTCAGGAGGTTGAGAATCTTTAGGTATGACAGTTGGATCAATTGCACTTTTTGTGACCGTAGGAATTCTCTCCCCATTGCTGTTGATTAGGTCTACTCCTGGCAGATTGTTATCTTTTTCACCAGTGCCTGGAAATACGTTGATACATATGCAAGTTGGGAATACACACATTGATTCATGCAAGTTGGGAATACACACATTGATACATATGCAAGTTGGAATACACACATTGATTCATGCAAGTGGGGAATACACACATTGATGGTCTCGGTTGCAAACTGTCTAACTCAAAAAAATTTGATTTTCTTTTTTTTACATAAATCAAAAGCCAATATGATTCCCCATAATGTCTGAAAATAATAGAGAAATCTGTAGAATGATTATTGAGATATAATCATTTGAACAAACCGCCTATTATTTCTAGCGCTAAAAATCTCGGCGCAAAACGAATATCGCTATATTTGTCAGTACACTTTTGATCGGGAACGCAGTCGCACGCCGTAATCACACAATTTTACAGCACAGCAGTCACAGTACTTATAGGTAAGGATATTTGATGAATTAAGTTCAACTATTCAACATTTTATCATTTTAAAGAATAATAAACAAATAGTATTTGTTTAATATAGCCAATTTCCAAATTTACAATAACCAAACTGATTTGTTTACATTTTTTTTAGGCTAACACAATGCTTTGAAACTAGATCTTCATTCTACTCATCTAGAATCTAAATATCAATTTTAGATTTATTTTATTTCCACAAGAATATGCAATAAATTTAATAATTGTTGATTCACTACTAGCTTTAGATTGAGGGTTTAGATACGTGTTAAATGTTTATATGGTAGGTTACAAAATGTTTGGTGTACATGTTCAACGACATGGTTAGTTGTCTTTAGTAGATGCTTTTATGATTAATTTTTCAACAGACAAGCCTATCTCAACACACCAGCCTCTCTCAACATACCAGCCTCTCTCAACATACCAGCCTCTCTCAACATACCAGCCTCTCTCAACAGAACAGCCTCTCTCAACAGACCAGCCTCTCTCAACATATCAGCCTCTCTCAACAGACCAGCCTCTCTCAACAGACCAGCCTCTCTCAACAAACCAGACTTACCACATAACAGACCAGCCTCTCTCAACAGACCAGCCTCTCTCAAAAGACCAGCCACTCTTAACAGATCAGCCTCTCTTAACAGTTCAGCCTCTCTTAACATACCAGCCTCTCTCAACAGATTAGCCTCTCTCAAAAGACTAGCCTCTCTCAACATATCAGTCTCTCTCAACAGACCAGCCTCTCTCAACAGACCAGCCTCTCTCAACAGACCAGCCTCTCTCAACATACCAGCCTCTCTCAACATACCAGCCTCTCTCAACACACCAGTCTTACCACATAACAAACCAGCCTCTCTCAACAGACCAGCCGCTCTCAAAAGACCAGCCTCTCTTAACAGATCAGCCTCTCTCAACAGATCAGCCTTTCTTAACATACCAGCCTCTCTCAACAGATTAGCCTCTCTCAAAAGACTAGCCTCTCTTAACATATCAGTCTCTCCCAACAGACCAGCCTCTCTCAACATACCAGCCTCTCTCAACATACCAGCCTCTCATGACATACCAGCCTCTTTCAACAAACCAGTCTTACCACATAACAGACCAGCCTCTCTCAACAGACCAGCCTCTCTCAAAAGACCAGCCTCTCTTAACAGATCAGCCTATCTCGACAGACCAGCCTCTCTTAACAGACCAGCCTCTTTTAACAGACCAGCCTCTCTTAACAGATCAGCCTCTCTTAACAGACCAGCCTCTCTCAACATACCAGCCTCACTCGCCAGACCAGCCTCTCTCAACAGACCAGCCTCTCTCAACTTACCAGCTTCTCTCAACAGACCAGCCTCTCTTAACAGATCAGCCTCTCTTAAAAGACCAGCCTCTCTCAACAGATTAGCCTCTCTCAAAAGACTAGTCTCTCTCAACAGACCAGCCTCTCAACATATCAGTCTCTCTCAACAGACCAGCCTCTCTCAACAGACCAGCCTCTCTCAACAGACCAGTCTTACCATACAAGACACCAGCATCTGTCAACTTAATAATCGTAAAGGCACCAGTATCTATCAACAGACCAGCCTTTCAAAACAGACCAGTCGTAACATTAAGGCACCAGTAACTCACAAGAGACCAGTCTCTCTCAGCAGAACAGTCGTAATATACAAAAGACCAATCTCTCTCAACTGACCAATCTTACCCTCCAAGATACCAGTCTCTCTCAACAGACCATTCTTACCATACAAGAGACCAGCCTCTCTCAAAAGATTAGTCTTATCCTACAATAGACAAGCCTCTCTCAACACACCAGTCCAACCATACAAGACACCATCCTTTCTCAGCAGATCAGTCGTAACATACAATAGACCAGCCTCACATAACAGACATTAAACACCAACCTCTCTCAAAAGACCAGCCTTACCCTACAAGAGACCAGCCGCTCTCAAAAGACCAGTCAGACCTATCAAGAATTCAAAGCGACAGATATTCGTGCACTGCAGTACAAGCCTGATGCTACTGTCTATTTCAAAGTGAATTAGCAAGTTTGTACAAGAGCAGAAAAAAAAGATAAATGCTGTCATATTTGAGCACCTAAAAGTCATAAACACACCTTTTTATGATGATTTCCCTGATTTTAAAAATATGTTGCCATTTTAATGATTCTTTATGTGACGTTTATTCAAAGAATAAATTTAAAAAATAAACACATTTTTTGTGTTACATTTTTGTAAAATAAGTAAACATTAAGTCAGTATTAATGTGATTAGTGTGTTATGTCTCATTCATAATATATCTGACAATACGGTTTCTGTTTTTACTATTATCATTCTACAAACCCAGCACCCACCATATTTAGTAAAATAAATTGTGAGAATAGAAAGATGTAATAAATAAAGCATAACCTTCAACAGTTAACAAGTCTAGTGCTAAATACAGACATAATGAATACACTCGAAAGCGATAAAGCCATACTAAAACATCTCTATTAAAAATTAAACTGACCCCATAATGTAGAATAAACTCAAATAATTAAAATATGAGCCCAAAACTATAATCTAAATTTTATGAAGTGTTAATTATAACTTAAAAACATAAACATAACTAAATCACATTCATTGCACAAAACGAACGAACGCGGCTGAGACCGAAATTCTCGGCTCAAAACAGCTAAGTCTGCGCGCGCACAGATAGACGGTTTGCACCGAGAATTTTAGACCGAGCAAACCGTCTATCTTTTTAAACCTGCTATAATTTTGGAAATATCAACAAAACCCATTTTAAAACGCTACAGTATAGTCGGTAGAGAGTTTCTTCGGAGATATCTTTTAAAAAAAATTGTATTAGAGCGATCGAGAAGGAAATAATCAGTTTTTTGTCTCTCCTGTAAAATTTACATTTTCGGAGTTAGACGGTTTGCGACCGAGACCATCGATATGCAAGTTGGAATACACACATTGATACATATGCAAGTGGGGAATACACACGTTGATACATATGCAAGTTGGGAATACCCACATTGATACATATGCAAGTTGGGAATACACACATTGATACATATGCAAGTTGGGAATACACACATTGATACATATGCAAGTTGGGAATACACACATTGATACATATGCAAGTTGGGAATACACACATTGATACATATGCAAGTTGGGAATACACACATTGATACATATGCAAGTTGGGAATACACACATTGATTCATGCACGCTGGGAATACACACATTGATTGATCCAAGTATTGCGATTTGATGTTATGTCATGTCAAGGAAAATTAAGGCAACAGAGCATAGTACTGCCCACACCATCCCTTCATATGTTGAGGTCAGTGAAACAGGTGAACTCTACTTCATCCACTCCATGTGGGAAAAGATACATTGGTTCTTGAACAGCCTATACAATCTACCAGACTTAACTAATACAGCAGTTATTATGGTCATTAACAAGACTTACCATACAGACTAGTGATGCCCCTTAAATCATCTTCTGGCAGTTTAAATTTCCCCTCAAAGCCCATGTACCAGGGATACATCAAAGCACTGGGGTCACCACTGTGGGCTAAACCAAGGGCATGGCCAAACTCATGGGCAGCCACCATGAACAGGTCAACACCTGGAGACATTAGTTCACAATTTCATAGTTTACAATTTCAATCATCACAACAAAGCATTTTGTTCTGGAACCTATTGCATTTATTTATAGATTTAAATAATTTAGAGTTTTTGTATTCTATCAATACAAATAGGGTCAACATTTATTTGATCAAATTAAATATAAAAAAAATGGTCAAGTCACATAGTTAGATTTTATATGTTTGCAATACCCCATTTGTGCAAAACTTAAATAGTTTAACTCCAGTTTAAAAAAAAAATTAAATACAAGGTTTTAATCTTTGTTTTTTCTTTAATATTTCATTATAAACCGTTAGTGAAATAGTATTGTTGTGTAATAATGCTGAGAGAAAGAGAGAGAGAGGGGGAGAGAGAGAGAGAAAGAGAGAGAGAAGCTGTTTGACTGACCATCAGTGGAGTTTGTGGTCCAGTTTTCATCATCATCAAAATGTGTGTCTCCACCTTTCCCAGCTCCTGGGAAAAACGCATGACCTAACACCATACCTGCATAAAAGAAATGTATGACCTAACCCTATACACAGATCAAAAAGTTAATGTAATATACTAACATCATAGCTGGATGAAAAAGTTCAAGATGTATAACTGGGTCATTCCTTAATTGAATGTTTGTTCAGATGTTTAGTAAAACAAGAGCAAACTCTAGATATTGTTTCCGCCCCCTAAAGCCTCGCACAATTATTATAATATTTATTTATAAGTACAACCAAGGTAGAATGTCGCAGGCTATCAACACAGAAGCATATATGTATGTGTGTGTGTGTGTATATTAAATATATATATATAGTAATATATATATATATATATATATATATATATATATATATACATATATATATATATACACATATATGTATATAATATATACACACACATACAATTATTATTTAAGAAATCTAAGAAGGGCAATAGCTGCTTGCCTTTGCCATCAAAAGGGTAGCCATCCTGGTGGAAGTGACTGGCAAACATGATCTCAATATCAGCTGATGGATCCAGCACTTCTTTAAAAGACAAAGGTGTAGCATCACTCCACACTCTCAGGGCAGCACTGATTAACTCTCTTGTTTTCACCACAGGCATGTCTGGGGTGTAGTTGACAAACCTGAAATACAAACATGTCATCTCACTCAACTTGTCTACCACTAGCACCTCATTAGTTCTCACCTTCAGACCTTATGCTAACATTCGGGATTAGAATTTAACATAAAGTGCTATGGTCCAATACACTAAGTAGACATATAAGGTGCTATGTGTGACCAACACAATAATTCTGCTCTTTTATATATTTTCTTTTTGAAGGTCAGTATTTATCCAATATGACTACTTCAGTAGGCCCTACTGTATAGTGTGGTCAGCACTATACTGTATAGTGTTGTCAGCACTATAATCATAATTATATAAAAGGTTGTTTTAAAAACATTTTTAAGATGATTTTTTTCAACAATTTAAATGGTTGAATACAATAGAAAGGCATGACTAAAAATAACTGCACACCAAATGAACAGGAATAATCTGTGTACAACAAAGGAGAAACAGTAGGCTACTTTCTTATTATAGGGAGGTGGTGACACAAGACATTCCATGATTCAACCCAACCAGGAGCTCTAACACAGTGACACAAGACATTCCATCATTCAACCCAACCAGGAGCTCTAACACAGTGACACAAGACATTCCATCATTCAACCCAACCAGGAGCTCTAACACAGTGACACAAGACATTCCATGATTCAACCCAACCAGGAGCTCTAACCGGTGTCCCTGCAGCAGTGTAACCGGTGGCTACTGAGAGAGCACCATGTGATACCCCTGACACTTGAGGTGTGTTCTACCCCACTGTTATGAGGGGTGATTAATGTACGCATAAGGTTTTTATACAGCATTCTACCTCACTATTATGGAAGGTTTTCATACAGCATTCTACCTCACTATTATGAGGGGTGATTGATGTACCTATACGGTTTTCATACAGAATTCTACCTCACTATTATGAGGGGTGATTGATGTACCTATACGGTTTTCATACAGAATTCTACCTCACTATTATGAGGGGTGATTGATGTACCTATACGGTTTTCATACAGAATTCTACCTCACTATTATGAGGGGTGATTGATGTACCTATACGGTTTTCATACAGAATTCTACCTCACTATTATGAGGGGTGATTGATGTACCTATACGGTTTTCATACAGAATTCTACCTCACTATTATGAGGGGTGATTGATGTACCTATACGGTTTTCATACAGAATTCTACCTCACTATTATGAGGGGTGATTGATGTACCTATACGGTTTTCATACAGAATTCTACCTCACTATTATGGAAGGTTTTCATACAGCACACACTGGGGCGTCTAGTGTGGGCAAACCCGCACCCCAGCAACTATAATACAAGAAACGTAGTACCTGCTTTATTTACTTTTAAGAAGTAGAAGCATGAGAAATAAATTTTTGAGTATTTTATCCCAAAACCATTTGAGTTAGTTAGAGGGAGCATTACACATTCCATTAGTACCAAATTTATAATTCTAGCTTTAATAGGAAAGGAGAAATTTTTTTTTTTCTATTTAAAATGTAGATCTACAAGCTCTGTAATAAATAAAGCAAGTGGGGAACAAAAATGAAAATATGTTTGCAAATTTTTTTTTGAGTCCTAATGATAAATTATGAAACAGGGGTGGTTCCTTTATGTAAATTTGCATTAATAATTGTGCAGGCTTGTTTCTGTTTGATGGTATGCTTTATTTTTAAAAATTTAGGCCTACATTTTTACTATGACTAGATCTAATTATGTATGAAAAAAACAACATGGCCGATAAAGATCTGAATCGTTAAAAATTCATAAAAAATGTATTTGTAAAATTTAACAGGTTTCTTAATAAAATAAGAACCACTAGTGGTTTATTTAACTCTTTTTATATACATTTTGAGCGGGCAAATGTTTATTAAAGTTTATATTTAAAATTAAGATTTAATTTATAGAACATCTAGATCTACTACTAGATGTAGATCTAGCTAGATATTATAATAAACTAGATTAAGATCTAGATATTATTTTTAAATTATTTTTTTTTAAATGAAAAAAAAAAATGAAGAGTAACTGCACTAGGTTATCGGTTAATCTAGATTTAGATCTATAGCTTAAAATACATCAGTCAGTAGATTTTGAAAATGTGATTTCATGTGAAAGAATTTCATAATAATTTGTTTTTAATTAGACTCTACCTAATAAGAGATGGTGGTGAAAATAAAATTTCAAAAATTCTGTCGCGAGATACTTGACAGATTTTGTATGCAAGTTATCTTCCCTTTGCCCCAAGTGCTAGGCGTACATGCTAGATTCTAGGAGTTAGATCTAGATTTTTTTCTAGATTAGAATTTGATCATCCAAAATCTAGAGAATTCTAGAGAGAGGGCTAGATATATAGATAGTACTAGAATCTAGATCTCTAGATCTGTCTAGATCTAGATCTAGATTAATCTAGATCTAGATTCTAGAAAGATCTAAAATTTTAGAAAATCTCTAAAATCTAGATCTAGATCTAAATCCTCTAGGACTCTAGATTCTAGGTCGAGAAGTGTTATTTGCCAAGTGATAATCTCGGAATATTTTAAGAAATGTAGTCTATAATCCTTTCGTTCTCCTCTAAATCGCAATTTTTACGTCTCATCATCGTTGCTATTTCTCCCAAGGGTGTCAGGCAAGTTTCCCGTTCTCAAGAAACGGACGGCCACAGACGTTACAAAACAGTCACGTTCGATAACCAAGGGTAGATTACTCCAATAATTATAGCGATGAATATTCATAGACGGCATACAATAAAGCGCCACCAACGTTGCCCACTTTTCCTGGCAATGATATTCAAAACGTTAGACATCAATTGCGAGTCCATGGCTTCTATCAAACTTGCACGAACCAGAAGAATAGCACAAATATCATATAGATCTAGATCTATTGTCATAGATGTTTAAAATTGAATTCGAACAGGACATCAACATTTTATAAATTTTATATGCGTATCATTATAAATATAATAAATCATTAGTGCAATGCATACATATTTTTGTTTTTATATAGATTCTAGTCTAGATCAGTGTTTTAGCCAGGAATGTCATTTTTCTCTATATTGGGGCATATGCATTTATATATATATATATATATATATATATATATATATATATATATATATATGTGTGTGTGTGTAGGCTATATTTAGAGGCCTATATATGCTACTATTACTATATATAGCGCATGTAAGTGTATAAATATATTGTATATAGGCTTGTTGTATATATTCCACAACGATGTGAAGAGAGTAGGATTGTTACTTAGTCCTACATAACATTTTATATACCAAATTCCTCTTTAAGCCACTGAATTAGCAAATAGATTTTTAAAGACAACAGGTGATAGCACGCCAGTAGCACATATACCCAAACATGATCAGCGAGTTCTGATAGGGCATTCATTAGGCGACATGCCTATTACCTATGTATTGATATGTTCCCATCCTAAAATGTTCCATATACTGACATGTTCCCTATACAGTCCCCATTGAGAACTATTAGAAGATTCCAACAATGAACCTCCCCTCTCCCATTGAAGTTAATTGAACCACGTATTCAGCAGCTTAGAACAGATCTCTTCCCTCGTGTCACGAGTAAAACGTCATTTCCGGCACAGCGAGACCTCTTCAAACTGTGTAAGTGTTGCTAATGTGTTACTGTACTGGTGTTACTAAACGTTCCTAGTGTGTTGCTAGAATTTAATTATCCATCCATATATCTCGACATCCATCCATTCGTCTATCCATCCATCTCTCCCTCTGTCCATCCATCCATCCATCCCCCCATCCATCCATCGCCCACACGGGTAACCCCCCCCCCCTCACACGGGTCACCCCTCACACGGGTCACCCCCACACGGGTCACCCCAAAAGGATCAATACGAATTTCAGCTAGCAGACGATTACAATTCTTGGCGCGGAGGTGGGGTGAGAAAGGTGACTGTCACAAGGGGGGGGGGGTGTTAGGCGGGGATATTTAACGTGGGGGGGGGGGGGGGAAGGCAAGATCGTCTAGGGGCGACGGAATTGTCCGGGAGAGGAAGTTACATTAAAGGAGGGGAGCAGTTTGAGGGGGGGGGGGTGTATCGCACTTAACAACACCCCTGTTGTTACAATGAATGTGTAGAGACATTGTAGCCCCCCCCCCCCCCCATAACGAATTGTTCCTGGCACTGCCACTGTCTGACAGCTGTGTCTCATCTTGCACGTGCTGTGTCTCATCTTGCACGTGCTGTGTGCCCTTGTTTACACATGGGTGAGCACCAGTCTTCAGATTGTGTCAACGGTTGGGAAATTTGGTCAGGACAAGCAGCTTTACATGTACAAGTTTAAAGGGACAACTTCAGTTGGATTGCATTGAATTGTGTTTTCTGTATGTGTGTTGTACTGTATGTGTGTTGTACTGTATGTGTGTTCTACTGTATATAATATGTGATGTTTTTCTGCCCCACAAGGGGTGAGATGGAAGAGGTGGTCAGGCCGCCATATGAATCGATTGAGGCGAGAAACATTTATGTATGGACGGGAGATCACTCTCTCTATATCCAGGGGACATTATCGGGGAATAAAATGGAAGAGTTAATTCAGGAGCAACTGACTCGATTAACGTCTTTGATGGCGCTCTAAGAAGCTGCGACGTTATTGTTTTCTTCAGTCGTGCACCTCCAGTAGTCCAATCGCTTGCCCTCCCCGCTCGCGCATGGCCGCCATTTTGTGTGCCCGCCCCTCACCTTCCCGGCCTAACCTTTTGAATCTATTTACGTTGTAAACTATTTTGCTGGGGAAATTTTTTTCGCCCAATTCGTCATATCCTGCAGTCCATTTTTGTATCATTTGACGACTGCGGCTTGCCATAGTTTGTTACACATGTGTGCTGGTAGATTGATCTCGTTCTGGGTAGGTTCACGTTTTACTCTGGGTAGGTTCAACTTTTACTCTAGGTAGGTTCAACTTTTACTCTGGGTAGGTTCAACTTTTACGCTAGGTAGGTTCACCTTTTACTCTGGGTAGGTTCCCCTTTTACTCTGGGT